AGAGTGTTCACAGTAAAAATATACCCGGAATAACCCCACTTTCCTTACATTTGGTGGCAGCGATGGTGGATACGAATCACCACAAAAATAAACCAAATGACTTACATTTGTTGGCAACGTTGAAGGATACGAATTTCATTAAACTAAAGACGTATAAACCAAATGTTCCTTACATTTGGTGGCAGCGATGGTGGATATGAATTGCCACAAAAAATTAACCAAACGTCCCGTACATTTGGTGGCAGCAGTGGAGGATGCGATATTCCACAAAAAACATAACACGCTTAACCACATGTTCCTTACACTTGGTTACATCGTTGGAGGATACGAAATCCTAAAAGAAACAAAATACGTTTTAACCTAATGTTGCTTACATTTGGTGGAAGCAGTGGAGGATGCAAATTTCCACAAAATACAAATTGATGGATTCACCGATATGTTATACAAACTACTGAAATGAACTAACCAAATATCCGAATAATACGTAATTACTAGAGACGTATAAACCAAAAGTCACTCGCATTTGGTGACAGTACTAAAGAATTTGAATAAAAGAGATTAACATAACCAGACTGGCGCTGAGTCCGAGCCATATGGCTTTGGGCGTAGCTGGTATATACATACATTGAATTTCAACCTTTCGTCGTGGATCGAATATACTGATTAAAGCACATTGGTAATTATTAAACCGTTTACATAATTTCTGAATATAGCTATAATCAGTATAGCTATACATTTGGTATATCGGTTATACATTCACGTATGTTATCGGACACATAGTTTATGACAAAACGCTAGTCTATGGGACGTGAGGCATAGTTCTATTGCACTCCCAAAATACAAAGCAAAGTAATCATAAACTATAGAACTCTATTGTAGTGGCCGATAGCGCTGTGTATACATGTATCACTGCTTATATTCAATACATTATACTGAACTGATAAACCATTTTATGTACACAATGCTCATTTAAACGCATGAGCATCAAGATGAAGCCAACACCTAACAACCACACTACGTTAAAACATAAGTAATTATTTTAATAATGGCTGACGATAACGATACCATACAACTTGTCATGAGAATAGTAAATGTAAACACGAATGCTACGAAGCCATCTACTGGTACATCAACGCAAACTACATTTCACGTACTAGTTAATTTGGACCTGCTCTTATTTGGACTTGATGTTGGTATACGACTTGGTTTAACTGTAAACTTCAGCAGTCGTAACGTTACCGCTCGCATTATGTAAACATAGACGTGTTTTCACACAGCACGACACAGACATTTGAAGAATTCTAGTTGTTAAGCACAAGATTATTACGGTTTCGCAATTTGACTCAGTCCTTACCGCTGACATTAAAATGAATACGACGTGATTGTAAAAATGATTCGAGAGAAGGCAAAGGACGTAAAATTAAGAATAGCCAGTATGCTTTCCTGGTTATTATGGTATCAAAGAAAGACGGTGGAGAACAATTAAGCATAAATTATAGAAGACAACGATATTGCTATAGATGACAAATTGCGGATGACGAATCACTGAAGTGTTAGACCGCCTTAAGGCGCTCGTTATTTTAAAACACTTGATGTGACTTGGGGTTACTGGCATATCGAAATGGTTCAGACGACTTAACAGATTTTGGCACACATGAAAACCATAATGAATATCTGCTGACATATTAGATACTAAGATACGTGAAGAAAAACTAACATTAAAGAAAAAAGCTAAACATTTTACAGCATTAACAAAGAAAGTTTTACATTTCTTTGGGGATCAAAACACGAAAAAACATTCAGAATACAATGAATGGGATTCAAAAGTGAAATAAAAGAAGCTTCATCAGACGAGATTTAATAGAAGAAGATAATCATGATTATTAAGAGATTTTAAAAGACAAATCCTAAAAGATTAACATGACAATGAGCAATCCGGAACTCAATTAGGATTTTATGACATGGAAAATTAAAAAGTTTTGAACTCACTGTGTAGACAATCATAAGTTATTAAATAACTGAGTCATGTCAGTTAAATGAAGAACTGCTGCAGCTGATGGATACCACTTATTATTTGAAATAATCGGAGCTGACATATTGGGCCGTTCCTCCGAAATAGAATTTCAAAATAAAAGATTTTAATGATTGACCTAATTTATTAAAAATGAAGACATAGTGAGAAAGAGTGCAAACCTAGTAAAGTAAAATGGTTTGTTGATGAAGTTCTGACGTGATATGGCGCCATAACGAAATAAAGTTGGTCAGATACTTCATTGAAGATTTCATAAGAAATCTTAGTTCCTCCATTTGCATACACCATATAATCAACAGTAAAATAAATTTGCGGAAAAAAATTTGAAACTGTACATCGCAATTTTATCGATATATGGATGTGAAGACTAGTACCAATAGACGTATTTTAATAAAGTCCGCGTGTATTTGCTTTTGGTATTATTATTTGGAGGATGGAAGATAATTGGTTCAAAGAAATATAATGAATGCGTTTAACGATGATAAATCCCGTTATAGCGCTGACATCGCGATGTTACACACAAGGAGTAGATTTGGTGTCTCTACACAATCCTTCGGAGTAGGGTCTTAATACCCATTTATGGAACCAATTGGTAGGCCCATACATGATTAAGAAGCGGCAAATTTATACACCATCGAGATGACAATTAAGAAAAAATTTAATTGTGTCGATCGACGAGTTTTACAATGCAATTACAAATCATTGAGAAAAATAGATCGCCGATAGAGGCAATTCAATGAGATTTAACTTTCACGTGATAGACATTAAAATGACAATTGTAAAAATAATTGTGTTGTTCGACGAGACTTGAAATGGAATAACAAAACAGTGAGAAAATAGATCGCCGATAGAGGCAATTCAATAAGATATAGATTTCACATGGCTTAGAGACCATGATGATGATTAAGAAAATAAGTTAATTTCACTCGTCGAGTTTTGCAATGAAATTACATAACATTGAGAGAATAGATCGCCGATAGAGGCAATTCAATGAGATATAATGAGAATAAACAAGTGATCACTATTTAGAATTCTAAGTTATATAAGATGAGTTAAAAATGTTATGAAAATGAATTTGTTATAGGAATCATTTGTTAGAGAAGTCAGTACATTAATACATTTCTAGGCCTAGTAAAATGTATAATCGTACACAACTTTAAACTATTTGATTTGTTAAAACTATAACGTGATCAGTAAAAATTAAATTTAGATTATTAATAATTAAATTTAAAGTTAGAGATAAAGAGATAATTGTTAACATTAGTTGTTAATTAAAAAATGTTATTAAGAAATAATAAAAAATAATAATGGTCAACCAAACGACACCTTTGGCAAATATGGGTCAAGAATCAAGCACAAGAAGCCAACGCTTAATTCAAAATCGTATTACAGATGATTTCTGTTATTTGGCTAAACCATTTAAAGCAACTAAAATGAAGTTTAATAATCCAAGAATATATGTTAATGGATATTTGAAAATTGAAAATTCGTAAAATAATTGGATTAGGATTTTATAATTATAATAAATTCTGAAAAATAAACTGGTGAATATTTAATAATCACTGACTTGAAGATGACTGCAATATTATTTCAAGACATTCGCAATTGAAAGAAATTGGTATTAAATACCGAATATAGAGTCAATTTATTATGAATAACGATACGAAGACAACTACAAAATAATTTATCAACATAGTCCACTTTTATAAACTGATTGAAGGATAATTTAAGGAATCAAATGAAAAACAAGTTTATTATAAATAAGAAAAAGAAAGATGACATTGGTGAATTTATCAAATATAGTTGGTTTATTATAAAATGAATAAACCGATACAAAGCTGAGTAAGAAATCGAATATTATATTGGTTGGTAATGGGTATGAAGATGTTGACTAGAAATTATAAATAAAATGAATAATGAAAGAGGCAACGATAACAAACAAACGGACAGCATGTACGTCATTAAATAAAATAGCTTAAATTTATTTATGTAATGCTTGAAATTTTGAAATTTGTAATTAGTTGATAAAAATTAATTGTAAACTATTGTGTACATGAGGGGTAGTTATGAACCAGACGTAATTTCTTAATTACGCATCTGAGGACAGATGCAGACTTGAAGGGGTGGAAGTGTTATAGGTAGTCACTGCCATTTCAATGCTATACTGATTGGTGTTTTAATGCTATAATTATTTCAATACAAAAGTGATTTTTGTTTGTGTTTAAATTTACTAAAGTGAATTTAACACAACGCTGTTTTATTTTTATTTAAATAATTATATTTGCTTAATACTAAATTCTAGAATTCACTTTTAAAAATGCATTGAAATGTTACACAGAGAAGTGAATAGTAAACACCTACTTTTAAGTAAAGTTTTATTTTATTTTTACTTAGTATTTCTCTATTAAAATAATGATTTGAAATGTTATACAAAACAGTGAATAGTATACTCCTACATTTTAGCAAAGTTTTATTTTATTTTTACTCTATATTTCACAGTTAAAATAATGTATTAAAATGTTATACAGAAAAGTGAATAGTTTACGCCTAGGGATTAAAGCTGACTCAATACGACCTAATTATTTCTCACGTACACTTTAGTATAAATAGTGGTGTCTCTCAGACATCAAAATCAGTTCTCTTCGGAGTTCTCTTTGGAGATCTCTTTCGAGAGTTCTCTCCCGAGAGTTCTCTTGGAGTGCTACAGTGTATAACTGACTCTAAGAAGAAATAAAGTATTTGCATATTACTTTGTGTCTATTACTTACTCGTCGCGGCTGGTGGACTTGGATTGCATCATGAATTACATTATAGATGTTATACTGATGGAAGCTGACCACGATTACATCATGGATAAAATTATGGATTGAGTCATGGAAATAAACCATGGATTACGTCGCGGATGACATTATGGATCACATATGGGTTCACTACAGGCCCAACGGTTCTACAGGCTACAGTTAACATAATGGACAGCTATCGAACGCCGCGCCGATGGAAGTCGACCACTAATTACGTAAGCGAATACTATTTAGAGGGGAACTCCGGTACTGTGTCCGCTACACGGTAGGATCTGACCGGTCCGACCAAAGACTAGTGTTGACACGTGACGACGTTGAGTAAACCTTATTATTGGGTAACCTATTATATGGTATGCAAAAGTAAGCGCAATGATAGGTTAGCTCAGATATAGTAATAAGTGACTAGACACATTAGTCTACTGTCACACTGACCTACTGGCCTACAACTGGCCTACAACTGGTCTACTACTGGCCTACAACTGGCCTACAACTGGCCTACAACTGGCCTACAACTGGCCTACAACTGGCCTACAACTGGTCTACTACTGGCCTACAACTGGCCTACAACTGGCCTACTGACCCTAGGTCAAGGTCACATGTCCAAGGTCAAGGTCACATGTTCAAAGTCAAGGTCACACGTCCAAGGTCAAGGTCACATGTCCAAGGTCAAGGTCACATGTCAAAAGTCAAGGTCACACGTCCAAGGTCAAGGTCACACGTCCAAGGTCAAGGTCACACGTCCAAGGTCAAGGTCACATTTCCAAGGTCAAGGTCACCTATACAAGGTCAAGGTCATCGAGAACTGGAAATCGGGTTTTATGTACTGATGTCAATGGTACTTGTTGGAGATCAGTAGGACAAATGGTTATGGAGATATCAAGGAAAACATGTTTACCAAAACAGACCTTAAACTAGACTTTGTACCAATCAGTTGGATATCCGTACGGTAGTATTATACGGATAGTTTATGCAAGGAACAGCATAAACTAAAACAGTCGGTCGACTAAATACTACACAAAACAACACATAGCTTTGTACACAACCAGTGATAGGAGATCCGCTCGCTCCTTAAGCCACACACCGATAGAGATGATAATGCTGGTACGTACAAGGCACAGTAAGGGCTTAGTCTTAAGCAATAGTAGGGTTTACATTCCGGGTTAGTGAACACTCATAGAGTGTTCACAGTAAAAATATACCCGGAATAACCCCACTTTCCTTACAATATATATATAAATCAATAAAATTTATTTTAAAATATACAGTAAAATTTATTGATTTATATTTTTTAAATAATAATTTTTTTACTTTATAAAGTTAGTGCTTTTTCTTATTTATGTCACATATATTATTATTACAAGTGTATTATCAATAATGAACTAGCATATTTTATAAATTTAAAAAAAACTAATAAAATATAATTTATTATATTTGTAAAAATGTAATAATAAACTGATAATGAAATGATAATGAGCTAGCACATTTTTTTAGAAATTAAAATATTTATTAAATTAATATTTGTGTTTTTTTTATTTTGCTTGAATTGCATTGAATCATACAATTGTATAATACAATTGAATTATTAAACTTAAAATTTAAAAATTGTATCAATAACTATTATAATATGTTAACAATATGTTATTAATATGTTATTAATATATTATATATTAATATTAATATATTATATATTAATATTAATATATTATATATTAATATTAATATATTATATATTATTATTAATAATTTTCTAAAAAAGTTTTGAATGTTTCTACGGTTTAGCTAATAATGTATCAATTTTTAATCAATTATTTTTAATGTCTAACTAACATAATAATTAATATTTTAATTTCCCATTAAATTATAGATATTTTTTTCTGAACATTTTTTTGTCTAATTTTATAGCTTGTATTGAATAATATATATATATATACAGTATATAATATATTATATTGTATTTATAATATAGGATATATATATATATACAAGTATTACAATAAAATACACTAATATATATAATATTAATACATTTAAAAAAATAAATAAATTTTTACTATGTATAAGTTCGAAAATATTTTGCAATGATTGGAAACTTTTTTTATAAATATAATTTTAGTACGTAAATGATTTTTTTAAACAAAAAATTTTTGTTTAATCATTTCATTTTTTGAATTTTTTTTAAGTGCATTTGTTAACATATTATTTGTTTCCATATATATATATATATATATATATATATATATATATATATATATATATATTGTTGTGGTTGTCGTTAACTTAAGGATCAGTGAGTCTCGCGTGAGTCGATATGAGACCAACAACTGATTCCTGTGTGACGGGAATATATGGGGGGTTTACCCGTTAATAGCCTGTAATTTGTGAACTTTACGAAACAATAAGCAAATCGGTGTATGTTTGATAGGGAACTGTGACGTAATTTATGAATGGGTTGCTATTAGAAGACTATTTAAGAGTTACGGTTTATTTGTATGGCTTTAATCAAAATGATGTACAGATCTGCAGTAGTGTTAACCAGAAAGTAAGTTAGGAATCGATCTGTTAGTACTGTCGGAACAGGTAGTATAGAGGGATCAAATCAATTGATGAATTTAAAAAATAATGGATTAAATGCACAAAAATAAATAGTTATCAATAAAATAATATAAAAGTGGAACATTAAATTTATCGTTAAATTGTATTTTTTTTCACACACATGGAGTTCAGAAAAAAATGAAATATAAACATTTTCATATGGTAAAAAACTTTTTTAATCATCCCTGGTAATAATGACACTAAATTTTTTTACATAGTAAAAAAACTATATTTATCATATGGAAGAAAACTCGCATTATTTACCCATGAATAACATTTCCATATGGGAGAAAAAAACACAATTTAACGGTAAGACTAAATAATAATTCATATATGAGTTCCTCAACAATATATATATATATATATATATAAATTATATGTATAGCTTATTGAATTTACGTATATACTTGTTATATTTAATTAAATATATTATATGTATACAAATCATCACTTATTGAATTATTTTTTTTTAAAACAATTAATAGTTAATAAAAATAATTGTAATATAAATATAATATTCATTTATTTGATTTTTTCTATAGTTTATAGTAAAAGTTATTTTATTTTTTGATTATAAAAAATTAAGCAGTTTTTTAGTTGTTTATATTTTTTTTAAAAAAAAGTGTGCCTGTTTATTAAATTAATTAAAATATTATGGAATTAATTATTTTAATTGCGATATTTACTATAATTGGCTTAATTGGCTATTAGTAAGTAATAAAACTATAAATAAAATTTATTAAAAATTATCTTAGATATCTATTTAATAATTATATATATTTAAAGAATATTTTAATTTTTAATGAAATACAAATCTAATTATATATATATATATATATATATATAAACCTTTTTTTAATATAACTTTTTTTCATTAGTCATTTGACCCGTAATTTCCATTTCGCGACCTCTCTCGGGATTCCTGGACCCAAACCGCTACCATTTGTCGGCACTTTCTATCAAAGTTTTACAAAACCACTACAAGTGGTGTTTATCGACAATGTTTTAAAATATGGCAAAATATATTGGTATGTATTTACTATTATTTTAAATATACAGTATATATCTATATATATAGTTTGCAAATAATTTTATACTTAAAAATCTGTTTTTAATTTTATTATTAATTATATATATTTATATATAAGTGATTACTTTGGATCGATGCCGATGGTTATGATAGCTGATCCACAATTGATTAAAGATATTATGATAAAAGACTTTCATTTGTTTGCCGATAGACACGACTCGATCACTGGCGACAAACTAATGGATAGATCGCTGTTTAATCTAATGGGAAATGAATGGAAAAATATGCGATCAATTGTATTATTGATTGATTATTATTGTTGTTATATAAAAATATATATATAATTTAGTAAATTTAATTAATTATAAAAAAATATATAAATTTATTTTATATAATATATATATATATATATATATATATATATATATATATATATATATAGATATCTCCAACATTTTCATCGGGAAAAATGCGTTCAATGTATCCAATTGTTAACGATTGTATCAATCGATTGGTTGAAAATATTGAAAAAAAATTAATAATAAAATCAAATAATAAACTAATGGCCGCCGAAATTGAGATTAAAAAATTGATGTCCAGTCTGACTATGGATGTGATAGCTTCGTGCGCTTTCGGGACGAAAATCGATACCTATGAGGAAGAAAAACATGAAAACGAATTTCTAATAATTACCGAAAAAGCTATCAATCAATCGTTTCGTTCGTTTATTTTCTACTTTACGTTTACATTGTTTCCCAAATTGATTCAGTGGACTGGTTTTACTTTACATCACCCGAGTGTCGATAGATTTTTTAGGACAGCTGTATATATATATATATATATTAATTATATAATAATTGATTTTTTTTTTAAAAATCAATAAGGCGTAGTACACATATTACGTTCGCACTTGAGGGGAGGGGGGGGTTAGCCAAAGCGAACTTTTGCGAACGATGGGAGGGGAGGGGTAGAGACTTAGATAATATCTTATTTCTTGTGGTGGCTGGGGGGGGGGTAGCAGCGGTTAGGGATAAGCGAACGTAATTTTTTTTAAATGACTACATGCGAATAATTGCGAACATTGAGGAGAGGGAGGGGTCTAGATTTCTTAAAAAGTGCGAGCGTAATATGTGAACAACGCCTAATAATAATTACCGTATGTAAGCGTAAATCAAGCCCCACTTGGACAGATTTTTAGAAAATTATAAAAATCAACTTTTTTTGTGGTGGATATGTAGGCTAGTAATAGCAGTAGGGTATTACATATACCCTATACTCTCCCCCATTCTACTGGGGGAGGAAATTATAAGTGAATTCGCGGGGGTGGGTGTATAAAACAATTAGGGTGGGGTGGTGTAAGGTGTTCAATGTAATATAAATTTTATTTATTCAACAACAAAAAAAACAATTTTTTATATTATTTGGGTGCGGGTGGTTTTATAAGTCACATTTAGTCTACCGTTAAATTGTGTTTTATTTCCTTATATGGAAATGTCAAAGTCAAAGGGAAATAATGCGAGTTTTTCACATATGAAAAATATAGTTTTATTTTACTTTGTATAATAATTTAGTGCTTAATTATTACCAGGGGTTATAAAAAAATACGAGTTTATTACAATATGAAAATGTTATTTTTTATTTTTTTCAACAAAAATAATCCATATGGGAAATAAAACACAATTTTACGGTACTCCTGAAAGCCAGTAGGGTCTATATACGCTTACTGACGGTAGTAATACAATTAAAGTTATTAAAATTAATTTTTAAAAAAAAATTAATTATTATTAATATTAGATTCGATCGATAATTAATCGCCGAAAGACTGATAATATTCAATACAAAGACTATTTGCAACTGATTTTGAACGCACAGAACAAATCGCTTGAAATTACCGCCGATGACAATGATTTCGGCGATAATGATGATGACAATACAGATAAGATTTATGGATCAATTGGCAACAACAAACACAACACTATAGGCGACAAGTCTGCCGCCGCCGCCGCCAACAACAAACAGTTGATTGCTATTACCGAAGACGATATACTGGCCACTAGTCTGCTGTTTATTGTTGCCGGCTATGAAACTACTGCATCGTTGCTGACATTAATGGCCTATTGTTTGGCAATGAATGACAACTGTCAGCAAAAACTTTACGAAGAAATCAGTGGTCAATCATCGTCTAATTGTTCAACCGATGGCAACTATACCTATGATTTTGTTGTAAACATGCCATACCTGGAGGCATGTATTGCCGAAACATTACGTATTTACAATCCATTGGTTTCCGTCAATAGATTAGCTACTGATAATTATAAATTAGGTTTTTATTATTTATTTTTTTTTAAATAATTGTTTCATATATTATATTATAATTTTTTGTTAAAAAAATTTATTTATTTTCTAAATCTACCGTTAAATTGTGTTTTTTCTCTCCCATATGGAAATGGGGGAAGTAATGCGAGTTTTCTCCCAATAGATTAGCTACTGATGATTATAAATTAGGTTTTTTTTTAAAAAATAATAATTGTTTCATATATTATATTATATTCTAATTTTTTGTTAAAAAATTTATTTATTTTCTAAATCTACCGTTAAATTGTGTTTTTTCTCTCCCATATGGAAATCATGTCAAAATCATGGGGAATAATGCGAGTTTTCTACCAATAGATTCACTATTCCCCCAATTTTTATTCCCCCAATTTTGCTTTTCTCCCAAAGACTCGTTTAATTTAACAGGAGTGGTAAAAAATGAGAGTTTTTTACCGTAAAAAAATTTTATTTTTCATTTTATTTTTATTTATTATTTTTTTTTTTTTGAATTCAACGTGTGAAATAAAACACGATTTTACGGTAATATATATATTTGTTGTTTATTATTTTTAGGCGATACCGGCATAACTATACCGAAAAATACTATTATCAGCGCAAACATCCAATACATACATCACAATCCCGATTATTATCCCGAACCGGATCGTTGGAATCCCGAACGATTTATGCCCGACAATCGCCATCAGTTAGTTCCCTATACTTATATGCCGTTTGGTTTGGGACCCAGAAATTGTGTTGGTATGCGGTTTGCCCTAATGGAGGCCAAGACAGCCATTGTCTATCTGGTCAATCGGTATCGATTTTACCGGACAGACAAAACACCCGCTAAACTAAAACCATTGAAAATGCAATCGTTGTTCAATTGTGGAGAAATTATCATAGGAATCAAACATAGATAATCTCAATAATGATATATTATATATATATAGACTATATATAGTATATGATTATTAAATATATTCAAGTATATCATATATATATAAATTAACTAATAATTTTTTATAAATAGCAATAATTGGGAATAATTATAAAATACAAAAATAGATTGCAAAATATTTTTAAATATATATATAATTACTATTAATATTTTTAAATATATAATTATTATTAATATTTTTAAATATATAATTAATATTAATATTTTTAAATATTTAAATAATATTAATATTTTTTTACTAATTAATACTTTTTTTTAAATACAATTTAATCAATTAGCTATAATTTTTTTATTGTTAGTAATTTTGATGATTAATTAACACATACTGTAAACAAATATCAAAGTTTTGAAAAAAAAATTTAAATAAATAACTTTTTCATTTAATTTAATTTATATATTGATATATTATATAATTATTATTTGTTAATAACTTTTGTTGTTGTTGTTGATAATATAAAATTTATTACTTAACCAAATATAAAGATTTACTATTATAATTAAAAAAAACTTTTTGAAAAATTAATTAAATTTGTTTAAATAATGAATTGTGGGCTAAATCTCGTGAAAAAAGTAAATCAAATTGCATGACAGCAGATACTATAGATATTATTATTATTACTGTATAATTGATTGATTGCACAAAAATTATTTATTTATTTAAACTATTTATTTTTGAAAAAAATCATTTGAAAAAAATCTAATATATTTATTAAAAAAAAATCATAAAGTGTTTGTCAATATAATTAAATCAATATTATAATTGTTATGACAGACTATAGTAAAACTAATCAAATAAATAAACGGTTAAACCTATCGCCAATATCACATCCATTGTCCATATCATGGCATAACATACGAGTGCAGAGTCGACTGTCGACATCAACCGCTATGGACACCATATTTTGCCGTAAAAATAGTGGACAACAAACGGTTGATATCATTAAAAATGGTAAATAATTTTTTTTTCAATATATGATATATTAAACTACTGCTGTTTTAATGTCCTAATGTTAATGTCATTATCTTTTTGTGTGTGTTTAGTGTCGGGTGATGTAAAATCTGGTCAATTGTTGGCCATAATGGGCGCCAGGTTTGTATAAAATTCGTAGTATTATTATTGTCCATATTATACACAATAATACATAACCTATTGTAGCGGTAATTGTTGTTTTTTTTATTAGTGGGGCCGGAAAGACAACACTACTAAATGTATTGACGGCCAGACATCTATCGAAATTGTTAGTCGACGGTGAGGTCAAACTAAATGGACAACCGGTCGATAGCAATACAATGTCATCGGTTTCAGCTTATGTACAGCAAATGGATTTGTTTGTACCGGTGCTCACTGTTAGAGAGCATCTCATATTTCATGTATGATATATCATATATACTCTAATTAATCATTCAAAATAGTCAACTAATTATTAGTCTTAATAAATATCTATTGATTAATGATTTTTGTTTTTTTTTATATTTTTTTCTGTGTGTTTGCAGTCATTGTTACGAATGGATACCCGATTGACAGCAAATGAAAGGACTGAACGGGTGAACCAATTGATGATTGATGTCTGTATTAATCACTTTTTTTTAAAAAAAAACCTAAAAAATTGTTATCAAATTTATGGATAACTAACTAACTAACTGTTTATCATATTTTGAGATTTAATTTGTTTAAAATTATTTTTTTATTTTAAACTAGTTTTCATTAAACAAATGCTCAGACAGTCGTATAGGAAGTAATACTACTTTCAAAGGTATCTCTGGAGGAGAAGCCAAAAGATTGTCATTTGCTTCAGAGGTATATATAAAAAAATATAATAATAATAATAATAACAATAAGTTTAGTAATAATTTTTAAAAAATAATTAATTTAATAAAACACTTATTTTTTGTTTGTTTTATTTATAATACAGATTATGACTAACCCGTCGATAATGTTTTGGTAATTTATTATTAATTAATTAATTTTTTTCAATTAACTAATATTTAAATTTTCAAATTTTTTTTTTGATAACAAAACTCTTTAAGCGATGAACCGACCAGTGGTTTGGACTCATTTATGGCCGAAAACATAGTTCAAGTAATGAAACAAATGGCTAGTAATGGTCGCACAGTTATCTGTACTATACATCAGCCGTCATCGCAAGTATTCAAACTGTTTGAACAGTTATTGCTGATTGCCGACGGAAGGGTAGCATTTATGGGCAAAATTGGTATCTAATTAATAACTGATTGAATGAAAAAAAATAAGTTATTTTTTAATTATATAAATATTGTTTAACACTATATAGACGATGCCTACAATTTTTTCTCAACTATCGGTTATGTAAATAATTATTAATTAATTATTTTTTTGTTGTTGAATTAATTTTGTTGTAAATTTTTTTTTGGGTAACAATTTTAAGTTTAATTTTTATTTTATAAATTTTTGTTGTACTGTATATCAGACATGTCCGACAAATTTCAATCCCTGCGACTATTATATCGAACAATTGGGTAATTAATTGATTAATTAATTAATTAAATATGTTTTTTTTCATTGACATTAATAATTGATTTAATTTTTAATTGTTTTTTTTAATTATTATATTACTTATTAGCTGTAATTCCTGGTAAAGAAATTGAATGCAAAAACAAAATTGATGTAAACTTTTTATATTTAAAAATAATTATTTAATAATTGAATTAAATGTTTGTTGTTTTGACTCCAATTCAAAAAAAAAAATCAGGAAATATGTAATAAATTTACCGAATATTCTTCGGGAACTGATTTGAAACCATCGATTGCTAACAACTCATTCCAGTCGTTGTTGACTAAGAAATCATTTCCGGATATACTAACTGATGCACCAAAATATCGGTCAAATTGTTTGCGACAGTTTCGGGCAGTGATGTGGCGATCGGCACTTGTTGTCCTACGGGAGCCAATGATTACACAGATACGGATAGTGCAGACTATGGTAAATACTATGGGGGATGGGATGGGGTGATAGGCTTATTTAAACTTAATAATTACTTATTTTTAACTATACCTTTCCATAAATAGATAGTTTCCCTAATACTCGGTGTCGTCTATTTTAATCAAAAATTAGACCAAAAAGGTGTTATGAATATCAATGGCGCCCTATTTCTCTTACTAACAAATATGACATTTCAAAATGCTATGGCAGTTGTCAATGTAAGTGTGTGTATGTGTGTATGTATGCATGTGTATGATTGTGTATGAGTGTATATATATATATATATATATATATATATGTGTGTGTGTGTGTTATAATAATTGCAATAATTAATATAATTATTATTATTTGATTTACCGCTGTTTGACTACTTTTGTTGTTTGGGGGGACAAAATCGGGACAGACCTTCTGTGCCGAACAGCCCGTATTTTTTAGGGATCATCACAACGGCATGTATAGAGTGGACGTATATTTTGTGTCCAAAACAATTGCTGAAGTAATTATTATTAATAATGATTTAAAACAGCGATTAATTTTATACTTTGTTTTTCTCATATATATATAAAAAAAACTTTAAGATACCGGTTTTTATATTGATTCCCACAATATTTGTATCGATTTACTACTATATGGTTGGCTTTAATCCACGTTTTGATCACTTTATTATAATGATAATTATCGGCAATTTGTCCACACAGTGTGCCGTCTCATTTGGTTAGTTTTTTTTGTTTATTTATTTATTTTATTAGTTTAACCGATTAGTTATAATAATATTGATTATAAAACTTATACTTTAAATTACATTTAAAGGCTATCTAATGTCGTGTATGACCTCAACGGCAACAATGGCCCTATCAATGGGTCCGCCGATACTCATACCAGTCATACTTTTTGGCGGATTTTTGCTAAACAATGCGTAACTATAATATAATCTAATATAATGTTTATTTGTTTGTATTTTACTAATAAATTATTTTTTTTTCATAAAAAAACTTTTTATAATTGTATATATATAAAAAAAATAATTTTCAATATAGATCTGTACCCAATATATTTGTTTGGATTAAATATATTTCATGGTTTTACTATTCATTTGAATCGCTAATCATTAACCAATGGTCAGACATCAAACATATTGACTGCGATCTACCGATACCTCAAAATAATCAGACAAACAATAATCAGATGATACCGTCGGCACCATCGAGACTATGCTTTACTATCGGTAAAGATGTTATCGATTATTATAATTTCAATGAAAATCATTTACTAAGAAATCTATTGCTTCTATGTTTGATTGCATCCATCATCCGATTTATGGCATTTATTGCACTATTTATTAGATCTAAACAACGATAGTCAGCCCTTCAATCAATTATATTATTATTTATATCATTTTATTATTTATTTATTATTTTGTTAAAAAAAATTAAATTATCAAAGTTAATAATAATAATAATTTTAAAAATATATATTAATTAATTGTGTATAAAAATAGTATAATTAATAATTAGGTGTGTTATACAATATTTATATAAATGTTTATCTAATCATATCTAATTATATATACATATGTATGTTTAATATTAGTTTATTTTTTTGTTGACTTTATTATAATCTGAAAAACTTATTTCACGTGCAAATAGTAGTTTCAATCAAATGCATGTATATATTACACGTGATAATAAAAAAAAATCAATAATAAATCAATAAATTAATTTAAAATTACAGTCAAAAATCTCGCTCAAAACAAAACACTAAACAATTGAAACAATAGTTTTGAAAACACTTATTATATATATTTTTTTCAAAAAATATTAGTAATCTATGATATAATTATTATCTGTAGTACTGGTCAATGATATAATTTTGTTTTATTATTTTTTTTGTATTTAAAAATAGTAACCTTGATGTTTATTGTCCATACAGTGTTAATACAGCTGAAAATTACTAAATGACAAACAATAATAATAGTAGACGAGAAACTAGCCGTAGTTTAAATCCATTTCCTCTATTACATCCAGTGTCCATATCATGGCATAACATACAGGTCAGGAGTCAAGTGTCGGCATCAGTTGTCGACACCGTATTTTGCCGTAAAAATAGAGGACAACAATCAGTGGAAATCATCAGAAATGGTAAGTGATTTTTTCAACAACAAAATTACGTTATAAACTAACTATATATATATATATATATATATATGTCATTATCTGTTAGTGTCGGGTGCTGTAAAATCTGGTCAATTGTTGGCCATAATGGGTGCCAGGTTTGTATAGGCAACTATTATTATTATTATTGGCCATATTATATACGGTAATACATATCCTATTGTACCGGTAATTGTTGTTTTTTTTATTGATTGATTATTGATTAGTGGGGCCGGAAAGACAACACTACTAAATGTATTGACGGCCAGAAATCTATCGAAAGTGATAGTCGACGGTGAGGTCAAACTAAATGGTCGATATGCCGATACCAATACAATGTCATCGGTTTCAGCTTATGTACAGCAAATGGATCTATTCATACCAGTCCTAACTGTTAGAGAGCATCTCATATTTAATGTAAGCTATTATATAATATATCATATGATTAATTCAATTTAAATGTTTGGTAACTGTTTGGGTATTATTTATGTTTTTTTATTGATTGATTGATTGATTGATATTTTTTATATATACTATATACACTAATTAATTCAATTTAAAACTAATTAATCATTAGTTAACTAATTATTAGTCTTAATAAATATCTATTGATTAATGATTTTTTGTTTGCCAGTCATTGTTACGAATGGATCCCCAATTGACAGCTAAAGAAAGGACTGAACGGGTGAACCAATTGCTGATTGATGTCTGTATTAATCACTTTTTTATAAATAAAAAAACCCTAATATTTGTTATCAAATTTTATGGATAACTAACTAACTAACTGTTTGTCTTATTTTTCTATTTTTTTTTGGTATAAAATTATAATAGTTTTCATTGAAGAGATGCGCTGACAGTCGTATCGGAAGTAATACTACTTTCAAAGGTATCTCTGGAGGAGAAGCAAAAAGATTGTCATTTGCTTCAGAGGTATACAACAACAAAAAAAACAAATATTTTTTTAATTATAATATAAATAATTTTTTAAAATGTTTTATTTTTACTGTAATTACAGATTATGACAAACCCGTCGATAATGTTTTGGTAATTAGATTACTATTTTTTTAAAATAAATATTTATTTAATTTTTTATTTTTTTATAAAATCTTTTTAAAAAAAAGCGATGAACCGACCAGTGGTTTGGACTCATTTATGTCCGAAAACATAGTTCAAGTAATGAAAGATATGGCTAGTAATGGTCGGACAGTTATCTTTACTATACATCAGCCGTCATCACAAGTGGTCAAACTGTTTGAACAGTTATTACTCATTGCTGACGGAAGGGTAGCTTTTATGGGCAATATTGGTATTAATTTCTATAAACTATTAAAAAATAAGTTATTTTTAACTAAATATATTATTTTTATATATTTTTAATTTGTTATTGAATACTATAGATGAGGCCAACAATTTTTTTTCATCAATCGGTTATGTAAATCATTATTTTTTATATATAATTAAAAAAAACTGTTTGATATTTTTATTGAAATAATTTTAAGATATATATATAAATATTTTTTTGTTTTTTGAATAACATATCAGACATGTCCGACAAATTTCAATCCATGCGACTATTATATCCAACAATTGGGTAATTAATTATGTTTTTAAATATAAAACTAATAATTGATTTAATTATTATTATTATTATTATTATTATTATAATCAATAGCTAAGATTCCGGGCAAAGAAATTGAATGCAAAACCAAAACTGATGTAAACTATTATTTTTTGTTGAGATAATTATGATTTTATCATTGAATTAACTTTTTTTTTGTTTTTTATCTCAAAAAAATAAATAACAGGAAATATGTGACAAATTTCTTGATTATTCTTCGGGAACTAATCTGAAACCTAAGTCAGTGACGACTACGTCTTCGGGCGGCAACAACTCCTTCAAGTTGTTAAAGAAAAAGAAATCACTACCGAAACAGATATTAGAGGCACCAACCTATCGGACAAACTGTTTCCGACAGTTTCGGGCAGTGATGTGGCGGTCGTCACTTATTGTCCTACGGGAGCCAATGATTACACATATGCAACTATTGCAGACAGTGGTATGGGATGGGGTGTTATACCCGTCTACCAGGGGGTTAATTGATACTTAACTATTTATTTATTTTTGTCCAACAGATAGTTTCAATAGTAATCGGTGTCGTCTACTTTAATCAACAGTTGGATCCGAAAGGTGTTATGAATATCAATGGCGCCCTATTTCTGTTACTAACAAATTTGACATTTCAAAACGCAATGGCAGTTATCAATGTGAGTTTGTATGTGTGGGTGTGTTTGTATGTGTGTATATATTTGTATATGTGTGTGTGTGTGTTTGTATGTGTGTGTGTATATATGTATGTGTTTGTATTTGTATATGTGTTTCTAAGTGTGTGTGTGTGTTTGTATGTGTGTGTGTGTTTGTATGTGTGTGTGTGTTTGTATGTGTGTGTGTGTTTGTATGTGTGTGTGTGTGTTTGTATTTTTTGTATTTGTATGTGAATTTGTATGTCTGTCTGTGTATGTATGTATGTATGTACGTGTGTGTGTGTGTGTGTGTGGTGTTTGTCTGTCTATGTGTGTGTGTATGTATGTGTGTGTGTGTGTGTGTGTGTGTGTGTGTTTGTATGTTTGTATGTTTGTATGTTTGTGTATGTGTATGTGTGTGTGTTTGTGTGTGTGCGTGTGTGTTATAATGATTGCAATAATTAATATAATTATTATTATTTGATTTACCGCTGTTTGACTGCTTTTGTTGTTTGGTGGGAACAAAATCGGGACAGACCTTCTGTGTTGAACAGCCGCTATTTTTTAGGGATCATCACAACGGCATGTATAGAGTGGACGTATATTTTGTGTCCAAAACTATTGCTGAAGTAAATTATAATTGTTTTATTTTTTTAAAAATTAATAACCAATTTATACTAATACTAACTAAAAAATTTTGTTTTCTGATTAAACAACAAAAATAAAACTAAACTAATTATAGTTACCGGTGTTTATATTGATACCCACACTGTTTGTATCAATTTATTACTATATGGTTGGCTTTAATCCACGTTTTGAACATTTTATTATAATGATAATAATCAGCAATTTGTCCACACAGTGTGCCGTCTCATTTGGTTAGTTTTTTTTTAAAAAAATATATATATAATTTCCCATTGATTTATTTAGTTATAAAACTAATTAGTTATTAGTTAATAATTAAAAATATTATTTTTTTCACAAAAAAATATTATTTAAAGGCTATTTAATATCGTGTATGACCTCATCGGCATCAATGGCCCTATCTATGGGTCCGCCCCAACTCATACCTATCATATTATTTGGCGGTTTTTTGCTAAACAATGCGTTAGTAACTAATAATAATAATATATATTTTTTTTATTATTATATCCACTATAACATACTATCACATATCAAATACACATTATATTATATTAATTAATAGAAAAACAAAATTAATTTATAAATTTTTTTTTATCATTAGTTCAATACCAAAACTATTAGTTTGGATTAAATATATTTCATGGTTTTACTATTCATTTGAATCGCTGGTCATTAACCAATGGTCAGACATCAGACATATTGATTGCGATCTACCGATACCTCAAACTAATAATCAGACGACAATTATCGGTAATAATAATATTGATAATAATCAGACCATACCGTCACCATCGGCACCGTTACCATCGAGACTGTGCTTCTCTATCGGCAAAGATGTTATCGATTATTATAATTTCAATGAAAATCATTTAATTCGTAATCTATTTGTATTGTGTTTGATTGCAACCCTATTAAAAGTTGTGGCATTTATTGTACTATTTATTAGATCCAAACAACGATAACGATCTCAATTAATTTATAAATTTTATTTAAAATATTTTTCAAATATATATATATATATTTATATATTTTAAATATTTATGTTTTATGTTTTTTAATGTTTATTATTTTAATTGTATTTTAATTTATTATCATTTACTGAGTTATAAGCAATTATATTTATTGTACACTTAATATATAGTCTATTGTATTATTTAATTATATTAAATTGATAATAAAATTTTTTGTATCAAAATTATTTGAAGATTATTATAATAACTATTATTATTATTATTATTATTATTAAAAAGTTTATCTCAGCAATTTTAAATAATATTTATAAATATCTATATAAACATATTAAGTTAAACAAAAAAAATCAATTTACTAATTTTATTTTGTTTTAAGTGCATTTTAAAAAAAATAATAATTATGAATAAAATATGAATTTGAATATGAATTATTATTATTATTAGTCAAATATCTGTACAATATATTGTTTGTTTTAATTACCGGTAATTAACAAAAAAAATATCAATTTTTATTATATATTTATATTAATTTTTATCTAATAAGGATTATATTTGTACACTTAATCTATAAATATATAGTGTCATTAACTATTTAATGTCTCTAAATAGCTATCATATTTGGATTATTAAATATATTTTGATTTGTATATAAAATTTATATATAAATTACTTTAATATATCTTTAAAAAAAACAAATAAATTTTTCCATCAAATTATTGGACAGTTATTGTTATTTTAAAGTTTTGTCTTATAAGTTATTTTTAAACAAATTTATATAACTATATAATATATATAATTTTTTAATTTTTAATTTAGTAATCTAATTGTGTGTTATTATGATATAAATATTTTTTTTAGTTTATAAATAATAAATTTATAGTACAAGTATGTAACGTATTATACAAAAAAAATAAATATAAAAACTATATTTATTAATATTGTATAATTAATTATATATAATTAATTACGTTTATCAAAAGCAATTATTTTTTTTTAAAAAATATTGATGATAAATTGATAATATTTTTAATGATATAATTGATTTTTATTGATAACAAGTTTTTTTAATATAAATTTTATAATCAATATTTTTTTAAAAAATAATTTTGAATTTATTTCATATCAAGTAGTTTTTAAAACAAAATTTTTATAATTATATTATTCTTATTATATGTTAATAATATTTATATATATTTTAATCAATAGTTAAACACCTAATACTATGTCACTAAAAAAATTTTTTTGAAGGTTACAGTACTATGTATAGCATAATAATAATATATATAATATTATATATATAACTAGGGTTTGTAATGATTTTATCTAAAATTTTTTATAAATATTTTACTAATGATTTTTTACATAAATAATAGATATATATATATTTATTTATTTATTTTGAATTTAAAATGTTTATTTTATTTAGATTTTCTGAATATATTGTAATCATATAATATTTTATAATATGGAAAAATAGTATTTTTTATATAAAAAAAATCTATTAAAATTTATGATAGTTTATAGCTTGAAAACAAAATTTAAATATTTATCATAAATTTAAAAGTATATTTATTTTTTTTAAAAGAAAAATTATAATAAGTTATTATTTATTTTTATTTTAACTAATAATTTTTTTTTATAAAATAAATAAATGTATTTTATCTTATTTTATAATTCATATATTTTTTGCTATCAATTTTATTTCCTGACTAATACTGTATTTTAAAATAAAGATTATTATTAATATTAATATTAATATTATATGTTAATAATATTTATATATATATTAATAATTAGGAAAACACCTAATTGGTAGTCAATCAACAACAAAAAATTATTACACCAAGTTTACATAAACACCACGTTATAATATATATAACATATAATATGTATAACAATATATATATAATATAACGGGTTGTTTAAAATAAATCCCGCAAAATAGTGATAATGTTGCCGACAAAAAACTATATATATATATAAAGTAAACAATGATTTAAAAATAATAATAATAATAATTTTTATTAATTAAAAATTCCATACTATATATAATGATTTTTTGTTTGTTTGTTTTCATAAATACTTGAATCATTTATCATGATTTATTATGTGATGAGTAGTTTATTTATTTATTTATTTTTGTTAAGATATCATTATATTTAAAATTTAGCAAGGTTAGGAGATACCGATTTTTTTTTAAAAAAAATGTTTGTTTAATAATAATAGTTTTTTAGATTTGATATTTTATTTTTGATAATTACAGTAATAGTTAGTTAATTTAATAGTTAAGCTAATTTGTAATTTATATTGATTGAAAAATTTAAATAAAACAATGATGTTGACTAATATTAAATTTACTAACAGAGAGATAGATAGATAGATAGATAGATAGATAGATAGATAGATAGATAGAGAGAGAGAGAGAGAGATTTACATCAGACTTATCTTTCCTTCAATAACTTGTCCTTCAATTAATAATAATAATTATAACATATTTATAACTTTAGTTTATTGTTATTTTAGTCAATATTTTAAATAATTGTAGTATATTTTATAATTAATATCTTTATTATTATAATTTTTTAAAAAAAAATATATTTCATGATAAATCTTTATTATTATTATTATTATATAGTATATAGTATATTGTATGCTAATAATAGAAAATGCACCTAGTACAATTTGCGTCATAAGTAATGAGTTAATTGTTAACATTAATCGATAATTATAGATAATATTTATATTAAATAGGCAATTAATAATAATTGACAATAAATATAATAATAATAATGATAACCTTTTTTTTTAAAAAAAAAAAAATTATAAGTATTATGTTAACTGTCAAAAAAAACAAATTTACAATTTAACATTTATGATAATTTTCCTATAGTTTTTTTTGGAGTATAAATTGGCAAATCATAGAAAACAGTTTCAAATCATTTATTCAAACAAAAAACAAAAATTTAACTTAACTATTGAATTGAAACAATTTACTATATTTTGTTTTAAAAAAAAATTCAAATACACATATAATTTGTTTGCTTTATATTATTAAAACTATAACACAACAAATTAAAAGATGAGTTTAAACAACGATGATATAGTAATCAGTGGTATGAGTGGTCGGTTCCCATTATCTGATAATATCGATGAATTTGCTGACAACCTATACAATGGTATAGATATGGTTACCGATGCCGATGACGGTGATGGTCGATGGCCTAAAGGTTATTATTATGAATTATTGATTTATTAATTAAATTATCTACATATTAATGTAAAAATGATTTTTTTAATTAACTAAAATTTATAAATAAAAATAAAACAAACAAATCAAAAGATTTATACGGAATTAGTTCAAGACAAGGAAAGGTTAGAGACTTTGACCGCTTCGATGTGTTTTTCTTCGGTATTATGCAACAAATGGCCGACGAAATTGATCCGCAATCGCGTAAACTATTGGAGACCACATACGAGGCCATTGTGGACGCCGGTGACTAAACTATTTTATTTAATTATTTTTTAATTATCATATTATTACAAATATCAAACTATTTGTATTGTATAAGTAATATACATTACTTTATATTTGCGATAATATAATATTTAGGTATAAATCCGAGTTTATTGCGCGGCACGAAAACCGGTGTTTATGTCGGTGTGTCGACCTATGCTATGACCGATAGCTATCCCGAAGAGGTACAGCCGGACATTAGGATGAGTAAACAGTCGGTAATGTTGCAGACAATGGGAAATATGAAGGCTATGTACGCCAACCGTATATCCTATGTGTTTGACTTTAAGGGACCGTCGCTTATCACAGATACGGCCTGTTCGGCCAGTTTTGTGGCCTTTAATTTGGCCATAAATGACTTAAAATTAGGTATCGGATTAATACTATTAATATTATACTCTAAATGTAAACATATAATACAAATATATAGAGTATTACTATATATAACCTATAATTCATAGGCAATATTGATTACGCTGTAGTCGGAGGAACTCAAATGACATTTGAGCCGTTTCTCGTCCAAAATTTACAAGAAATGAATGTTTGTTCACCGCGTGGCGTATCGTCGGTGTTAGACCAGGAGGCAGATGGCTTTGTCAAGGGTGACGCCATTGCCTGTCTATTCCTCCAGAGACGACCCGAGGCTCGCCGTATCTATGCCTCAGTTTTGGCCAGTCGTGTCAATGTTGACGGCAAAAAAACCAAAGGCATGTTCTTTCCATCGACAGAAGCACAAGAAGAACTGATGATTATGACCTACAAAGAGGCTAATGTGGATCCATTGAAAGTCAACTATTTTGAAGCCCATTGCACGGGAACCAGAGTAAGATTGTTATACTCATGCCATACCATATACTTTACATTACATAAAAAAGTTTATATATATATTAATACAATTAAATACAAATAGGTTGGCGATCTGCAAGAGGTTAAGGCCATCTACAATGCCTACTGTTCTGCACCTAATCGTGAGGACTACTTACCGCTTGGTGTACTCAAAAGTAATACGGGCCATACAGAAGCGGCATCGGGTGTATCGGCAATAATTAAGACATGTACTGTATTTGAAAGAGAGTGTATTCCGCCTAACATTAATTTGAAACAAATTAAAAATGAAATCAAAAACTACTGTCCACCACTGTATCCCAATACCAAACCATTGGCCTATAAGCCAGGTAGGTATCAAAACAAAACACACATACATAAGCTTTACATAATTAATTTACAATATTTTTATACAGCCATTGCAGGCATAAATAACTTTGGCATTGGAGGTGTTAACGGACACGTACTCATTGAATGTAATTATAAGTTGGCCGACGATAATGGCCTGGAAATAGCCGAATCCATACCGCGTATTGTAAACATCTGCGGCCGCACTGAAGCCGCCATTCAACACGTGTTTGACTTTATCGAGAAAAATCCTCACAAAATCACGCGCGACTTTTTAGCCCTTTTGACTGATACTATGAAAGTCAGTCCCAGTGTTAATTCAGCCGGATTTCCCTACAGAGGTTTATTTAACTAATTTATTGATAATTTTAATTTTATTAATTAAATAATATTAAATATTTAAACTTAGGATCAATTATTTTGAAGAAATTAAGTAAAGATAATAACAACAAAAACATTAGATATGAATATAAAAAACAATTTTCATTATTTAAATGCAAATCCTTAAGACCTGTTTGGCTGTTGTTTCCGGGTTTGGGCGGACAATGGCCTGCAATGGCTAAGGCTTTAATGCCAATCGATATTTTCAGAAATAAAGTCGAAGAATGTCATCAAATATTACTTGAATTTAATATCGATTTAAAACATTGGTTACTCTCTGAAGACAACACTTCCATCTCAACAATGACTGCTAAGTTCTGTACGACAACTGCTATAGAGTTGGCGTTGTTTGATGTGATTAAAGCATTGGATGTCACTGTCGACGGTATTATTGGACATTCATTTGGTGAGATAGCCTGTGCTTACGCTGACGGATGTCTGACCACAAAAGAGGCGATGATTTTGTCATATTTTAGAGGAGCCGTCACTGAAAACGATAAGAAACTACCGAAAGGTTTGATGGCTGTCGTGGGTCTGTCGAGAAACGAAGCAAAAATATTATGTCCACAAGGAGTGTATGTGGTCTGTAATAATGCTAAAGACAGTGTTGTAGTGTCTGGTAATCAATTTTAATAACACTTATATTAAAAATTTACAAATAATAATATTATTATAATAATAGGCAAACAACAAGAAATGAAGGAATTGATTGAAAAGATACGATCTATGGGTGTATTTGTTCGCCAATTAGACAGCAGTGGTATACCCTATCACTCACCATATATGCAGAGCTCGGTTAAGCCAATGATTGAGAAAACCAAAAAATACATAGAAAAACCACGACTGAGATCCAGCCGATGGTTATCGACATCAGTGGTAAACTTAGAACAACAGGACAATGACATCAATGATATCTTGAAATATGCTTCTTCAGAGTATTTTGGATATAATCTGTTAAATGCCGTCCGTTTTTATGATCGTCTGAAAACACTTCCGACCGATTCGATTATCATAGAGATGGGTCCGCATTCGGTATTCGGCAAAATAGTTACCGATACTCTTCAGTCGTCCACTTATTTGTCGTTTATGAAGAAGGACTCGAACGACACTAATTTGGATCTGTTTTTGTCGGGTTTGGCAAAACTATACGAATTGGGATTAAATCCGTCTATCGATAAGCTATATCCGACGATCGAATGGCCAGTGGCCAGAAATACCCAATCAATAGGGTCGCTGATCCGGTGGGATCATTCACAACAATACTTTTGCAAAAAATATCCCGACTTTTATTCCCGAACCACGTCATCGGATATGAACGTTGCGGTCAACATACAGATGCCTGAAGATTGTTATTACGCCGATCACGCTGTCGACGGCAACATAATATTTCCGGCCACCGGCTATATAATGTTAGTCTGGCGACACTTTGCCAGCTATTGCGGCAAAATCTGGGACCAGACGGCCGTTCACTTTGAAAATATTCAATTCAAACGACCAGTTTTTCTGTCCGATTCGTCGCCGACGCGACTCAAAGTCAGATACTTTCAAAATAGTCGTAAGTTATTATTTATAACTATAATAAAAAACAATTATTCTTAAAATTATTCTTAAAGTTTTTATTTATTTTTTAATAATTATAATATTTAGTGATAATTATTCTTAAAATAAAATTTATTACTAATATTATAATAATATTATTAATTTTTGTTTTCAGATGATTTTGTGATAATGGAAAGTGACAACATTTGTTGTTCGGGTAAAGTTAGCCGATTGACCGATGATGGACTATACGCACAGAATCTAATCTATGAGAATGACGAGCACCGGGAGCTAACCGGTGAGTATAGTTTGTCCAGAGATGACATCTACAAAGATTTACGTATTGTTGGCTACGATTACGGACCGGCATTCAGACGTCTGAAAAATGTTCGGACCAACAATTTTGACGAAATACTCGGTAGTTGCGAATGGAACGGACTGTTTGTACCGTTCCTCGACTCTCTACTACAGTCGTCGGCATTTGTGTTACCGTTTCGTAAGCTAATGGTACCCGTAATGATCAAATCGCTTAAAATCGATCCGAAATTGTTTTTCGAGGCTATCGTCAAAAATCGTATGACCGTCGATGACAATGACGGCGAGGCCATTGCCAACACAGACAAAAACAAACAAGAAGTGGCCGAAACTGTAGCCGAAGGGAAACGTACGGAACTGGATGAAGAAGAACTGGCCGTTTCTATATTACAAGATCTGGAACAGACCAATGAAATGAACGATCAGTTTTCTGAACGCTTTCATAAATACCAATCGTTGGTATCGTTTTATTTTGATTACGACTCGAAATTGTTGGTCACCTATGGTATCGAAATCTGCGATCTCATAATGTTTCCCATTTCTCGCCGATCAGACAATCAGGATCTGGTACTCGATTCCTATGAGTTTCTCTCCAATGAGGACATGGATGCCATCGAACCGTCCCATAAGCGCATGATTTCTGAATATTTAGAGGTAATTATTCAACTCATATATTGTAATAATAATTATATACTAATTAATAATAATTAATTTAATGTATAGAGTTAATTAATTAAGTAATTTTTAAATATATTATGGTATAAACTTTTTTTTAACTATATATTTACTATGAAATCAAAACAGGTATGCAAAATGTTGATTGTTTTGATGAAAAAATTCGGTGTTAATAATAATAATAATATTGTATACGATATCAACACTAATATAAACTATGAATTAATAGAAAAATATAGAAAATCATTAAATAATGAAAACTTTGTAATGTTTCGTATTTTGGATAAAATATTGACAACTATTTGCGGTCAAAATTATAGTAATAATAATAATGTTATCGATAGCAACAAAAATAATATTATTGATAATAGTACTTATGATATGAAATTAAATGAAAATAATAGTAAAATTGTTGCAAAAATATGGTCAGAAATTAAGTCAGAACCTGAATATGATTTTGTTAAAGACATCACTAATGAGATCCATACAAATGATTTGTTGTTACGATCGTTGGTCGATATTGTCAATGAAAATCTGGTGCCACAAAAATCGGTAAAAGTTATTGAAATTAACTTAACTCAAGGATTGTTGGCCAAAGAGATTGAAAATTTGATAACAAACTATAATCTCCTACCCATTGATGTCGACTACAAACTAATTGTCCGATCGATGGATGTATTGCCAAACGATTTATCATTACAGGATAGATATGCTGCCAGTGTTTGGCAGATAAGTGATAGTTATTTTCCCACTGATATATCAATTGGCGATTTTATTGTGTTGAGAGACTCTCATCATATCTACGATGACAACAACATAGATGTCGACAAACTTATCATAAATTTAAGCGACTATATTGTCAGCAATGGATTTTTGTTGACAATTCATAGATATAGGTTTACGGATACAGAGCTAATGTTAAACAACATCGTCAACAACGGCACAGTTAACGGCAGAAAACTGTTGGACAACTCGTTTCTGGAGCAACGTATCGACCAGTTTATTACGGCTGCTAATCGAGCGGGTCTTCGGCTAATTGGCCGCAAATACGACACAATCGGTACTATGGCTCTACTGTATCGCAAAACGGTTAGCGAACTGGTCAATGGCAAACCTGATTTACCAAAATTGATCATGGTCGATTCATTTATGTATGACAATTGGTTGCCACAAATCAGAGATAAAATAATTGAAAATAATGAAACCGATAGATCAAGTGATACAGTTTGGTTGATAGCTAATGATTCCCAAAGAAACGGTATTTTAGGATTAATTAATAGTCTAAGACTGGAACCGGGAGGCAATCGTTTCAAATGTATTATCGATTACAATATTAGTGACAATAATAATATTATAACCGGCAATGATATCAATTATGTAGAATTTCAGGCAAAATACAAACATATTTTGGCCAATGGTTTGGCTGTCAATGTCATCAACAAAGATGATGGCAAACATAAGCCAAAAGTGGGAACTTATAGACATCTTAAGCTAAACAAAGATTACGATAAAATCAAATCCGATGACTACTTCTTGAATGTCGGTCAGGGAAGAGATCTGTCAAGTCTTCAATGGTTTGATTCGCGATGTTTGGTGCCGTCCGATGAAGTCGTCTATGATTTTTCAAATAACCTAATAAAACAAATACCGATCAAAATATACAGTTCCGGACTTACATTTCACGACATTATGTTTGCAACCGGTATTTAATGCAATTTTTTCACTTTTAGCTCACTTATCATATACATGTATATATATTGAATGAATTAAATTTAATAAACATATATGTGTTTGTTTAGGTCGTATACCGAGTGGACCGATGCTATTATTTATCGATTGTCTCATTGGTATTGAGTTTGCGGGCCGTCGTACTGACACTGGAGAACGGGTTATGGGCTTTGATATAACCCGATGTTATGCGACTAGTATTCAAGGAAATGACAATTTTATAACTAATATACCGAATCACTGGTCAATGGACGATGCGGTCACTATATTGAGCACATATAGCACCGTATGGTATGGTTTGATAGATAGAGCTCACTTAAAGAGAAGTATGTGTTTATCATATATCGTAGTATTTAATATATTAATTATTATATTTAATAGTTAAATGGTAGAAAAATTTGTTATTACTTATTATTATTACTTATAGATGAAAGCATTTTAATACATTCGGGTGCTGGAGGTGTGGGTCAGGCGGCCATAAATATATGCCAATACTATAACTGCGATATCTTTGTGACGGTTGGAACTGAAGACAAAAAACAGTTTCTTATCAAAGAATATAATATTCCTGAAAACAGAATATTCAGTTCAAAAGATATATTGTTTAAGTTAAGGATAAAACAGTTGACTAAAGGAAAAGGAGTCGATTTGGTATTGAATTCATTGACCGGTGAAAAATTGGACGCCAGTTACGAGTGTCTGGCAAATAGGGGTCGGTTTGTTGAACTGGGAAAATATGATCAAATGCAAAACAAACAGATCGGTATGTTTGACTTTTTGAGAGACATATCGTTCATTGGTGTGGCTGTCGATATGTGTCTGTTTGAGGCTCAGGATTTTACCATCAATTTCTTTGATTGGATGCATAAAAACTCTTCAAATGGATGTATTAAACCAATTAATAGGACTGTATTTGATGTTAACGAAGCGGAAAAGGCATTCAGATATATGACAACCGGTAAACACATCGGAAAAATTATTCTTAAGATTAGAGACGAAGAATCCGATAGAAATGCTGTTAAAAATATGAATCCATCCATTGGTTTGTTAGTAAAAACTAAAACATATTTTAATCCAAACAAAGTTTATATAATAACGGGAGGTTTGGGTGGTTGTGGTCTAGAATTAGTTCATTGGATGCTATATAAGGGGGCAAAAAAGTTTGTACTAAACTCACGAAATGGCATTAAAAATGATTATCAAAAATATATTTTGAAACGTTTAGAAACTTTCGGTAAAAAATACAAAATGTTTTCATCGGAAATCATAGTATCCACTGCTAATTGTTTGACAATTGACGGCACAAAACAACTTTTAGGTGAATCACAACAATTGGGTAAAACAATTGGCGGTGTCTTTCATTTGACACTATTATTGAATGATCTGTTGCTGGAAAACCAAACAACTGATACATTTAGTGAAACTGTTGCCTCAAAATATACAATATTTGCTAATTTGGATCAAATGATTCGCAAATTGGACATCAAATTAGATTATTTTGTTGTATTTTCGTCGGTAATTGCGGGCAAAGGAAACGGCGGTCAAAGTAATTATGCTTTTGGTAACTCAATGTGCGAACGATTATGTGAATTAAGATCTGATGACGGATTGAAAGCACTGGCCATACAATTTGGTCCGATCGGTGATGTGGGCGCCCTGTCTAACAAGGATCAGGTCGTCCAGATGTCTAATATGAAGAAACAGAGAATCAATTCGGTCTTTGAAGTCATGGATAGACTACTGGCCGTCGATAAGCTGATTGTCACTTCTTATGTAAATATTATTATTATTACTTATGTTTTATGTTTTACCGATATGTATATAATATCTAAAAAATGACAATTTTAAAGCTAAAATCTGAACGAATAATCCAATCGGGAAGTCGTCAGAAACGTGTGATTAAGGAGATGTGGCGGGCATTGGGTATCGATCCGGACAATACTCCCGATTATCTATCACTGGGAGAGATAGGACTCGAGTCGATGTTTGCCGTAGAACTTAAACAAGAGTTGGAACGGGAGTACAATATTAAGATGTCGTTATATCACGTCAAGAATATTACCGTCCGATTACTTAAAGAGTATGAGTCGGGTCGGGTTGAAGACTTTAATCGATACGTCCAGGAGATCAAAGTGGCCAAAACTAATCTATTGAAGTGTAAATTCATTATACCTACCAATAGGATCACCAAATTGAATGACATTACCGTTGGTCGACCCATATATTTCTTGCCGGCCATTCAGGGATCGTTCAAAGTTATCGATGATTTAGCCAAACGATTTCATAGGCCAGTTGTCGGCATCAATTGGACGCGCGATATGGATGGCATCGAATCGGTCAATGAATTGACCAAATATTTTATAGATCTATTGAATACTATACACAACAACAACAATGATTCGTATGATATCGTCGGCTACTTTGACTGTGCATTCATTGCCACTAAAATAGTCCGCAAGACTCGTGGTGTCAAACGAGCCGTTATTATTGATATACTATCGGAAACACAGTTCAATGAGGACGCGGTTACCGATGAATTTCTATTGGAATTTATCTTTGATTTCATGACCAGTAATATACCGAAAATATTTAAGGATAAGATATCTCGTGATATGAAATCCGAGCCAAATATTGAGTCACGTCTTAGACGCGGATGCAATGAGATCCGTGAGTTTGGCGGCAACGGTCTGATGGCCACCGATTTGGAAGAAATTCTTCGTAATTCATTGAAACGGACAAAAATGTTGGCCACTTATAGATCGCTGAAAATAAAGAAATTGATTACAAAACAACAAATCAAATCCAAGAATCTGATGGATAAATGGGCTAATAATAGGCAAAAGCTAACAATAATCAAACCGTTTGAGTTCAACAATATTGATGACGAAGAAGTATTTGTCAATAAAACAAATCAGTTATACTTTTTGCCAACAAATCCGGTAAACAATTAATACATTTTTTTTATTATATTATAATATTATCTATTTTTTTTAGTTACTTTCTTACAGTTGTTTTTATTATACTGTACTTGTATTTAGTGTACAGTATTTAGCCTACAATTTACTATTGTTTTAATCTATATTTTCATCCGTCTATTATCCAAATTGTTTAATGGAAACTAATTGAATTGAATTATTATTATTATTATTATTATTATTATTATTATTATTATTATTATTATTATTATTATTATTATTATTATTATTATTATTATTATTATTATTATTATTATTATTATTATTATTATTATTATTATTATTATTATTATTATTATTATTATTATTATTATTATTATTATTATTATTATTATTATTATTATTATTATTATTATTATTATTATTATTATTATTATTATTATTATTATTATTATTATTATTATTATTATTATTATTATTATATTGACTATTATTTTAATTAGTTTCTTACAGTTGTTTTTTATTATTATACTTGTATTTAGTGTACAGTATTTAGTCTACAATTTACTATTGTTTTAATCTATATTTTCATCGATCTATTATCCAAATTGTCTACTTTTAATGGAAACTAATTTGAATTAATTAATTTGAATTTAATTGATTACTTTATGTTAAAATTTATGCTTAATTTATTTTATATATCATTTTTTGAAAGATATATTTTTTCTCTAAAAAATATTAGGAAACAAATGATTTGACGTTTGATTTAATTAAAGTCGACGAACACTCCCTAACATTTGCATCGGAAAAAATTGGCGATAAATTAATTGATTTATTAGATTATCAATAAATTTATTCTCAATAAAATAAATTACAAATATTATTCTAACATTTATATTTTGTTTTATGTCTTTAAAAAAAAATATTAAACATATTATTGTATTAATAAAAAAAATTTAATATAATAAGATTTAAATGTTAATTATTTTATATTACTATATTACACAAATATAAACTATAGTGTATAAACGTAATACTCTATGTACTACTGTATAAATATGAAAAATAATAATTATATAAGAAAATACATTTTACTAATTAAAATATTTGAATTATTTTTTATAAAATAATAAAAGTTATTATTTAAATTTTCTATAAATTACTTAATTACAAAAAATAAATAATAATTAACTACTACTAATATATATATATATATATATATATATATATATATATATATATATATATATATATATATATATATATATATATATATATATATATACAGTATATGTATGCAATTAAATATATTTACTAATAATCATATTTTTTTAATTAATAAAAATTAAAAATTTATTAGACAATTCTTGATTATTAATTACATATTACATTAACACATAAACATATAGTATATAGTAATGATAAAAATTTTACACAATTAAACATTGCTTCAAAATATAAATTAATAACATTATTCGATCATTATTATCAAGTTTCAATAATGTGGCCAATAATGTTTAGATCGAAAATTATTTATCGAATTTAGACATTCGAGTTCGAATCCTGGAGGGGTAGTCATGTCTTTTTTTTTATTGTCCATCGATTTTTCAACAGGACTGTAGTAATCATACGATTCTATTTGATTATGATTTATCAAGGTAGTACCAATTTCATGATAATTTGATGCTATATTTTTTAAATAGACAGTCAGAAGTATATATAGTATATATATATCAAATTAATTAGCATTGTATATGTTATTGAAAAATCTATGAATGGCCTATGCAGTGAAAGTATGTTTTTCTATTTGGTAAAATAAATGCAAAAAAAACTGTCCGATTATTAACAAAACCAAAACAATAGTATACACACCACAAGCAAATATCATAGATTACACTTAATATATATATATATATATATGTACAAATAAAATAGTGTGTATAATAACTATGTAACCTATAGTCTATGTTTTGTAAAAACTCGGCCCCTCTAAGCATTAAACACTAATATTGCGCGCATATCTGTAACATTAAAACTGTCAGAATATATTCAAAACCAAAATATTGGATAATTTTAAAAAAAAATATTATAGATCTCTCAGCTATAAGTTTAAGCATTAATTCAATAATATTATAATTGGTATTTTTTAAAAGTGTTATTACTATAAATAAATAGAATATATTTATAAATAAAAAAATACTAATTATAAAATTAGTTTTTTATTAAAAAAAACAATTGTTGAAAAAATGGGAAAAATTTGTTGTTTTTTGCCTATTTATTGATTACATAATGCATTTATACATTATAATAATAATATCATTGTATTAATGCCTAAACTTAAAAGCTGACACATCTATAATAATTTTTTTTTTTTAAATATCCAATACTGTATTTTGGTTTTGAATATAGTCGATTAGTATTACTGTATTAATGGGTAGTCATTATTGTTTTGGTTTTGAATATAGTCGATTAGTATTACTGTATTAATGGGTAGTCATTATTGTTTTGGTTTTGAATATAATCGAACAGTTTTTTGTTGTTGTTATTGAATGCAATATACAAAACACATGTGTTTTTATTATTGAACACAAAAAATAAAATATTTAAACACAAAACACATAAACAAAACAAAAATCAAAAAATGTTTTTTTTGTGAATTAAATGATTGACTGAAAGTGTTTTTTTTGGGAACCGATTATCGGGTGATGTCTGCAGCCGTAGTAGTAGTGGTAGTGAAACGATTGTCACGACTAGTGGACACCGTATATCGTCAGCTAAAGTACAACAACCGATTCGTACGCAAATGGAAGAGATATTTATGGCCAACGAATAGTCCAGTGAATTGGCCGAACAAATGTCGCCGATATCCCGATTTGATGAACAAATTTATGGCCGAAAGAGACGATCGGCTGAGCAAACAGCCAATCCAGAGGTTAACAGTCGATATGTATAGGGATTTGATAGCCGACAGCGGCGGAGGAGACTCGGAGGCGGTGATCACCGAGGAAGACACGGCAGCGGCGGTTCGCGAAATTGTCGACTATTTTAATTCGTCGCTAATTAGGTCGAGATATTGTCCGGAAACGGTTACCGTTAAGGATATGAAGTATATGTTGGGAAATATCGGCGAATTTTATCGCCGAAAACAACACTTAGATTATATGTTTGTCCATGAATTTGATTGTTGGCGACAGCGTAGGGAACACGAGGCCAACCGATCCGATCGTAAGGCCAAAGAGTTGGCAGCGATGGCCGACTTTCGACAGATCGGTTGTTTTGATAGCGAAAATCGTCTGCAATACGGCTTCTGGAGGAACACACTGTTCACCAGATATTTCAATCAATCGGCTAAACAATACTCGTTCAATAGATTACGAACGGCCACACTTTACGGCCAAAAACTGGTCATCGATTGTTCGTTTGATACGGAAATGCAAGACTACGAAACCGAAAGCGTTGGCCGACAATTGGCCGGCATTTATCATACAAATCGTTTGCCGCCGTCGCCGACAACCGAACCGTTTGATCTGTACTTTTGTAACTGTCGTCCCGACGGTCGTGTCTATCGAAAATGGATGAAATATATGCGTCCGCTGGACAGTGATCTCAACAAATACTATGTAAATGTTACCGAAAACAACTATTTAGATATGTTTCCTAAGGAACAACTGATTTATTTGACACCCGATGCCCGACAAGTACTGACCGAATTTGATCCGAACGCTATCTACATATTGGGTTCATTGGTCGGCAAGACATGTAGTCTACCGCTGACCAAATGGAAAGCCGAACGGGAAGGTCTACAACATTATAAGCTACCGATACATATGTTTGTCAAATTGAATCCGGGAGTCAAACGGACACAAAGTTTTCTGTCGTGTTTTAAGATATTACTCGAAATGAAAGATCATAACAATTGGGAACTGGCTTTCAATAGAGGCATCAAATCCGACAAACTTTATATAAATAATAATAATAATAATAATAGATTATAATATTAGGATAATTTAGTTAATATATTCATATCATATCATTTAAGATTATTAATAAATTTTTTAAAATTATTGTCAATGATATACATATTTACATATAATTAAATAAATTAATTAAAAATTAATTAAAATAGTTATCGATAATAATTAGTTATATATATATAAATAAAATATTTTATTATATGATTATTTAGGTACAGTACTAGTAAATAAAATATATGATTTATTTCAATTAATTATGTATTATTTGTGTAATCTATTGATCCAGAAATCATCAAATCAAGTGATATTTTTTTTATATTCGACTTTATCGATAAAGTCGAAAGTCGAAAATTTTTTTTAACTAAAGTTATTTATGAATATAATAGACGATTTCAATGTAATTAACAAAAATTATTATTAGTAGTAGTAAATTACTACTAGTAATTATATTAGTAGTAAATATATTTAATTGCATAGATATATATATATATATATATATTACCAGTAGTTAATTATTATTTTTTTTGTAATTAAGTAATTTATAGAAAATTTATTATTATTATTTTTATTATTAAAAAAAATAATTCAAATATTTTAATTAGTAAAATGTATTTTCTTATATAATTTTTATTTTTCATATTTATACTGTAGTACATAGAGTATTACGTTTATACACTATAGTATAGTATAGTGACTATACTTTATATGTGTGTAATATAGTAACAGAAAATAATTAACATTTAAATCTTATTATATTAAATTTTTTTTTATTAATACAATAATATGTTTAATATTTTTATAAAAACATAAAACAAAATATAAATGTAAGAATAATATTTGTAATTTTTTTTATTGACAATAAATTTATTGATAATCTAATAAATCAATTAATTTATCGCCAATTTTTTCCGATGCAAATGTTAGGGAGTGTTCGTCGACTTTAATTAAATTAAACATCAAATCATTTGTTTCCTAATAATTTTGTGAGAAAAAAATATTTTTAAAAAAAAGATCTATAAAATAAATTAAACATAAAGTTTAACATAAAGTAATCAATTAAAATCAAATTAATTAATTCAATTAGTTTCCATTAAACAATTTGGATAATAGACGGATGAAAATATAGATTAAAACAATAGTAAATTGTAGGCTAAATACTGTACACTAAATACAAGTACAGTATAATATAACTGTAAAAACAACTATAAGAAAGTAACTAAAAAAATAGATAATATAATAATTTTTAAAAAAATGTATTAATAGTTTACCGGATTTGTTGGCAAAAAGTATAACTGATTTGTTTTATTGACAAATACTTCTTCGTCATCAATATTGTTGAACTCAAACGGTTTGATTATTGTTAGCTTTTGCCTATTATTAGCCCATTTATCCATCAGATTCTTGGATTTCATTTGCTGTTTTGTCAACAATTTCTTTATTTTCAGCGATCTATAAGTGGCCAACATTTTTGTCCGTTTCAATGAATTACGAAGAAYTTCTTCCAAATCGGTGGCCATCAGACCGTTGCCGCCAAACTCACGGATYTCATTGCATCCGCGTCTAAGACGTGACTCAATATTTGGCTCGGATTTCATATCACGAGATATCTTATCCTTAAATATTTTCGGTATATTACTGGTCATGAAATCAAAGATAAATTCCAATAGATATTCATCGGTAACCGCGTCCTCATTGAACTGWGTTTCCGATAGTATATCAATAATAACGGCWCGTTTGACACCACGAGTYTTGCGGACWATTTTAGTGGCAATGAATGCACAGTCAAAGTAGCCGACGATATCATACGAATCATTGTTGTTGTTGTGTATAGTATTCAATAGATCTATAAAATATTTGGTCAATTCATTGACCGATTCGATGCCATCCATATCGCGCGTCCAATTGATGCCGACAACTGGCCTATGAAATCGTTTGGCTAAATCATCGATAACTTTGAACGATCCCTGAATGGCCGGCAAGAAATATATGGGTCGACCAACGGTAATGTCATTCAATTTGGTGATCCTATTGGTAGGTATAATGAATTTACACTTTAATAGATTAGTTTTGGCCACTTTGATCTCCTGGACGTATCGATTAAAGTCTTCAACCCGACCCGACTCATACTCTTTGAGTAATCGGACGGTAATATTCTTGACGTGATATAACGACATCTTAATATTGTACTCCCGTTCCAACTCTTGTTTAAGTTCTACGGCAAACATCGACTCGAGTCCTATCTCTCCCAGTGATAGATAATCGGGAGTATTGTCCGGATCGATACCCAATGCCCGCCACATCTCCTTAATCACACGTTTCTGACGACTTCCCGATTGTATTATTCGTTCGGATTTTAGCTTAAAAATTGTCATATTTTTATGTTTAGATATTTTATACATATCGGTAAAACATAAGTAATAATAATAATATTTACATATGAAGTGACAATCAGTTTATCGACGGCCAGTAGTCTATCCATGACTTCAAAAACTGAATTGATTCTCTGTTTCTTCATATTAGACATCTGGACGACCTGATCCTTGTTAGACAGGGCGCCCACATCACCGATCGGACCAAATTGTATGGCCAATGATTTTAATCCATCAGCAGATCTTTGTTCACATAATCGTTCGCACATTGAGTTACCAAAAGCATAGTTACTTTGACCACCGTTTCCTTTGCCCGCCACTACCGACGAAAATACTACAAAATAATCTAAATTGATGTCCAATTTGCGAGTCATTTGATCCAAATTATCAAATATTTTATATTTTGAGGCAACAGTTGAACCAAATGTATCAGTTGTTTGGTTTTCCAGCAACAGATCATTCAATAATAGTGTCAAATGAAAGACACCGCCAATTGTTTTACCCAATTGTTGTGATTCATCTAAAAGTTGTTTTGTGCCGTCAATTGTCTGACAATTAGCTGTCGATACTATGATTTCCGATGAAAACATTTTGTATTTTTTACCGAAAGTTTCTAAACGTTTCAAAATATATTTTTGATAATCATTTTTGATGCCATTGCGTGAGTTTAGTACAAACTTTTTTGCCCCCTTATATAGCATCCAATGAACTAATTCTAGACCACAACCACCCAAACCACCCGTTATTATATAGACTTTATTTGGATTAAAGTATGTCTTAGTTTTTACTAACAAACTAATGGATGGATTCATATCTTTAACAGCATTTCTATCGGATTCTTCGTCTCTAATCTTAAGAATAATTTTTCCGATGTGTTTACCGGTTGTCATATATCTGAATGCCTTTTCCGCTTCATTAACACCAAATACAGTCCTATTAATTGGTTTAATACATCCATTTGAAGAGTTTTTATGCATCCAATCATAGAAATTGATTGTAAAATCCTGAGCCTCAAACAGACACATATCGACAGCCACACCAATGAACGATATGTCTCTCAAAAAGTCAAACATACCGATCTGTTTGTTTTTCATTTGATCATACTTTCCCAGTTCAACAAACCGACCCCTATTTGCCAGACACTCGTAACTGGCGTCCAATTTTTCACCGGTCAATGAATTCAATACCAAATCGACTCCTTTTCCTTTAGTCATCTGTTTTATCCTTAACTTAAACAATATATCTCTTGAACTGAATATTCTGTTTTCAGGAATATTATATTCTTTGATAAGAAACTGTTTTTTGTCTTCAGTTCCAACCGTCACAAAGATATCGCAGTTATAGTATTGGCATATATTTATGGCCGCCTGACCCACACCTCCAGTACCGGAATGTATTAAAATGCTTTCATCTATCAGTAATAATAAAAAGTAATAACAATAATTAAATATATATTATATATCTTATGATAGTTAATATATTAAATACAATATACTACAATATACGATAAACACATACTTCTCTTTAAGTGAGCCCTATCTATCAAACCATACCATACGGTGCTATATGTGCTCAATATAGTAACCGCATCGTCCATTGACCAGTGATTCGGTATTTTAGTTATAAAATTGTCATTTCCATGAATACTAGTCGCATAACATCGGGTTATATCAAAACCCATAATCCGCTCTCCATTGTCAATCCGACGGCCAGCAAACTCAATACCAATGAGACAATCGGTAAATAATAGCATCGGTCCACTCGGTATACGACCTAAATAAACACATATATGTTTATAAAAGTTAATTAATTCAATATATATTTGATAAGTAAGCTAAAAGTTACAAAATTAATACCGGTTGCAAACATAATGTCGCGAAATGTTAGTCCAGAACTGTATATATTGATCGGTATTTGTTTTATTCGGTTATTTGAAAAATCATAGACGCCTTCATCGGACGACACCAAACATCGCGAATCAAACCATTGAAGACTTGATAGATCTCTTCCCTGACCGACATTCAAGAAATAGTCATTGGATATGATTTTATCGTAATCTTTATTTAGCTTAAGATGTCTATAAGTTCCCACTTTTGGTTGATTTTTGTCATCATATTTATTGATTACATTGACTGACAAACTATTGGCCAAAATATGTTTGTATTTTTGATAATAATCCAAACAATTGATATCATTATTGCCGGTTATAGTATTGTAATCGATAATACATTTGAAACGATTGCCTCCCGGTTCAAGTCTTAGACTATTAATTAATCCTAAAATACCGTTTCTATGGGAATCATTGGCTATCAACCAAACCGTGTCACTTGATCTATTGGTTTCATTATTTTCAATTATTTTATCCCTGATTTGTGGCAACCAATTGTCATACATAAATGAATCTACCATGATCATTTTTGGTAAATCAGGGTTGCCATTGACCAGTTCGCCAACAGTTTTGCGAAACAGTAGAGCCATAGTACCGATGGTGTCATATTTGCGGCCAATTAGCCGAAGACCCGCTCGATTAGCAGCCGTAATAAACTGGTCGATCCGTTGCTCAAGAAACGAGTTGTCCAACAGTTTTCTATTGTTAACTGTGTCATTGTTTAACATCATCTCTGTATCCGTAAACATATATTTATGAATTGTCAACAAAAATCCATTGCTGACAATATAGTCGCTTAAATTTAAGATAAATTTGTCGACATCTATGTTGATGTCATCATATATATGCTGAGAGTCTCTAAACATAATAAAATCGCCAATTGATATATCAGTTGGAAAATCACTATCACTTGTTTGCCAAACACTGGCAGCATATCTGTCCTGTAATGATAAATCGTTTAGCAATACATCCATCGATCGGACGATTAGTTTGTAGTCGACATCAATGGGAAGGAGATTATAGTTTGTTATCAAATCTTCAATCTCTTTGGCCAACAATCCTTGAGTTAAGTTAATTTCAATAACTTTTACCGATTTTTGTGGCACCAAATTTTCATTGACAATATCGACCAACGATCGCACCAACAAATCATTTGTATGGATCTCATTAGTGATATCTTTAATAAAATCATATTCAGGTTTCGACTTAATTTCTGCCCATATTTTTGCAACAATTTTACTATTATTTTCAGTTAATTTCTTATCATAGCTACTATTATCAATAATATTATTTTTGTTGTTATCGATAACATTATTATTATTACTATAATTTTCACCGCAAATAGTTGTCAATATTTTATCCAAAATACGAAACATTACAAAGTTTTCATTATTTAATGATTTTCGATATTTTTCGATTAATTCATAGTTTATATTAGTGTTGATATCGTATACAATATTATCATTATTAATACCAAATTTTTTCATCAAAACAATCAACATTTTGCATACCTGTTTTGATTTCATAGTAAATATATAGTTAAAAAAAGGTTTATACAAAAAACATATACAAAAATTACTTAATTAATTAATTTTATACATTAAATTAATTATTATTAATTAGTATCTTATAATTATTACAATATATGAGTTGAATATTTACCTCTAAATATTCAGAGATCATACGCTTATGGGACGGTTCGATGGCATCCATGTCCTCATTGGCGACAAACTCATAGTAATCGAGTACCAGATCCTGATTGTCTGATCGCCGGGAAATGGGAAACATTATGAGATCGCAGACTTCGATACCATAGGTGACCAACAATTTCGAGTCGTAATCAAAATAAAACGATACCAACGATTGGTATTTATGAAAGCGTTCAGAAAACTGATCGTTCATTTCATTGGTCTGTTCCAGTTCTTGTATTATAGAAACTGCCAGTTCTTCTTCATCCAGTTCCGTACGTTTCTCTTCGGCTACAGTTTCGGCCACTTCTTGCTTGTTTTTGCCGGTGTTGGCAATAGCGTCGTCGTCATTGTCATCGACAGTCACACGATTTTTGACAATAGCCTCGAAAAACAGTTTCGGATCGATTTTAAGCGATCTGATCATTACGGGTACCATTAGCTTACGAAACGGTAACACAAATGCCGACGACTGTAGTAGAGAGTCGAGGAACGGTACAAACAGTCCGTTCCATTCGCAACTACCGAGTATTTCGACAAAATTGTTGGTCCGAACGCTTTTCAGTCGTCTGAATGCCGGTCCGTAATCGTAGCCAACAATACGTAAATCTTTGTAGATGTCGTCTCTGGTCAGCTTATACTCATCGGTTAGTTCCCTGTGCTCATCATTCTCATAGATTAGATTCTGTGCGTATAGTCCATCATCGGTCAATCGGCTAACTTTACCCGAACAACATATGCTGTCACTTTCCATAACTATAAAATCATCTGAAAACAAAAATTAATAATAAAATTTTAATAATTGTAATAAATGTTATTTTAATAATAATTGTTTTTATTATAGTTATCACTAAATATTATTATTATTATTAAAATATAAATAAAAACTTACGACTATTTTGAAAGTATCTGACTTTGAGTCGTGTCGGCGTCGAATCGGACAGAAAAACTGGTCGTTTGAATTGTATGTTTTCAAATTGAACGGCCGTCTGGTCCCAGGTTTTGCCACAATAGCTGGCAAAGTGGCGCCAGACTAACATTATATAGCCAGTGGCCGGAAATATTATGTTGCCGTCGACAGCGTGATCGGCGTAATAACAATCTTCAGGCATCTGTATGTTGACCGCAACGTTCATATCCGATGCCGTGGTTCGGGCATAAAAATCGGGATATTTTTTGCAAAAGTATTGTTTCGAATGATCCCATCGGATCAGCGATCCTATTGATTGGGTATTTCTGGCCACTGGCCATTCGACTGGCGGATAGAGCTTATCGATAGACGGATTTAATCCCAATTCGTATAGTTTGGCCAAACCCGACAAAAACAGATCCAAATTAGTGTCGTTCGAGTCTTTCTTCATAAACGACAAATAAGTGGCCGACTGAAGAGTATCGGTAACTATTTTGCCGAATACCGAATGGGGACCCATCTCTATGACAATCGAATCGGTCGGAAGTGTTTTCAAACGATCATAAAAATAGACGGAATTTAACAGATTATATGCAAAATACTCTGAAGAAGCATATTTCAAGATGTCGTTGTTATCATTGTCCTGTTCTAAGTTTACCACTGATGTCGATAACCATCGGCTGGATCTGAGCCGTGGTTTTGGTATGTATTTCCTGGTTGTCTCTATCAATGGCTTAACCGAGCTATGCATATATGGCGAGTGATAGGGTATACCACTGCTGTCCAATTGGCGAACAAATACACCCATAGATCGTATCTTTTCAATCAATTCCTCCATTTCTTGTTGTTTGCCTATTATTATGTATAATTATCAAACAGATTAATTGCATAAAGATTATTAATAAATTATAATTAAAATTGATTACCAGATACGACAACACTGTCTTTGGCATTATTGCAGACCACATACACTCCTTGTGGACACAATTTCTTTGCTTCGTTTCTCGACAGACCCACGACAGCCATCAAACCTTTCGGTAGTTTCTTATCGTTTTCAGTGACGGCTCCTCTAAAATATGACAAAATCATTGCCTCTTTTGTGGTCAGACATCCGTCAGCGTAAGCACAGGCTATCTCACCAAATGAATGTCCAATAATACCGTCAATATTGACATCCAATGCTTTAATCACATCAAACAACGCCAACTCTATAGCAGTTGTCGTACAGAACTTAGCAGTCATTGTTGAGATGGAAGTGTTGTCTTCAGAGAGTAACCAATGTTTTAAATCGACATTAAATTCAAGTAATATTTGATGACATTCTTCGACTTTATTTCTGAAAATATCGATTGGCATTAAAGCCTTAGCCATTGCAGGCCATTGTCCGCCCAAACCCGGAAACAACAGCCAAACAGGTCTTAAGGATTTGCATTTAAATAATGAAAATTGTTTTTTATATTCATATCTAATGTTTTTGTTGTTATTTTCTTTATTTAATTTCTTCAAAATAATTGATCCTAAGTTTAAATATTAATAAATTACTTTAATTAAAATTATCTATAAATTAGTTAAACAAACCTCTGTAGGGAAAGCCGGTTGAGTTAACACTTGGACTGACTTTCATAGTATCAATCAAAAGGGCTAAAAAGTCGCGCGTGATTTTGTGAGGATTTTTCTCGATAAAGTCAAACACGTGTTGAATAGCGGCTTCAGTGCGGCCGCAGATGTTTACAATACGCGGTATGGATTCGGCTATTTCCAGGCCATTATCGTCGGCCAACTTATAATTACATTCAATGAGTACGTGTCCGTTGACACCTCCAATACCAAAGTTATTTATGCCGGCAATGGCTGTATAAAAATATTGTAAATTAATTATGTAAAGCTTATGTATGTGTGTTTTGTTTTGATACCTACCTGGCTTATAGGCCAATGGTTTTGTATTGGGATATAGTGGTGGACAGTAGTGTTTGATTTCATTTTTAATTTGTTTCAAATTAATGTTAGGCGGAATACACTCTCTTTCAAATACAGTACATGTCTTAATTATTGCCGATACACCCGATGCCGCTTCCGTATGGCCCGTATTACTTTTGAGTACACCAAGCGGTAAGTAGTCCTCACGATTAGGTGCAGAACAGTAGGCATTGTAGATGGCCTTAACCTCTTGCAGATCGCCAACCTATTTGTATTTAATTGTATTAATATATATAAACATTTTTATGTAATGTATGGTATGGTATGAGTAATATCTAACTCTGGTTCCCGTGCAATGGGCTTCAAAATAGTTGACTTTCAATGGATCCACATTAGCCTCTTTGTAGGTCATAATCATTAGTTCTTCTTGTGCTTCTGTCGATGGAAAGAACATGCCTTTGGTTTTTTTGCCGTCAACATTGACACGACTGGCCAACACTGAGGCATAAATACGGCGAGCCGAGGGTCGTCTCTGGAGGAATACACAGGCAATGGCGTCACCCTTGACAAAGCCATCTGCCTCCTGGTCTAACACCGACGACACGCCACGCGGTGAACAAACATTCATTTCTTGTAAATTTTGGACGAGAAACGGCTCAAATGTCATATGAGTTCCTCCGACTACAGCGTAATCAATATTGCCTATGAATTATAGGTTATATATAGTAATATATATATATTTGTATTTACAATATAATATTAATATTAATAGTATTAATCCGATACCTAATTTCAAGTCATTTATGGCCAAATTAAAGGCCACAAAACTGGCCGAACAGGCCGTATCAGTGATAAGCGACGGTCCCTTAAAGTCAAACACATAGGATATCCGGTTGGCGTACAGAGCCTTCATATTTCCCATTGTCTGCAACATTACCGACTGTTTACTCATCCGAATATCCGGCTGTACCTCTTCGGGATAGCTATCGGTCATAGCATAGGTCGACACACCGACATAGACACCGGTTTTCGTACCGCGCAATGAACTCGGATTTATACCTAAATATTATATAATCGCAAATATATAGTACTGTATATTACTTCTACAATAAAAATAGTTTGATATTTGTAATAAAATGATAATTAAAAAATAATTAAATAAAATAGTCACCGGCGTCCACAATGGCCTCGTATGTGGTCTCCAATAGTTTACGCGATTGCGGATCAATTTCGTCGGCCATTTGTTGCATAATACCGAAGAAAAACACATCGAAGCGGTCAAAGTCTCTAACCTTTCCTTGTCTTGAATTAATTCCGTATAAATCTTTTGATTTGTTTATTTTATTTTTGTTTATAAATTTTAGTTAATTAAAAGAAATCATTTTTACATTAATATGTTGATAATTTAATTAATAAATAAATTAATAATAATAATAACCTTTAGGCCATCGACTATCACTGTCATCGGCATCGGTAACCATATCTATACCATTGTAGAGGTTGTCAGCAAATTCATCGATATTATCAGATAATGGGAACCGACCACTCATACCACTGATTACTATATCATCGTTTAAACTCATCTTTTAACTAATTTTTAACTAATAAAATACAGTAAATTATTTTATTCAATATTTTAAAAAAATAATTTGAAACTGTTTTCTATGATTTTGCAATTTATACTCAAAACTATATGAAAATTATGATAAATGTAAATTAGATTCGTTTTATTTTTTGACGTAATCATTAACAATGTTTTTATAAAAAAATGTTATGATTATAATTATTATTATATTTATTATTAATTGTTTTTTTATAATATAAATATTGTCTATAATTATTGATTAAAATTAACAATCAACTTTTTCCTTATGACGTACCTAGGTATTTTCTCATTGTTAACATACTGTATATAATAATAATAATAATATATCATAATTATATTTATCTTATAAATATATTTAAAAAAAAATTATAATAACCTAAAATTATTAATTATAAAATATACAACAATTATTTAATATTAAATAAAATAAAATAAATTTAAATTTTTAAACATATTATTATTATTATTATTAAGTGAAGGACAAGTTATTGAAGGAAAGATAAGTGTGAAATAAATTCTCTTTTATTCATCTCTCTCTCTCTCTCTTTCTCTCTCTCTCTCTTTCTCTCTCTTTCTCTCTCTCTTTCTCTCTCTCTTTCTCTCTCTCTTTCTCTCTCTCTTCTCTCTCTCTCTCTCTCTCTCTCTCTCTCTCTTTCTCTCTCTCTTCTCTCTTTCTCTCTCTCTTTCTCTCTCTCTTTCTCTCTCTCTTCTCTCTCTTTCTCTCTCTCTTTCTCTCTCTCTTTCTCTCTCTCTCTCTCTCTCTCTCTTTCTTTATTTCTTTCTCTCTATTTCTTTTTGTTAGTCAATTTAATATTATGCAATATCATTATTAATATTTTCAATTTTTTTCAATATAAAAATTTTATTAGTTTAACTATTAAATTAAAATTATTAAAAAAAATAATAACAACTTTATTATTATAAAACAAACATTTTTAAACGGTGTTTCCTAACTTTGTTAAATTCTAAATATTTATGAAATAAATAAAAATATTGTTTACATTTTATATAGTTTTAATTAAGTTTTTTTTAAAAAAAAGATTACAATATATTAATAAAATTTAAATAAAATAAACATTTTAAATTAAATAAATAAATATATTTTACAGTATTTATCATGAAATAAATTAAAAATTGATAACAAAAAATATATGAATTATAAAATACATTTATTTATTTTATAAAAAATTAGTTAAAATAACAATAAATAACAACTTATTATATTTTTTAAAAAAATAAATATACTATAATAAATATTAAAATTCTGTTTTCTATAAACTATCATAAATTTTAATAGTTTTTTTTTAAATAAAAAAAATACTATTTTTCAATATTATAGATTACAAATTGTAATTGTAAATTGTAGTGCCATGCAAAACGTTATCTTTTTAATCCCTTAAATAAACAAAAAAGGTATACTAAGAAACTAACTTCGGATTAAAACGATATGATAATATAAATTGTACTCAAATCATATGTTAGTGTTTATTAGAGTTGAAAAAATGTTTTATCATTAGTATTATAAATAAATACTATATAATTTATTAGAAAATATCTTATAAATTTTGTTTATTAATCTATTGTATTAAACTATATAATACGCTTTGGTTTATACAAACTTTGTGCTACTGCCAACCTTAGTTTTTATTAAGTATTATATATTTATATATAAATAATAAAACATTTTAAAACCGAAGTTACTTTTTTTGTAAACTATATATTTATTATTAGATTGAAACTGAGATAACGTTTTGCATGGCTTTAATTACAATATATTCAGAAAATTTAAATAAAATAAAAATTTTAAATTAAACAAATAAATATATTTTACATTATTTTTGAATAAAAATCATGAGTTAAATATTATTTTAAAAAATTTGGATGAAATCATTACAAACCCTAGTTATACAGTACTACTGTAACCTTCAAAAAATTTTAGTCACTAGTTTTTAGGTGTTTAGCTATTGATTAAAATATATTAATATTATTAACATATAGGGTTAGATCAGATTCCCTCCCTCGTCTTATTATCCATAAGTTCCTTATATTCCCTGTTCCCTGGGAATTCCCTGGGAAGACATTTCCTTGTGGTACCACCTATCGTACCATAACTCACATTACATAATGTTTAATTAAAAACACGTTTGTATAGTAAATGACTACAAAATGTATTTAATATTTTTACTAAATGTTTAATAATATTTGAATCATATTTTGATTGAGTTATTACTAACATAATGGTCCCAATTGAAACACAGTCATTGAGATTATGTACTTTATAATGTATGACAAATTATATTTTCCCTTTCTAACGATCAAGGGAGGGAATATAATATATTTTCCATATTTTCCGGGAAAACTGGAGGGATTTTATTTGGGAACTTCCCTCCCTGGGAATCTCATTCTAACCCTATTAACATATAATAAGAATAATCAAGATAACACTTTAAGATAATAGTTCTGTCTGTATTTCTGACACTCCTCAACAACCATATTTTAATTCAAATCTAAAAATGTATTGTTATATTTTCAATTTTTATTTAAAGCAATGTTATTTCTATGGGAAATTTTTAATGATTATTGAGCTCAGGTAGATTTTAGGGACAGGTAGGCAGGTATTGTGTAATAACATATTGCTATATTATATGAGTCATAAGGCACCGGGAGGTTAGCTACCTGTGCTAAATTTTTGTAAAATTTTCTCAAATGCAAAAATTTTCAATTTGTGTTAAAATTTTCAATTTTTATTTAAAGCAATGTTATTTCTATGGGAAATTTTAAATGATTATTGAGCTCAGGTAGGTTTTAGGGACAGGTAGGCAGGTGCTGTGTTATAACATTTTGCTATAAAATATGAGTCAGAGGGCACCGGTAGGTTAGATACCTGTGCTAATTTTTTTGTAAATTTTTCTCAAATGCAAAAATTTTCAATTTGTGTTAAAATTTTCAATTTTTATTTAAAGCAATGTTATTTCTATGAAAAATTTTAAACGTTTATTGAGCACTGGTAGGTTTTAGGGACAGGTAGGCAGGTGTTGTGTAATTACACTTTGGTATATTGTGTTAGTCTTATAGCACCGGGAGGTAAGCTACCTGTGCTAAATTTTTGTAAAATTTTCTCAAATGCAAATTTTTTCGCAAAAATGATTAAATTTTAAATTTTTATTAAAATTATTTAAATATATATAAAAACTAAAAATTCTCAAAAGTTTAGACGAATTAATGTGTATTGGTTCTGTAGTTTAGTTACATTAGGTTAAGTAGTTTGTTGTATAAAATAAATTAGCCAGTCATTCAAATTACTTATGATGAATATTTTAAAATTAGTAAAAGAATTGCACGGCTATACATGTTGCGCGGGACAATCTAGTATAATTATAATAATTTTATTTAAAAAATACTTCAAAATAGGAAATAAATTTTTAAAAAAAATTTAAAATAAAATATTAATTATAAAATACTTAAAAACTTTAATAAAAACCAATTATTATATCATTAAAATATTATCATCAATATTTTTGAATTATAATTTTTTTTTTTGAAAAACGTAATTATTAAATAAAAACATTTATATAATAATAATACACAATTAGATTGTTTAATTAATATAATACTATATAAAGTTGTAATACAATATTATATATCTATATAAAAATAATATTTAATATTAATATTATTGAATTATATTTTTAATGTTTAATATTTTTGAAATATAAATGAAATTTTTTTATTAAATTTTAGTATACAATAATTTTTTTGAGAATAAATTTATTGATAATCTAATAAATCAATTAATTTATCGCCAATTTTTTCCGATGCAAATGTTAGGGAGTGTTCGTCGACTTTAATTAAATCAAATGTCAAATCATTTGTTTCCTAATATTTTTTAGAGAAAAAAAAATATCTTTCAAAAAATGATATATAAAATAAATTAAGCATAAATTTTAACATAAAGTAATCAATTAAATTCAAATTAATTAATTCAAATTAGTTTCCATTAAAAGTAGACAATTTGGATAATAGATTGATAAAAATATAGATTAAAACAATAGTAAATTGTAGACTAAATACTGTACACTAAATACAAGTATTAATATATATAAAGGACAGTAAGCGACCCCCATTACCGACCCCCGCATAGGAGTGGCTTTAAGTGTGTATTAATCAGGGTTTTAAAAATGGCAGGCATTAACAATAGATGCCTATTTTGCCAAATGCCTGCCCTGCCTCTGCCATGCCCTGGGCATCTATTTTCAGGTGGTGACACCTATTATTTTAATTTTATATTATTAATTTATCTATAAAACATTGTTTTATCGATATTTGTTTGTATTTTTATTTTGTATATCTCTACTTAAAAGGTAAAATCATTGGAATTAATTATATTAATTGTAAATTTAATTAACAAGCTAAAAACAGTAAATTACATTATTTTTATAAATTCAGTTGCTTTTTAGCAATTTAATTTGGCAGGCAAATAAAATAGATGCCCAAAATGCCAGGCATTTATGGCATCTATTTGGGCATTGCCAGGGCAGGCATTTATTTCCTTAAAACCCTGGTATTAATATATATAAAAGACAGTACACGACACTCATTAACGACACCCACATAGGAGTAGATTTGTGTGTATACTGTATAGCACTAGCACTGTGTGTGTGACTGTGAACTACAGTAAGCTATACAATACATCTACAGTACATGTATTAACATAACACACTTAAACACATTTTAAGCATTGATATCATGTGTGAGACATAGGCAACACGTTTACAGAGAGTCTTAAATAGTGGCGGCGGAGATGATATTAATTACAATTATATGGTCATCAATACATTGAATTAAAAAGTGACCAAGGGCAATGTTGTAGATGATTTTAAACTAAATAAAATTGTAATTGGTCATTTTTAAATTAATTGTATGATTTGCCAGATAAATGCAGTCGACTATCATTTATAAATTTTTTAAACAGTCGACTGTAAATTATTTAGCATATAATACAATTAATTAAAAAATGACCAATTACAATTTTATTTATTTTAAATTTATCTACAACATTGCCCTTGGTCACTTATTAATTCAACGTATTGTTCACCAGATAATTGTAATTAATAGCATCGCCGCCGACGCTGTTTAAGATTATCTGACACTTTCACAAAGTTTTCATAACATTTCAAAACTAATATTTCAAATTATTTGTCGCTATTGTCTCAATAAATACTATCCTTGAATTAAAATATATTTATAATAAAAATTTTGATTTAATTTAATTAAAACGGGCCGTAATTACGGGCTTTAAAGTCTTGTAATAATAAAAACAACTGTAAGAAACTAACTAAAATAATAGTTAATATAATAATAATAATAATAATAATAATAATGTATTTATTGTTTTACCGGATTTGTTGGCAAAAAGTATAACTGATTTGTTTTATTGACAAATACTTCTTCGTCATCAATATTGTTGAACTCAAACGGTTTGATTATTGTTAGCTTTTGCCTATTATTAGCCCATTTATCCATCAGATTCTTGGATTTGATTTGTTGTTTTGTAATCAATTTCTTTATTTTCAGCGATCTATAAGTGGCCAACATTTTTGTCCGTTTCAATGAATTACGAAGAATTTCTTCCAAATCGGTGGCCATCAGACCGTTGCCGCCAAACTCACGGATTTCATTGCATCCGCGTCTAAGACGTGACTCAATATTTGGCTCGGATTTCATATCACGAGATATCTTATCCTTAAATATTTTCGGTATATTACTGGTCATGAAATCAAAGATAAATTCCAATAGAAATTCATTGGTAACCGCGTCCTCATTGAACTGTGTTTCCGATAGTATATCAATAATAACGGCTCGTTTGACACCACGAGTCTTGCGGACTATTTTAGTGGCAATGAATGCACAGTCAAAGTAGCCGACGATATCATACGAATCATTGTTGTTGTTGTGAATAGTATTCAATAGATTTATAAAATATTTGGTCAATTCATTGACCGATTCTATGCCATCCATATCGCGCGTCCAATTGATGCCGACAACTGGCCTATGAAATCGTTTGGCTAAATCATCGATAACTTTGAACGATCCCTGAATGGCCGGCAAGAAATATATGGGTCGACCAACGGTAATGTCATTCAATTTGGTGATCCTATTGGTAGGTATAATGAATTTACACTTTAATAGATTAGTTTTGGCCACTTTGATCTCCTGGACGTATCGATTAAAGTCTTCAACCCGACCCGACTCATACTCTTTGAGTAATCGGACGGTAATATTCTTGACGTGATATAACGACATCTTAATATTGTACTCCCGTTCCAACTCTTGTTTAAGTTCTACGGCAAACATCGACTCGAGTCCTATCTCTCCCAGTGATAGATAATCGGGAGTATTGTCCGGATCGATACCCAATGCCCGCCACATCTCCTTAATCACACGTTTCTGACGACTTCCCGATTGTATTATTCTTTCAGATTTTAGCTTAAAAATTGTCATATTTTTTGTTTAGATATTATAGACAAATCGGTAAAGGAATTAAACAAACATAAAACAAAAGTAATTATAATAATAATTATTATAATAATATTTACATATGAAGTGACAATCAGCTTATCGACGGCCAGTAGTCTATCCATGACTTCAAAAACCGAATTGATTCTCTGTTTCTTCATATTAGACATCTGGACGACCTGATCCTTGTTAGACAGGGCGCCCACATCACCGATCGGACCAAATTGTATGGCCAGTGCTTTCAATCCATCACCAGATCTTTGTTCACATAATCGTTCGCACATTGAGTTACCAAAAGCATAGTTACTTTGACCGCCGTTTCCTTTGCCCGCAATTAACGACGAAAATACAACAAAATGGTCTAAATTGATGTCCAATTTGCGAGTCATTTGATCCAAATTATCAAATATTTTATATTTTGAGGCAACAGTTGAACCAAATGTATCAGTTGTTTGGTTTTCCAGCAACAGATCATTCAATAATAGTGTCAAATGAAAGACACCGCCAATTGTTTTACCCAATTGTTGTGATTCATCTAAAAGTTGTTTTGTGCCGTCAATTGTCTGACAATTAGCTGTCGATACTATGATTTCCGATGAAAACATTTTGTATTTTTTACCGAAAGTTTCTAAACGTTTCAAAATATATTTTTGATAATCATTTTTGATGCCATTGCGTGAGTTTAGTACAAACTTTTTTGCCCCCTTATATAGCATCCAATGAACTAATTCTAGACCACAACCACCCAAACCACCCGTTATTATATAGACTTTATTTGGATTAAAGTATGTCTTAGTTTTTACTAACAAACTAATGGATGGATTCATATCTTTAACAGCATTTCTATCGGATTCTTCGTCTCTAATCTTAAGAATAATTTTTCCGATGTGTTTACCGGTTGTCATATATCTGAATGCCTTTTCCGCTTCATTAACACCAAATACAGTCCTATTAATTGGTTTAATACATCCATTTGAAGAGTTTTTATGCATCCAATCATAGAAATTGATTGTAAAATCCTGAGCCTCAAACAGACACATATCGACAGCCACACCAATGAACGATATGTCTCTCAAAAAGTCAAACATACCGATCTGTTTGTTTTTCATTTGATCATACTTTCCCAGTTCAACAAACCGACCCCTATTTGCCAGACACTCGTAACTGGCGTCCAATTTTTCACCGGTCAATGAATTCAATACCAAATCGACTCCTTTTCCTTTAGTCATCTGTTTTATCCTTAACTTAAACAATATATCTCTTGAACTGAATATTCTGTTTTCAGGAATATTATATTCTTTGATAAGAAACTGTTTTTTGTCTTCAGTTCCAACCGTCACAAAGATATCGCAGTTATAGTATTGGCATATATTTATGGCCGCCTGACCCACACCTCCAGTACCGGAATGTATTAAAATGCTTTCATCTATCAGTAATAATAAAAAGTAATAACAATAATTAAATATATATTATATATCTTATGATAGTTAATATATTAAATACAATATACTACAATATACGATAAACACATACTTCTCTTTAAGTGAGCCCTATCTATCAAACCATACCATACGGTGCTATATGTGCTCAATATAGTAACCGCATCGTCCATTGACCAGTGATTCGGTATTTTAGTTATAAAATTGTCATTTCCATGAATACTAGTCGCATAACATCGGGTTATATCAAAACCCATAATCCGCTCTCCATTGTCAATCCGACGGCCAGCAAACTCAATACCAATGAGACAATCGGTAAATAATAGCATCGGTCCACTCGGTATACGACCTAAATAAACACATATATGTTTATAAAAGTTAATTAATTCAATATATATTTGATAAGTAAGCTAAAAGTTACAAAATTAATACCGGTTGCAAACATAATGTCGCGAAATGTTAGTCCAGAACTGTATATATTGATCGGTATTTGTTTTATTCGGTTATTTGAAAAATCATAGACGCCTTCATCGGACGACACCAAACATCGCGAATCAAACCATTGAAGACTTGATAGATCTCTTCCCTGACCGACATTCAAGAAATAGTCATTGGATATGATTTTATCGTAATCTTTATTTAGCTTAAGATGTCTATAAGTTCCCACTTTTGGTTGATTTTTGTCATCATATTTATTGATTACATTGACTGACAAACTATTGGCCAAAATATGTTTGTATTTTTGATAATAATCCAAACAATTGATATCATTATTGCCGGTTATAGTATTGTAATCGATAATACATTTGAAACGATTGCCTCCCGGTTCAAGTCTTAGACTATTAATTAATCCTAAAATACCGTTTCTATGGGAATCATTGGCTATCAACCAAACCGTGTCACTTGATCTATTGGTTTCATTATTTTCAATTATTTTATCCCTGATTTGTGGCAACCAATTGTCATACATAAATGAATCTACCATGATCATTTTTGGTAAATCAGGGTTGCCATTGACCAGTTCGCCAACAGTTTTGCGAAACAGTAGAGCCATAGTACCGATGGTGTCATATTTGCGGCCAATTAGCCGAAGACCCGCTCGATTAGCAGCCGTAATAAACTGGTCGATCCGTTGCTCAAGAAACGAGTTGTCCAACAGTTTTCTATTGTTAACTGTGTCATTGTTTAACATCATCTCTGTATCCGTAAACATATATTTATGAATTGTCAACAAAAATCCATTGCTGACAATATAGTCGCTTAAATTTAAGATAAATTTGTCGACATCTATGTTGATGTCATCATATATATGCTGAGAGTCTCTAAACATAATAAAATCGCCAATTGATATATCAGTTGGAAAATCACTATCACTTGTTTGCCAAACACTGGCAGCATATCTGTCCTGTAATGATAAATCGTTTAGCAATACATCAATCGATCGGACGATTAGTTTGTAGTCGACATCAATGGGAAGGAGATTATAGTTTGTTATCAAATTTTCAATCTCTTTGGCCAACAATCCTTGAGTTAAGTTAATTTCAATAACTTTTACCGATTTTTGTGGCACCAAATTTTCATTGACAATATCGACCAACGATCGTAACAACAAATCATTTGTATGGATCTCATTAGTGATATCTTTAACAAAATCATATTCAGGTTTCGACTTAAGTTCTGACCATATTTTTGCAACAATTTTACTATTATTTTCAGTTAATTTCTTATCATAGCTACTATTATCAATAATATTATTTTTGTTGTTATCGATAACATTATTATTATTACTATAATTTTCACCGCAAATAGTTGTCAATATTTTATCCAAAATACGAAACATTACAAAATTTTCATTATTTAATGATTTTCGATATTTTTCTATTAATTCATAGTTTATATTAGTGTTGATATCGTATACAATATTATCATTATTAACACCAATTTTTTTCATCAAAACAATCAACATTTTGCATACCTGTTTTGATTTCATAGTAAATATATAGTTAAAAACAAGGTTTATACAAAAACATAAATTACTTAATTAATTAATTTTATACATTAAATTAATTATTATTAATTAGTATCTTATAATTATTACAATATATGAGTTGAATATTTACCTCTAAATATTCAGAGATCATACGCTTATGGGACGGTTCGATGGCATCCATGTCCTCATTGGCGACAAACTCATAGGAATCGAGTACCAGATCCTGATTGTCTGATCGACGGGAAATGGGAAACATTATGAGATCGCAGACTTCAATACCATAGGTGACCAACAATTTCGAGTCGTAATCAAAATAAAACGATACCAACGATTGGTATTTATGAAAGCGTTCAGAAAACTGATCGTTCATTTCATTGGTCTGTTCCAGTTCTTGTATTATAGAAACTGCCACTTCTTCTTCATCCAGTTCCGTACGTTTCTCTTCGGCTACAGTTTCGGCCACTTCTTGCTTGTTTTTGCCGGTGTTGGCAATAGCGTCGTCGTCATTGTCATCGACAGTCACACGATTTTTGACAATAGCCTCGAAAAACAGTTTCGGATCGATTTTAAGCGATTTGATCATTACGGGTACCATTAGCTTACGAAACGGTAACACAAATGCCGACGACTGTAGTAGAGAGTCGAGGAACGGTACAAACAGTCCGTTCCATTCGCAACTACCGAGTATTTCGACAAAATTGTTGGTCCGAACGCTTTTCAGTCGTCTGAATGCCGGTCCGTAATCGTAGCCAACAATACGTAAATCTTTGTAGATGTCGTCTCTGGTCAGCTTATACTCATCGGTTAGTTCCATGTGCTCATCATTCTCATAGATTAGATTCTGTGCGTATAGTCCATCATCGGTCAATCGGCTAACTTTACCCGAACAACATATGCTGTCACTTTCCATAACTATAAAATCATCTGAAAATAAAAATTAATAATAAAATTATAATAATTGTAATAAATGTTATTTTAATAATAATTGTTTTTATTATAGTTATCACTAAATATTATTATTATTAAAATATAAATAAAAACTTACGACTATTTTGAAAGTATCTGACTTTGAGTCGTGTCGGCGACGAATCGGACAGAAAAACTGGTCGTTTGAATTGAATATTTTCAAAGTGAACGGCCGTCTGGTCCCAGATTTTGCCGCAATAGCTGGCAAAGTGTCGCCAGACTAACATTATATAGCCGGTGGCCGGAAATAGTATGTTGCCGTCGACAGCGTGATCGGCGTAATAACAATCTTCAGGCATCTGTATGTTGACCGCAACGTTCATATCCGATGCCGTGGTTCGGGCATAAAAATCGGGATATTTTTTGCAAAAGTATTGTTTCGAATGATCCCATCGGATCAGCGACCCTATTGATTGCGTATTTCTGGCCACTGGCCATTCGACCGGCGGATAGAGCTTATCGATAGACGGATTTAATCCCAATTCGTATAGTTTGGCCAAACCCGACAAAAACAGATCCAAATTAGTGTCGTTCGAGTCTTTCTTCATAAACGACAAATAAGTGGCCGACTGAAGAGTATCGGTAACTATTTTGCCGAATACCGAATGCGGACCCATCTCTATGACAATCGAATCGGTCGGAAGTGTTTTCAAACGATCATAAAAATAGACGGAATTTAACAGATTATATGCAAAATACTCTGAAGAAGCATATTTCAAGATGTCGTTGTTATCATTGTCCTGTTGTTCTAAGTTTACCACTGATGTCGATAACCATCGGCTGGATCTGAGCCGTGGTTTTGGTATGTATTTTCTGGTTGTCTCTATCAATGGCTTAACCGAGCTATGCATATATGGCGAGTGATAGGGTATACCACTGCTGTCCAATTGGCGAACAAATACACCCATAGATCGTATCTTTTCAATCAATTCCTCCATTTCTTGTTGTTTGCCTATTATTATGTATAATTATCAAACAGATTAATTGCATAAAAGATTATTAATAAATTATAATTAAAATTGATTACCAGATACGACAACACTGTCTTTGGCATTATTGCAGACCACATACACTCCTTGTGGACACAATTTCTTTGCTTCGTTTCTCGACAGACCCACGACAGCCATCAAACCTTTCGGTAGTTTCTTATCGTTTTCAGTGACGGCTCCTCTAAAATATGACAAAATCATTGCCTCTTTTGTGGTCAGACATCCGTCAGCGTAAGCACAGGCTATCTCACCAAATGAATGTCCAATAATACCGTCGACAGTGATATCCAATGCTTTAATCACATCAAACAACGCCAACTCTATAGCAGTTGTCGTACAGAACTTAGCAGTCATTGTAGAGATGGAAGTGTTGTCTTCAGAGAGTAACCAATGTTTTAAATCAACATTAAATTCAAGTAATATTTGATGACATTCTTCGACTTTATTTCTGAAAATATCGATTGGCATTAAAGCCTTAGCCATTGCAGGCCATTGTCCGCCCAAACCCGGAAATAACAGCCAAACAGGTCTTAAGGATTTGCATTTAAATAATGAAAATTGTTTTTTATATTCATATCTAATGTTTTTGTTGTTATTTTCTTTATTTAATTTCTTCAAAATAATTGATCCTAAGTTTAAATATTAATAAATTACTTTAATTAAAATTATCTATAAATTAGTTAAACAAACCTCTGTAGGGAAAGCCGGTTGAGTTAACACTTGGACTGACTTTCATAGTATCAGTCAAAAGGGCTAAAAAGTCGCGCGTGATTTTGTGAGGATTTTTCTCGATAAAGTCAAACACGTGTTGAATGGCGGCTTCAGTGCGGCCGCAGATGTTTACAATACGCGGTATGGATTCGGCTATTTCCAGGCCATTATCGTCGGCCAACTTATAATTACATTCAATGAGTACGTGTCCGTTGACACCTCCAATACCAAAGTTATTTATGCCGGCAATGGCTGTATAAAAATATTGTAAATTAATTATGTAAAGCTTATGTATGTGTGTTTTGTTTTGATACCTACCTGGCTTATAGGCCAATGGTTTTGTATTGGGATATAGTGGTGGACAGTAGTGTTTGATTTCATTTTTAATTTGTTTCAAATTAATGTTAGGTGGAATACACTCTCTTTCAAATACAGTACATGTCTTAATTATTGCCGATACACCCGATGCCGCTTCCGTATGGCCCGTATTACTTTTGAGTACACCAAGCGGTAAGTAGTCCTCACGATTAGGTGCGGAACAGTAGGCATTGTAGATGGCCTTAACCTCTTGCAGATCGCCAACCTATTTGTATTTAATTGTATTAATATATATAAACTTTTTTATGTAATGTATGGTATGGTATGAGTATAACAATCTTACTCTGGTTCCCGTGCAATGGGCTTCAAAATAGTTGACTTTCAATGGATCCACATTAGCCTCTTTGTAGGTCATAATCATCAGTTCTTCTTGTGCTTCTGTCGATGGAAAGAACATGCCTTTGGTTTTTTTGCCGTCAACATTGACACGACTGGCCAACACTGAGGCATAGATACGGCGAGCCGAGGGTCGTCTCTGGAGGAATAGACAGGCAATGGCGTCACCCTTGACAAAGCCATCTGCCTCCTGGTCTAACACCGACGACAGGCCACGCGGTGAACAAACATTCATTTCTTGTAAATTTTGGACGAGAAACGGCTCAAATGTCATATGAGTTCCTCCGACTACAGCGTAATCAATATTGCCTATGAATTATAGGTTATACTATATATAGTAATATATATATATATTTGCATTTACAATATAATATTAATATTAATAGTATTAATCCGATACCTAATTTCAAGTCATTTATGGCCAAATTAAAGGCCACAAAACTGGCCGAACAGGCCGTATCAGTGATAAGCGACGGTCCCTTAAAGTCAAACACATAGGATATCCGGTTGGCGTACAGAGCCTTCATATTGCCCATTGTCTGCAACATTACCGACTGTTTACTCATCCGAATATCCGGCTGTACCTCTTCGGGATAGCTATCGGTCATAGCATAGGTCGACACACCGACATAGACACCGGTTCTCGTACCGCGCAATGAACTCGGATTTATACCTAAATATATTAAATATTATTTCAAACAAAGGACTGTACAGTATATTGCATATACAATACAAATAGTTTGATATTTATAATAATATTATAATTAAAAAAATAATTTATTTACCGGCGTCCACAATGGCCTCGTATGTGGTCTCCAATAGTTTACGCGATTGCGGATCAATTTCGTCGGCCATTTGTTGCATAATACCGAAGAAAAACACATCGAAGCGGTCAAAGTCTCTAACCTTTCCTTGTCTTGAATTAATTCCGTATAAATCTTTGATTTGTTTTTTTTGGTCATAAATATTGGTATTAGTTAATCATAAAAAAATTATTTTTATTATAATTTTTTTTCATAATTTTTTTTAATAATTTAATTGATAATAATAATAACCTTTAGGCCATCGACTATCACCGTCATTAGCATCGGTAACCATATCTATGCCATTGTATAGATTGTCAGCAAATTCATCGATATTATCAGATAATGGGAACCGACCACTCATACCACTGATTACTATATCATCGTTGTTTAAACTCATCTTTTAATTTGTTGTTATAGTTTAATAATATAAAGCAAACAAATTATATGTGTGTTTTGTGTTTGAATTTTTATCTAACAAAATAAAGTTTTATTCAATATTTTTGTTAATTTTTTTTAGAAAAAATTATTTGAAACTGTTTTCTATGATTTGCCAATTTATACTCCAAAAACTATATGAAAATTATCATAAATGTAAATTAGATTTGTTTTTTTGATAGTTAACATAATCCTTATAAATGTTTTTTTTAAAAAAAGGTTATGATTATTATTATATTATTTATTGTCAATTATTATTAATTGTCTTTTTAATTTAAATATTGTCTATAATTATTGATTAAAATTAACAATCAACTAATAACTTATGACGTTAACGGTACTAGGTGCATTTTTATTATTAGCATACAATATCAACAGTAATAATAATAATAATATAATAATCTTATAAATATTTGTCATGAAATATATTAAAAATAAAATTATAATAATAAAAATATGAATTATAAAATATACTACAATTATTTAATATTGATTAAAATAACAATAAATTAAAGTTATAAATATATTATTATTATTATTATTAAGTGAAGGACAAGCTATTGAAGGAAAGTGTGAACTAAATTCTCTCTATGTTTTAGATGTCATTTAATTGTGATAATTGAAAGTTTCTCTCTCTCTCTCTCTCTCTCTCTCTCTCTCTCTTTCTCTCTTCTCTCTCTTATTATTAAACAAACATTTTTTTAAAACGGTATCTCCTAACCTTGCTAAATTTTAAATATAATGATATCTCAACAAAAATAATAATAATAATAATAATAATAATAATAAACTACCCATCATGATAAATGATTCAAATATTTATGAAAACAAACAAAATCATTATACATTGTATGGTGTTTTTAATTAATTTTTTTAAAAAAATCATTGTTTACGTTCATTATATATAGATTTAATTAAGTTTTATTTTTTTAAAAAATTTGTTGCGGCAATATTGTCACTATTTTTGGGATTTATTTAACCAATCCGTTATATTATATATTTTGTTATATATATATAAATGATATATATTATAACGTGGTGTTTATCTAACCTTGTTGTAATAATTTATTTTAATGATTACTATTAGGCGTTTTCCTAGTTATTAAAATAGATATAAATATTATAAACATATCAATATAATAATAATAATCTTTATTTTAAAATACAGTACATTTGTCATGAAATAAATTAAAAATTGATAACAAAAAATACATTTATTTATTTTTTAAACAAAAATTAGTTAAAATAACAATAAATAACAACTTATTATATTTTTTGAAATAAAAAAATATACTTTTTAAATTTATGATAAATATTAAAATTCTGTTTTCTATAAACTATAATCATAAATTTTAATAGTTTTTTTTTAAATAAAAAAAATACTATTTTTCAATATTATAGATTACAATATATTCATAAAATTTAAATAAAATAAACATTTTAAATTAAACAAATAAATATATTTTCCATTATTTAGGAAAAATAATCATGAGTTAAATATTTTTAAAAAAAAAATTTGGATGAAATCATTACAAACCCTAGTTATATATATTATTATGCTATACAGTACTACTGTAACCTTCAAAAAATTTTAGTCACTAGTTTTTAGGTGTTTTCACTATTGATTAAAATATAAATATTATTAACATATAATATGAATAATATAATTATACTAATTTTATTACAAAATACTTGACATGAAATAAATTAGAAATAAAATATTAATTATAAAATTTAAAAAAAAACTTGTGACCAATTATATACAGTAATTAAAATCATCAATATTTTTTAATAATTGTTTTTTGATAAACGTAATTAATTATAATCAATTTTATAATATTAATAAATTAAAATATTTATATCATAATAATAGACAACTAGATTGCTCAATTAAAATATATAAATTTTATATATAAAGTTATATAAATTCTATATATAAAGTTATATAAATTTTATATATAAAGTTATAGAAATTTTATATATAAAGTTATAGAAATTTTATATATAAAGTTATTTTATATAAAATTATATTATATGTGTAATACTAAATATAAAATAATAATATTTAATCTTAATATTATTGAATTTTATTGTTAATACAATTTACTTTTGTAATACAATATACATAAAAAATATAAATGAAAAAAAAATATTTGTTATTTTAGTATACAATAATTTTTTTGAGAATAAATTTATTGATAATCTAATAAATCAATTAATTTATCGCCAATTTTTTCCGATGCAATTGATAGGGAGTGTTCATCGACTTTAATTAAATCAAACGACTCACTTGTTTCCTAATAATTTTCACAAAAAAAACAAATAATTAAAAAAAAATAATTATATTAATATTAATAAATTAATCATAAAATAAATTAATATATTGCCTTAGATTTAAAATATATTAATTTGTATAATACATTAGATAATAATGATAACAGTAATGATTTGAAAACTATTATAGTAATTGCAAAACTACTGTAAGCAAAAAAAATATATATAATAATATTAGTTAATAAATTTAGATAATAATATTAGTTAATAAATTTAGATAATAATAGTTGATAATAAAAATTTTGTTAAATTAATTTATATTAATTTGTATAATATATTGATAAAAATAATTAGAAAACTATTATAGTAATTGTAAAACTATTTTAAGCAATATATATATATAATAATAATAATAATATTAGTTAATAAACATTGTTAATAATATTAGTTAATAAACATTGTTAATAATATTAGTTAATAAACTTTGTTAATAATATTAGTTAATAAATTTAGATAATAATAGTTGATAATAAAAGATTTTGCTAATCTTTTCATTAAAATATACTAATTTATATATAATATTTCGATAAAAATAATCAGAAAACTATTTAAGTAATTATTAGATATAATCAAAAAAAAAACTACTGTAATATATAACCAAAAAAAATTAAAAAAAATATAATTAAAAGTTAATTAAAAGTTTTTTGTTAAACATATAAACAATATATAAATAAAAACAACTGTAAGAAACTAACAAAAAAAAAATTAGTTAATATAATAATTTAAAAAAATGTATTAATTGTTTACCAGATTTGTTGGCAAAAAGTATAAATCATTTGTTTTATTGACAAACTCTTCTTCGTCATCAATATTGTTGAACTCAAACGGTTTGATTATTGTTAGCTTTTGTCTACTTTTAGACCATTTGTCCATCAATTTTGATTTCATTTGTGTCATCAATTGTTTCTTCATCTTCCGCGACCTATAAGTGGTCAACAGTTTTGCCCGTTTCAGTGAATTACGTAAAATTTCTTCCAAATCGGTGGCCACCAGACCGCTGCCGGCAAACTCGCGTATCTCATTGCACGCGCGTCGAACACGTGCATCAATATTTGGCTCGGATTTCATATCGCGATATATCTTATCCTTAAACGATTTCGGGATATTACTGGATATAAAACCGAAAATAAACTCCAATAGAAATTCATCGGTAACCACGTCCTCATTGAACTGTGTTTCCGATAGTATGTCAATAATAACGGCACGTTTGACACGTGTTTTGCGTACAATTTTAGTGGCAATGAGTGCACAATCAAAATAGCCGACAATATCGTAGGAATTCTTGCTATTGTGTATAGTATTCAATAGGTTTATAAAATATTTGGTCATCTCTTTGATAGATCCGATGCCATCCATATCGCGCGTCCAATTGATGCCCACAACAGGCCTATGAAATCGTTGTCCTAATTCTTCAAACGCTTTGAACGATCCTTCGATGGCCGGCAAGAAATATATGGGTCGACCAACGGTAATGTCATTCAATTTAGTAATCCTATCGTTAGGTATAATGAATTTACACCTCAATAGGTTAGCTTTGGCCACTTTGATCTCCTGGACGTATCGTTTAAAGTCTTCAACCCGACCGGCCTCATAGTCTTTCAACATTCGGACAGTTATATTCTTCACATGATTTAACGACATCTTGATATTGTACTCCCGTTCCAACTCCTGTTGCAGTTCGACGGCAAACATCGATTCCAGTCCTATCTCGCCGAGTGTCAAGTGATCGGGAGTAGTGTCCGGATCGACACCCAATGCCCGCCACAGTTCCTTAACCATACGTTTCTGACGACTTCCCGATTGCATTATTCGTTCAGATTTGAGCTAAAAAATAATAAAAAGTTTTATAATTAGTTTTTTAAGACACCTTTTTAAAGACATTATCGATGAATCATATTATTATTATTATTAGATATTTACATATGAAGTAACAATCGGTTTATCAACGGTCAGTAGTCGGTCTAAGGCATCGAAAACCGAATTGATTCGCTGTTTCTTCAGATTAGACATTTGGATGGCCTGTTCTTTGTCAGACATAGCCCCGACATCACCAATCGGACCAAATTGTATGGACAATGCTTTCAATCCATTACCATATCTTTGTTCACATAATCGTTCGCACATTGCGTTACCAAAAGCATAGTTACTTTGACCGGCATTTCCTTTGCCCGAAGCCAGCGACGAAAATATAACAAAATAATCTAATTTGATGTCCAATTCACGAATCATTTGATCCAAATTAGCAAATATTGTATATTTTGAGGCAACAGTTGAACCAAATGTTTCCGTTGTTTGGTTTTCCAGCAACAGATCATTCAATAATAGTGTCAAATGAAAGACACCGCCAATTGTTTTACCCAATTGTTGTGATTCACTTAAAAGTTGTTTTGTGCCGTCAATTGTCAGACAATTAGCTGTCGATACTATGATTTCCGATGAAAACATTTTGTATTTTTTACTAAAATTTTCTAAACGTTTCAAAATATATCTTTGATAATCATTTTTGATGCCATTGCGTGAGTTTAGTACAAACTTTTTTGCTCCCATATATAGCATCCAATGAACTAATTCAAGACCACAACCACCCAAACCTCCCGTTATTATATAGACTTTGTTTGGATTAAAGTATGTCTTAGTTGTTACTAACAAATCAATCGATGGATTCATATCTTTAACAGCATTTCTATCGGATTCTTCGTCTCTAATCTTAATAATAACTTTTCCGATGTGTTTACCGGTTGTCATATATCTGAACGCCTTTTCCGCTTCATTGACACCAAACACAGTCCTATTAATTGGTTTAATACAACCATTTGAAGAGTTTTTGTGCATCCAATCAAAGAAATTGATTGCAAAATTCTGAGTCTCAAACAGACACATATCGACAGCCACACCAATGAACGATATGTCTCTCAAAAAGTCAAACATACCGATCTGTTTGTTTTGCATTTGATCATACTTTCCCAGTTCAACAAACCGACCGCTATTTGCCAGACACTCATATCCGGCGTCCAATTTTTCACCAGTCAATGAATTGAGCACCAAATCAACTCCCTTTCCTTTAGTCAACTGTTTTATTCTTAACTTAAACAATATATCTCTTGAACTGAATATTTTGTTTTCAGGAATATTATATTCTTTGATAAGAAACTGTTTTTTATCTTCAGTTCCAACCGTAACAAAGATATCGCAGTCAAAGTGTTGGCATATATTGATGGCCGCCTGACCCACACCTCCAGCACCCGAATGTATTAAAATACTTTCATCTTATAATAGCGTAATAAATAAGTATTTTACAAAACAATTGATTTATTCATTATTGTTTTTATAATTTTTTTTAATAAAAAATACATACTTTTCATTAAATGAGCCCTCTTTATCAAACCATACCATACGGTGCTATATGTGCTCAATATAGTGACCGCATCGTCCATTGACCAGTGATTCGGTATATTAGTTATAAAATTTCTATTTCCTTGAATACCAGTCGCAAAACATCGGGTTATATCAAAACCCATAACTCGTTCTCTATTATCTAACCGACGGCCAGCAAACTCGCATCCAATAAGACAATCGGTAAATAACAGCATCGGTCCACTCGGTATACGACCTAAACAAAAAAATTATTGAATAATATATTGCTAATTGAATTAAAACTAAAAAACTAAAAAATATTGCATTTAAATACCTGTGGCAACCATAACGTCGTGAAATGTTAGTCCAGAACTGTATATATTGATCGGTATTTGTATTATTCGGTTATTTGAAAAATCATAGACGCCTTCATCTGACGGCACCAAACATCGAGAATCAAACCATTGAAGACTTGATAGATCTCTTCCCTGACCGACATTCAAGAAGTAGTCATCGGATTTGATTTTATCGTAATCTTTGTTTAGCTTAAGATGTCTGTAAGTTCCCACTTTTGGTTGATGTTTGTCATCATATTTATTGATAACATTGACTGTCAAACCATTGGCCAAAATATGTTTGTATTTTTGATAAAAATCCAAACAATTGATATCATTATTGCCGGCCATAGTATTATAATCGATAATACATTTGAAACGATCGCCTCCCGGTTCCAGTCTAAGACTATTAATTAATCCTAAAATACCGTTTCTATGGGAATCATTGGCTATTAACCAAACTGTATCACTTGATATATCGGTTTCTTTATTTTCTATTAATCTTTCACTGAGTTGTGGCAACCAATTATCATACATTGATGAATCTACCATGATCAATTTTGGTAAATCAGCAAAAATTTGGTCCTCATTAACCAGTCCGCTGCCAACTGTTTTGCGAAACAGTAGAGTCATAGTACCGATGGTATCACACTTGCTGCCAATTAGCCGAAGACCTGCTCGATTAGCAGCCGTAATAAACTGGTCGATCCGTTGCTCCAGAAACGTGTTGTCCAACAGTTTTCTGCCGTTAATTGTGTCGTTGTTGACGATGTTGTTTAACATTAGCTCTGTATCCGTAAACCTATATCTATGAATTGTCAACAAAAATCCATTGCTGACAATATAGTCGTTTAAATTTAAGATAAATTTGTCGACATCTATGTTGTTGTCATCGTAGATATGATGAGAGTCTCTCAACACAATAAAATCGGCAATTGATATATCAGTGGGAAAATCACAATCACTTGTCTGCCAAACACTGGCAGCAGATCTGTCCTTAAATGATGAATCATTCGCCAATACATCCATCGATCGGACAATTAGTTTGTAGTCGACATCAATGGGATAGAGATGATAGTTTGCCATCAATTTTTCAATCTCTTTGGCCAACAATGCTTGAGTTAAGTTAATTTCGACTATTTTTACCGATTTTTGTGGCACCAGATTTTCATTGACAATATCGACCAATGCTCTCAACATGTGATCGTTTTTATGGATCTCATTGGTGATGTCTTTAACAAAATCGTATTCAGGTTTGAACTTAATTTCTGACCATAATTTTCCAGCTATTCTACTATTATTATCATTCAATTTCATATCATCAGTGCTATTGTCTATAATATTATTTTTGTTGTTTACAATATCATTACTAATATAATTTTCACCGCAAATAGTTGTCAATATTTTATCCAAAATACGAAACATTACAAAGTTTTCATTGTTTAATGATTTTCTATATTTTTCTATTAATTCACTGTTTATATTAATGTTAATATCGTATACAATATTATCAGTATTAACACCAAATTTTTTCATCAAAACAATCATCATTTTGCATACCTGTTTTGATTTAATAGTAATAAAAATAATTAAATATAAAAAATAATAGTCTAGTAAAAGTAATTAATGCAAAATAAATTAATTACTGTTTTATTATAATAATAATTTTAAATAAAGTTTGATAGAATTAATATATAAAATATAATTTTTGTATAAATACCTCTAAATATTCAGAAATCATGTACTTATAGGACGGTTCGATGGCATCCATGTCCTCATTGGCGACAAACTCATAGGAATCGAGTACCAGATCCTGATTGTCTGATCGACGGGTAATGGGAAACACTATGAGATCGCAGATTTCGATACCATAGGTGACCAACAATTTCGAGTCGTAATCAAAATAAAACGATACCAACGATTGGTATTTATGAAAGCGTTCACAAATCTGGTCAAGTATTTCATTGGTCTGTTCCAGTTCTTGTAGTACCGAACCTGCCTGTTCTCCTTCGTCCAGTTCCGTTCGTTTCCATTCGGCTACAGTTTCAGCCACTTCTTGCTTGTCTTTGCCGGTGTTGTCGACTTCATCGGCGCAACGATTTTTGACTATAGCCTCGAAAAACAGTTTCGGATTGATTTTAAGCGATTTGATCATTACGGGTACCATTAGCTTACGAAACGGTGCCACAAATGCCATCGACTGTAGTACTGAGTCGAGGAACGGTACAAACAGTCCGTTCCATTCGCAACTACCGAGTATTTCGACAAAATTGTTGGTCCGAACACTTTTCAGTCGTCTGAATGCCGGTCCGTAATCGTAGCCAACAATACGCAACTCTTTGTAGATGTCGTCTCTGGTCAGACTATACTCACCGGTTAGCTCCCGGTGCTCATCATTCTCATAGATTAGATTCTGTGCGTATAGTCCATCATCGGTCAATCGGCTAACTTTACCCGAACAACAAATGTTGTCACTTTCCATTATTACAAAATCATCTGAAAAACATAACACCGGTAATTATAATTATTAAATGTTTGTTAAAAACACTATTTTTATATACTGTATATAAATGTTATATATATATATATATATTTATAAATATCAATAATGTAATAACTATTACCAGTATAATAAACTATTAAACAATTATAATTAAGTTATATACTTAATAGTTATAGTAATAGAAATTATTTTTTATAACTTTCTTAAATATATGTTTGTATTAATTATAATCTAGTTTTTAAAAAAATAATAAATAAACAAAAAAAAAGTTATATAATGTTAAACTCAAAATATACATAATTATTATTATAAATACTTACGGCTATTTTCAAAGTATTTGACTTTTAATCGGGTCGGCGATGACTCGGACAGAAAAACTGGTCGTTTGAATTGTATGTTTTCAAAATGGACGGCTGTCTGGTCCCAGATTTTTCCGCAATAACCGGCAAAGTGGCGCCAGACCAACATTATATAGCCAGTGGCCGGAAACATAATGTTGCCGTCGACAGCATGATCGGCGTAATAACAATCGTCGGGCATCTGTATGTTGACCGCAACGTTCATATCCGATGCCGTGGTTCGGGTATAAAAATCGGGATATTTTTTACAAAAGTATTGTTGCGAATGATCCCATCGGATCAGCGACCCGATTGATTGGGTATTTCTGGCCACTGGCCATTCGACCGGCGGATATAGTTTATCAATAGACGGATTTACTCCCAATTCGTACAGTTTGGCCAAACCCGACAAAAACAGATCCAAATTCGTATCGTTCGAGTCTTTCTTCATAAACGACAAATAAGTGGACGACTCAAGAGTATCGGTAACTATTTTGCCGAATACCGAATGCGGACCCATCTCTATGACAATAGAGTCGGTCGGAAGTGTCTTCAGGCGATCATAAAACTGGACGGCATTTAACAGATTATACGCAAAATATTCGGACGAAGCATATCTCAAGATATCGTTGTTGTCGTTATCCTGTTGTTCTAAGTTAACCACTGATGTCGACAACCATCGGCTGGATCTGAGCCGTGGTTTTGGTATGTATTTCCTGGTTGTCTCAATCATTGGCTTAACTGAACTCTGCAAATATGGCGAATGATAGGGTATACCACTGCTGTCCAATTGGCGAACAAATACACTCATAGATCGTATCTTTTCAATCAATTCCTTCATTTCTTGTTGTTTACCTATTGTTATAATAATAATAATAATTGTAAATTATCAACAATTCTAGTATTATAATTAAAATTGATTACCAGATACGACAACAGTGTCTTTGGCATTATTGCAGACCACATACACTCCTTGTGGACATAATTTTTTTGCTTCGTTTCTCGACAGACCCACGACAGCCATCAAACCTTTTGGTATTTTCTTATCGTTTTCAGTAACGGCTCCTCTAAAGTACGACACAATCATTGCCTCTTTTGTGGTCAGACATCCGTCAGCGTAAGCACAGGCTATCTCACCAAATGAATGTCCAATAATACCGTCGACATTGATATCCAAAGCTTTAATCACATCAAAGAACGCCAACTCTATAGCAGTTGTCGTACAGAACTTAGCAGTCATTGTTGAGATGGAAGTGTTGTCTTCAGAGAGTAACCAATGTTTTAAATCGACATTAAATTCAAGTAATATTTGATGACATTCTTCGACTTTATCTCTGAAAATATCGATTGGCATTAAAGCCTTAGCCATTGCAGGCCATTGTCCGCCCAAACCCGGAAACAACAGCCAAACAGGTCTTAAGGATTTACATTTAAATAATGAAAATTGTTTTTTATATTCATATCTAATGTTTTTGTTATTATTGTTGTCATCACTTAATTTCTTTAAAATAATTGATCCTAATTTAAAATATTTAATTAAAAAATAATTAAATTTATTACAATTATTAAATAAATTAGTTATTAACAAACCTCTGTAGGGAAAGCCGGCAGAGTTAACACTGGGACTGATTTTCATAGTATCGGTCAAAAGTGCTAAAAAGTCGCGCGTGATTTTTTGCGGATTTTTCTCGATAAACCCAAACACGTGTTGAATGGCGGCTTCAGTGCGGCCGCAGATGTTTACAATACGCGGTATGGGTTCGGCTATTTTCAGGCCATTGACATCCGCTTTCTTATAATTACATTCAATGAGTACGTGTCCATTAGCTCCTCCAATGCCAAAGTTATTGATACCAGCAATAGCTATAGAGTATAAAATATTTTTAGTTAATTATATGGTTTAATGTATGTATGTTTGCTGTTTGACCCATACCTGGCTCATAGGCTAATGGTTCGGTATTGGGATACAGTGGTGGACAGTAGTATTTGCATTCATTTTTAATTTGTTTCAAATGAATATTAGACGGTATACACTCTCTTTCAAATACTAGACATGTCTTAATGATTGCCGATACACCCGATGCCGCTTCCGTATGACCCGTATTACTTTTGAGTAGACCAAGCGGTAGATAGCCCTCCCTCTTAGGTGTTGCACAGTAGGCATTATAGATGGCCTTAACCTCTTGAGGATCGCCCACCTATTTATTTAATTGTATTAATATACATATAATCCTTTATTTGTTTTATGTATATAGTAGATGGTATGGTATGAGTATAACAATCTTACTCTGGTTCCCGTGCAATGAGCTTCAAAATAGTTGACTTTCAATGGATCCACATTAGCCTCTTTGTAGGTCATAATCATCAGTTCTTCTTGTGCTTCTGTCGATGGAAAGAACATGCCTTTGGTTTTTTTGCCGTCAACATTGACACGACTGGCCAACACTGAGGCATAGATACGGCGAGCCGAGGGTCTTCTCTGAAGGAAAACACAGGCAATGGCGTCACCCTTGACAAAGCCATCTGCCTCCTGGTCTAACACCGACGACAGGCCACGCGGTGAACAAACACTGATTTCTTGTGACATTTGGGCGATAAACGGCTCAAATGTCATATGAGTGCCGCCGACCACAGCGTAGTCAACATTGCCTATGAAGGATAGGCTATATATTGAATATATATATATTTTTGAAATTATACTGTTACCTAATTTCAAGTCATTTATGGCCAAATTAAAGGCCACAATACTGGCCGAACAGGCCGTATCAGTAATAAGTGACGGTCCCTTAAAATCAAACACATAGGATATCCGGTTGGCGTACAGAGCCTTCATATTTCCCATTGTCTGCAACATTACCGACTGTTTACTCATCCTAATGTCCGGCTGTATCTCTTCGGGATAGCTATCGGTCATTGCATAGGACGACACACCGACATAGACACCGGTTTTTGTGCCGCGCAATAAACTCGGATTTATACCTAAATATTATCGCAAATATATTACATATACACCAAAAATAACTTCATATTTATAATAATAATAATATTATTTTAATAGTTTATTCACCGGCGTCGACAATGGCCTCGTATGTGGTCTCCAATAGTTTACGCGATTGCGGATCAATTTCGTCGACCATTTGTTGCATAATACCGAAAAAAAACACATCGAAGCGGTCAAAGTCTCTAACCTTTCCTTGTCTTGAATTAATTCCGTATAAATCTTTGATTTTTTGTTGTTGTCATAAATTTTAGTTAATTAATAAATAAATATTTTTACATTAATATGTTGATAATTTAATTAATAAATTAATTGATAATAATAACCTTTAGGCCATCGACTATCACCGTCATCGGCATCGGTAACCATATCTATGCCATTGTAGAGGTTGTCAGCAAATTCATCGATATTATCAGATAATGGGAACCGACCACTCATACCACTGATTACTATATCATCGTTTAAACTCATCTTTGAATTTGTTGTTATAGTTTTAATATAAAGCAAACAAATTATATGTGTGTTTTGTGTCACCAATTATTATCTAACCAAAAATAAATTGTAAATATTTTAGTAAAATTCAAACAAAAAATATATTTTTTTTAAAAAATTCTTAAAATCTTTAAAACTGTTTTGTATTAATGTTTTGCATTCAATAGTAATTACTAAATACTGTAATCATTTACTAAACTTTTTTTTTAAACTGAATACTTATACAAATAATTATAATAAATAAACAAAATAAATAAAAATTTTAGAAATTTTATAATTAAAAAAAACGTTTTAAGTACTGACAATGAATTAATACAAACCAAAATAATAATTTTAAAAAAAAGTATTTAATATTTTTGTTTTTAAAGTGTCAACAAATTGCTATACAGTATTAAATATTATACTATTTTTTGTTTGTTTGTTAATATTATATAAATAACTTTTCTTAAATAAAATTTATACTAAACTAAAATACAAATTTGCATAAATGTAATTAGATTTTTATTTATTATTATTATTATTATTAGATTGATAACATAATCCTTAATAATGTTTTAAAAATTATGATTATCGATAAATAAAGTATAATGTGTTTTCCCATTATTAAAAATATAATTATTATTAACATATATATATAATATGATATAACATGAAGGACAGCTAAAATGCTTAATAAATTTGTTTTGTTTTTATTTACATTTAAAATTTATTTCATTAACTCTCTCTCTCTYTCTCTCTCTCTCTCTCTCTCTTTCTCTGAATATTAGGCAATATTACAGTTAAATTGAATTTGAATAAAATTTAATTAACTTAACTATTAAATTATACTATAATTTAAAAAAACTAATAATATCAAACAATTTTATAAACACTAAGTTTTTTATTTAATTTTAATAATTATTGAATATTCAAATTTGAAATAAAAATAAATAAAATAACAAAATATTTATATTTCTTTATAATTTATTGATATATTGAAAATACAATATTATATTTGTAGTGAATTTAAAATATAATTAATATAACCTCAAAATTATTTTTATTAAATCAAAATTATTTTTTTAAACAATAAAACTTAATAATTAAATATCTATATTTTACTGTATAAATTATATTACAGTATAAGCAAATATTTAAATGTTTTATATAATATTTAATTAAATTTTTAGCAAAATATGTGAATATAATTAAAAAAAATTATCTTAAAGATTATTGTATTATAAAGTTATTGAAATTTTTTATTGTTTTGTTTATATAAATTTATTCATTATTTACTTTTTTAACAAATTTTAAAAAAACTATTTTATAATTTATGATAAATATCTAATTTCTGTTTTAGCTATAAACTATCGTTATTTTTAATATTGTTTTTTTTAAAAAATACATTTTAAATTGAAAAAAATATTTATTATAATTTTGAAAAATCATGACTTAAAATATTTAAAATTTATAGTTCATTAAGTTTTATCAATAACATTAATAAATTTCAAAAATATTATAATACTATCACATCAAAAATTTTATTATTTATTTAAAGATTTTAAATAATTGATTTATTTAAATGATTTTTTTAATAATATAATATTTAAAATTTTGTCAATTGTAAAAAAATATATTTATTATATAGGATTATAATAGTGATTTATTTTTTATTTTTGGAAAATATTATATTAAAATATTAGCTTTTATTAAATAATTGGTATTTTAAATGTTTATTATAATAATATATAATAATATTTTGTAAATTTTCAACAAAAAAAAACATTTATTAAATTTATTAGAGTTAAGTTGATTTTATAGTTGAAACTTATAATAATTTTAATTTATTAATATATAGTTTATTTACTAATTGTTTCTATTAATAGTTGAATAAAAATAATAATATATTTTATGCTTTTTTAAAAAAAATCGGTAAAACATTTCTACTAATTAATCAATTAATAATTAAAAATATGTGTTTTTACAAACAGTAATTACTACATGTTTTACAAGTTTTTTTTAAAAATATTTAAAAATAAGGTAAATTACATTATTATATATAAATGCAATTGATTTATTTAGAAAAATAAATCATTAATTATTTATAATTTGTCATACATGTAGATAATTAATATACAGTATAATCTAATAATAAACTGTTTGTATATAATTTTAATAATATATATTAATAATATATTTTTAAATAATACAAAAATAATAATTATACATATATAACTTTATATAAATATATTGATAAAATTGATTTTGCTTAAAACTTACTAAAAATGATATCATCAATTGACCAATATTATTTAATTATATATTGTTTTTTTTTAATTATTTTATATAATTATTAAAGTTTTTTCCCCTTAATAAGCTATAGTGTCAAGGTAAATATAATTATTTGAACAAATTATATGTAAATTATATGTACAATACTTATATTAAAAAATATATATATAAAAAAATAAAATTATATATACCATTAGTACGATGATTGGATAATATAAAGAAAATAACAATTTATTTTACTTTATTTTTTCAAAATTAATTTTAATTAAGTTACTATCAAAACAACCATGATCAATATTAGTCAATTACATTAAACTGGTTATAAAAATATAATATTATTAAACTTAATATATAGTTTTGATAAACTAATAAAATATATAAATAATAAAAATACAAATAATTTATTGTTTTTAGTTGAAAAAAATTGTTTATATCAATACATTATATATTTTTTATATTAAATTTAATTAATTTTCATAATTAAAGTATATATTGTAATTATATGTATTATATTATATTATAATAAACATATTTGCTTTAAAAATATATGTTATGTGGCATTTGATGTATTTATTATTAATAATCAATTTATGAATGAAAACCTATTTATTTTACTGTAACTAATAAATAAAATATTAGTTAAAATTTAGTTAATTAAACCTAATGGCTATTAGACTTTTAACCATGGTCAAAATAAAATCATTGAAAGTTTATTATGTAAAAAAATTATGATAATCTTAAATATTAAGATTGTTTTGCTTTTGTTAAGTTATTTGTATTTTTTAAAAAAAATTATTTCAATATTAAACTTATGAATAAATATTTTCAATATAAACCAGTTGAGAATGCTAGAAAGCATTTCCACACGAATTCCTAATCATAATTAAAAATTAAATTCAGTATGATAAAATAAAATCAACTATAGTTATGTGGGGTATCAAACGATTCAGTATTACAAAATAAACTACTATTTTCCTAAAAAATAAACTTAAAAACGAAAAAAATAAAAAATCAATATTCAAAAAAATTTTTAAAAAAATTAAAAAAAAATTCAAATTTTTTTTAATTAATTTTTGGACACCATTTTCTTCAATTTCCTAAAAAATAAACTTAAATAAGAAAAAAAACAAAAAAAAATCAAAAAAAATTTGTAGCGGATAGTGGATTCGAACCTATGTCCTCGTGGGACAGACAGACCGACAGACAGACAGACAGACAGACAGACAGACAGACAGACAGACAGACAGACTTATAGAATGCATATACGTATTCCTTTCAGGAATTCGTGAAAATATTTAATTAAAAGTCTACTTATTTTTGATATTTCAATAACTAACGTATTTATTTAAATAGTTAAAACTTTATAAATAAATATATATATATATATTAAATTATTAAACTATTATAATAATAACATCTAAAAGTTATTATAAATCATAATTAATTAATAAAAAAATATAAATAATAATTATTTTTATTTTTAATTATTTAAAAATAAATTAAATCTATAATTTAAATTTACAACTTAACAATAACAATGATTATTATTAAGTTATTTTTTTTAAATAATTATTACTTTTACTCCTTAAAAGATAATGTTAATTATATTAAATGCTATTAAATAAGATAAATATATTTTTATTTAGATTGATATAATTAATTTTATTTTATTATATTATATTATTTGATATACTGTATATATTAATATAAATTTATATATATATATATATTGAATATTATATAATTAGTATAATTAGTTAGCCAATAATAAACATCGGTAATTAAAAGTTAGTTAATTAATATTGTAAAGCCTGCAAAACTTGTTGACCAATCTTATCGGATGATACAGCAAATGGACATTCATCGACCTTAACAAACAATATGTCGGCACCACTACCATCACCAGCAACATACTGTTCCTACACATCAATTAAACAGTACAATCAATATCCATACAATCAAAAACATAAAATACATAAACATAAACATAAAATCAACAAAAAAATAATATTAAAAATTATAAATGCATACATCGTTTGCCGGCAATTGTTGCGGCAAAAAGTATAGATCACGGGCTCTGGTAATCAAATCGTTTTGGTTGCTGTCATCTCCTACATCATCATCAGCATCGGTAATATTGCTGAACTCAAACGGCTTAATAACAACCAATTTGTGCCGTAGTTTTGCCCACTTTCTGGCCGCCCGTGTCTGCCATTTGTCCAGAAATCTCATTTTTCGTTTCAATTTATCCAATCGATAACTCGATAACAGTTTGGCCCGTTTGAAGGCATTCCGGATAATATCTTCAAGATCTGTAGCTACCAATCCTTTACCGGCAAACTCCTTGATCTCTGTACAGGCTCTCCGTATCCGACTATCAATGTCCTGTTCGGACTTCATGTCCCGTCGGATCTTATCTCTGAACGACTCCGGTATTTCATACGATATAAACTCAAATATAAACTCCAGTATATAATCATCGCTGACGTAGTCTTCGTTGAATCGACTTTCGGACAGTACGTCCAACAGTACAACCCGACCGATGTTGGCCCGACGTAACAGTTTGGTCGATATGAGTGCACCGTCAAAGTAGCCAACAATATCGTAGCTGCCGTTTGCCGCCGTCGCCGACGCCAACGAGTTTAACAACTCTATATAATAGTTACCGATTTGTTTCATTGTGGTCAACCCGTCCAACTCGCGGGTCCAGTTCAGGCCAATTACTGGCCGATCGATTTGTTTGGCAAACTCTTCAAACGCCCGAAACCCGCCATCAAATGTCGGCATAAAATAAACGGGTTTTCCTTCGGTAATATTATTCAATAGTGTAGTCTTTTGTTGAGGTATTTGAAATCGATATCTCAATAGTTTTGCACGTGCTGTACGTACATCATCGACATAGCGTTTAATATTTTCCACATTTCCCGACTCGTAATCCTTCAACATTTTGATGGTTATGTTTTTCACGTGATTGATAGACATCTTGATATTCCACTCCCTGTCCAACTCCTGTTGCAATTCTACGGCAAACATCGATTCCATACCAATCTCTCCGAGTGTCAAATGGTCGGGTGTGGTCTCCGGGTCGATGCCCAGCGCCCGCCACAGCTCTCTGACCATTCGCTTTTGTCGATTACCGCCGCCGCCGCCTGTCTGGACAATACGTTCGGCTCTTACCTATTAATTATGTGATTTAAAAAAAACATTTTTTTTGTTAATATCATATTATTCTGTGTATTAAAACATACATATGATGTGACAATCGGCTGACTGACTGATAATAGTTTATCCAATACTTCGCAACACGAATTGATACGTTGTGTTTGCATAGTTGTCAACTGAATCAAGTGTTGGTCACTACTACTGGCCTTATCGGCAAACACACCGACATCGCCAATAGGTCCGTATTGTACGGCCAGACCGTGCAGACCATCGCGACGTCTTTGTTCGCAAATGCGTTCGCACAACGAATTACCGAAAGCATAGTTAGATTGACCGACGTTTCCCTTACCGCAGATTACCGACGAAAATACAGTAAAATAGTCTAATTTATAGTCCAACTGTCGGGTCAATTGATCCAAGTTTGCAAACACCTTGTGTTTAGTATCGGAAGTCAAACAAAATTTATCGTACGATTGATTTTCCAGTAGACTATCATTCAAAACAAGTGCCAAATGAAATACACCGCCGATTTGGCCTAAATGTTGGGCCTCTTTTAGCAACCATTTCGTACTTTCAATAGTATCGCAATCATTAGTCGATACCAATATCTTTGCGCCAAATATTTTGTATTTATTGCCAAAATATTTCAAACGTTTAATAATAAATTTCTGATAATTAGTACGAATGCCTGACCTCGAAGTCAATACAAATTGTTTTGCACCCATATATAGCATCCAATGAACTAACTCGAGACCACAACCACCCAAACCACCCGTTATTATATAGACTTTGTTTTGATTAAAGTATGTCTTAGTTGTTACTAACAAATCAATCGATGGATTCATATCTTTAGCAGCATTTCTATCGGATTCTTCATCTCTAATCTTAATAATAACTTTTCCGATGTGTTTACCGGTTGTCATATATCTGAACGCCTTTTCCGCTTCGTTAACACCAAACACAGTCCTATTTAATGGTTTAATACATCCATTTGAAGAGTTTTTGTGCATCCAATCAAAGAAATTGATGGCAAAATCCTGTTTTTCCATCAGACAGATATCGACGGCGACACCAATAAACGATATGTCTCTCAAAAAGTCAAACATACCTAACTGTTTGTTAAGTACTAAATCATATTTTCCGAGTTCAACAAATCGGCCGCCGTTTGCAATACACTCATAGCTGGCGTCCAATTTCTCGCCGGCCAATGAATTCAACACTAAGTCGACACCCTTTCCCTTAGTCAGCGATAGTATCCTATATTTAAACATAATATCTCTTGAACTGAATATTTTGTTTTCAGAAATATTATATTCATTGATAAGAAACTGTTTTTTGTCTTCAGTTCCAACCGTCACATAGATATCGCAGTTATAGTATTGGCATATATTTATGGCCGCCTGACCCACACCTCCAGCACCCGAATGTATTAAAATACTTTCATCTGATAATAAAGTAAAATAACAAATCAAACAAATATATTATAATATTATACAAATTATTTTGCTATATTATTCTACAATACAAGTATATTATCTGAAAAAATCATACTTCTCTTTAAATGAGCCCTTTCTATCAGACCATACCATACGGTGCTATATGTGCTCAATATAGTGACCGCATCGTCCATTGACCAGTGATTCGGTATATTAGTTATACTTTTTTCATTAGCACTTATAGTTGTAGCAAAACATCGGGTCATTTCAAAGCCCATAACCCGTTCGCCTCCAGTGTCTAAACGACGGCCGGCAAACTCGCAACCAATTAGACAATCAGTGAATAGGAGTTGTGGTCCACTTGGTATACGACCTATAATTTAGATATAAAAAAACAAATTAATTATTTAACATTACATCCACACTGAAAAAAAATAATAATAATATCAATACCAGTGGCAACCAAAACATCGTGAAATGTTAAGCCAGAACTATAGATATTACAATCGATAAGATTTGTTAAATTATTATTGATGTCAAACACTTGACTTTTGTTTGTCGACTCAATAGATGTCGAATCAAACCATTGAAGACTCGACAGGTCTCTGGTTTGTGAGATATTTAGAAAGTATTTATCAGTAGTTGTCTTATCATAATTTTTAGCTAATCTCTGGTATCTATAGGTTCCGATGGTTGGTATAGTTGTTATAATGTTGTTGTTGTTGTTTTTAATAACATTGATAACCAAATCGTTGACAAATATATCATAATAAGGTTTACTATGAAAATCAATTGTTGTTTGGCAATGATTTTCATCGTCATCATCGTAAACAAACAAACATCTCAACCTATCGCCTCCCGGTTCCAGTCGAAGACAGTTAACTAATCCTAAAATACCGTTAACAACATTGCCATCGGAAGCAATCAGCCATACAGTGTCATCACAATTATCATCATCTTTGCATACATTTAGCTTATCTTTTAATTTATCAAACCATTGATCATATTGTGATGTAATACTAATTATATTGTTATCTGTAGGCAGAATACTGGCTGATGATAACAATGTTTGATGGACAGGTAGTTTTCTGAATAGGAAACCATGTGAACAAATACTGTCGCATTTGGTAGCTATAAGTGCCAAACCTTGGCGATTGGCAGCTGCAAGAAAACTATTGATACGTTTGTCAAGATCGGCATCATCTGGACTAACGGTTCGGTCAAACAAAGAGTTCAGTGAAACCTCCGGTTCGGTAAATCGATACTTGAATACAACTAATATGAAACCTTTAACCACAACCAAGTCTACAATTGATTGGACAAACAAATCCAAATCAATTAGCCATAACTCTGGACTATCTCTGACGATACACAGATCAGCTGACGTAACATCAATGGCTATGGTATCACCTCCTAGACTGGCATCCCATTCAATAGCCCTGTCCTTATATACACTATCGTTAATCATGGATTGTTTTGATTTGACCACAACTTTATAGTCAACATCGACAGTATAGATGTGACAATTGTTGACATACTGTTCCACTTCTTTGGCCATCAATGGACACGAAGTTTGATTAATCTCAACAATTTTCAATTGTTTTTTTGGTACAAAATTTTCGCAAACAATATCAACGAGTGTTCGTATAAAGCATTCATTCTTCGAGATCTCATTAGTGATGTCTTTAGATATATTAAACTCTTCAGTGAAAGAATTTGTTTGAATATCTGACAAGAATTTCTTCAATTCATTATCAGTAAGTTTTTTCTGATTATTATTATTATTATCTTTTAGATAATTAACAATTTTAAGCAATATTTTTAGTAAAACAAAATTTTCGTTACAATTTTTATCCATATAATCATCAATAAAATTGTCGCTAAAATTGCGATAATTGTAATCACATTTGATATGTTTCAGACCAAGTCCTTTGATTTTGATGGCAAGCGATTTGCAAATCTATTAAACAAAAAAAAATTAAATTTTCAATAATAAATGTTTTGTTTTTTTGATTTCATAATAAAAAAATTATTTTTTAATAATTAGTGTTTTTTTTATCTTTAAATTTTAATTAACAGACCTCTAAATACTGATTCAAATTTGTCCGCTGATAGTCATCGATGGCTTGAATGTCATGATTGGCAACAAATCCATAGGAATCCAGTTTCAGATCGTTAGTATCCGATTTACGTGGTATCGGAAATGCCATAACATTTTCCACTTCAATACCCGGACTAACCAGTAGCCGGCACTCGGAATCAAAATAAAACGGTTGAACAGATTTATACAAATAAAATCTGTGATAAAAATATTGTTTCAAATCTTGTTTATCTGAATCGGTTAGGAAAGCACTGGCCGTTTCACCCTGATCAGTTTGCATTGTTGATAACTGGGCCAATTCAGCTTCGTAGTGGTCCTCCAGGTCATTGTCCTCCGCCGCCGCCGCCGATCCCGATGACGACACTCTATTGTTGACAATGGCCGCAAAGAAAACATTGGGATCAATACGCAACGATCTGATCATTACGGGTACCATCATCTTGCGAAACGGTATGGCCAATGCCATTGACTGTAACATACTGTCGAGGAATGTTATGATATTACCATTCCATTCGATAAGACCGCGGAGTTCGCCAAACGTCTCGGTCCTAACCTCAAGCAAACGTTGAAACTCTTTCCCGTAATCATAGCCCATAATACGTAACTCCCGATAGATATCGTCTCTGTTTAATGTCAGCTCATCATTATTGTCGTTATCATCAACTACTTGGCCATCATTGACATATTGTTGACATATTAGAAAGTCATCGCTGATGGGTGGGGCCCGTACTTTGCCCACACACGTAACGTTTGAATTTTCCAATATAACAAAATCACCTTGATGATAAGTTGTTTTTTTACAATTGAAAAAAATTGTATATTAATATTATTACTATAGGGATATTATAATAATAAAACTGGGATTGAAAACCCCATATAAAATTCATATAAGTGTTTATAATGTAAGGGAAGTGGGGTTACCACGGGTATATTTTTACTGTGAACATTCTATGAGTGTTCACTAACCCGTGATGTAAACCCTACTATTGCTTAAGACTAAGCCCTTACTGTGCCTTGTACGTACCAGCATTATCATCTCTATCGGTGTGTGGCTTAAGGAGCGAGCGGATCTCCTATCACTGGTTGTGTACAAAGCTATGTGTTGTTTTGTGTAGTATTTAGTCGACCGACTGTTTTAGTTTATGCTGTTCCTTGCATAAGCTATCCGTATAATACTACCGTACGGATATCCAACTGATTGGTACAAAGTCTAGTTTAAGGTCTGTTTTGGTAAACATGTTTTCCTTGATATCTCCATAACCATTTGTCCTACTGATCTCCAACAAGTACCATTGGCATCAGTACATAAAACCCGATTTCCAGTTCTCGATGACCTTGACCTTGTATAGGTGACCTTGACCTTGGAAATGTGACCTTGACCTTGGACGTGTGACCTTGACCTTGGACGTGTGACCTTGACCTTGGACATGTGACCTTGACCTTGGACGTGTGACCTTGACCTTGGACATGTGACCTTGACCTAGAGTCAGTAGGCCAGTAGTAGACCAGTTGTAGGCCAGTTGTAGGCCAGTTGTAGGCCAGTTGTAGGCCAGTTGTAGGCCAGTTGTAGGCCAGTTGTAGGCCAGTTGTAGGCCAGTTGTAGGCCAGTTGTAGGCCAGCTGTAGGCCAGTAGGTCAGTGTGACAGTAGACCAACGTGTCTAGTGCCTTATTACTATATCTGAGTTAACCTATCATAGCGCTTACGTTTGCATATACTATACTTATAAGTACACTACCGCTGTTTTGTCATAATCATATACTAATACTATCCTTATAATAGAATCGTAATTATAGTATACAAAATACATTGTATCTCTATTAACATTGTCTATAACAATAATTTACTAGTACTGTAAATTAAATAATACAGTCACTATACTTATTTTAATATCTTTATAGTATAACTAACTATGACTATGTTAATAATAGGCATATACTAAGGCTATGCGTATAACACTACTGCTTTAATACTAATAGTATTACTAACTATTAAATAGGTTACTCAACAATAAGGTTCACTCAACGTCGTCACGTGTCAACACTAATCTCTGGTCGGACCGGTCAGATCCTACCGTGTAGCGGACACAGTACCGGAGTTCCCTTCTATAGAGTATTCGCTTACGTAATAAGAAGACGACTCCCATCGGCGCGGCGTTCGATTGCTATCCTTTATGTTAACTGTATCCTATAGAACTGTTGGGCCTATAGGACCAATGGGCCTGTAGTGAAGCCATATGTGATCCATAATACCATCCATGACGTAATCCATGGTGTACTTCCATGACTCAATCGATAATGTTATCCATGATGTAATCTTTCTTGTGGTCAGCTTTCATCAGTATAACATCGATAGTGTAATCCATGACGCAATCCAAGACCACCAGCCGCGACGAGTAAGTAATACACACAAAGTAATATGCAAATACTTTTATTTCATCTTATAAACAGTTATACATTGTAGCACTCCAAGAGAACTCCGAAGAGATCTCCGAAGAGAACTGAGAACTGATCTCAGAAGAGAACCCATTTTGATGTCTGAGAGACACCACTATTTATACTAAAGTGTACGTGAGAAATAATTAGGTCGTATTGAGTCAGCTTTAATCCCTGGGCGTAAACTATTCACTTTTCTGTATAACATTTTAATACATTATTTTAACTGTGAAATACAGAGTAAAAATAAAATAAAACTTTACTAAAATGTAGGAGTTTACTATTCACTGTTTTGTATAACATTTCAAATCATTATTTTAACAGTGAAATACTAAGTAAAAATAAAATAAAACTTTACTTAAAAGTAGGTGTTTACTATTCACTTCTCTGTGTAACATTTCAATGCATTTTTAAAAGTGAATTCTAGAATTTAGTATTGAGCAAACCTTGGTTTGCAAATATAATTATTTAAATAAAAATAAAACTAAGCGTTGTGTTAAATTCACTTTAGTAAATTTAAACACAAACAAAAATCACTTTTTTATTGAAATAATTATAGCCTTAAAACAATAATGAGTATATCTTGCAATGGCACTGACTGTCTATAACACTTCCGCCCCTTCAAGTCTGCATCTGTCCTCAGATGCGTAATTAATAAATTACGTCTAATTTATAACTATGCCTCATGTACACACTAGTTTACAAATACTTGTAAAAACCTTTCAACTAAAAAAATTCATGCATTATATAACTAAATTTAGAATATCTAAATTCTAACTTATATTATAATTAATTTTTATCGATGTCCTTATGATCGTCAACGTTCTTCATTTCTTGATAATCTTATTTTTAGTTGATCAACATCATAAACATTATCAACCAATGTAATATTCGATTTCATCTATTCATCTTCAGCTTCTTATCGAATATCCATTACATAATAAACTAAAACATCTTGCTGTTTAAACTGTTATTGAATTCTTTAAATTATTCTTTAATCAGTGTATAAAAGTGGACTATGTTGATTAATTAGTGGACTTAGTATCGACATTCATAATAAATCGACACTATATTCGGTATTGGATACCAATTTCTTTAAATTGCGAATTTGTCTTTGCAGTTATCTTTATGTCTTCGATTATAACATATTCACTTTTTTATTTTTCAGAAATTATATCTGTAAAATCTTTATCCAATCATTTTACAAATTTAATTTTCCAATATCCATTAACATATATTCTTGGATTATTAAACTTCATTTTAGTTTCTCTAAATGGTTTAGCCAAATAGCAGATCATCTGTCATACGATTTTGAATTAAGCGTTGGCTTCTTATGCTTGATTCTTGACCCATATTTGCCAAGGGTGTCGTTTGGTTGACCATTATTATTTATTAATAACATTTGTTTACTTAATTAATTTTAACAATCATCTTTCTAATTAATTAATTATCTAATTTTAATTTTCGCTAATTACGTTATAGTTTCAACAAATCAAATAGTTTAAAGTTGTGAACAATTATACATTTTAATAGGCCTATAAATGTTTAATGTACAACTTCTCTAACTTATGATTCCTATAACAAATTCATTTTAATAAATTTTTTTTTACTCATCTTATATAACTTAGAATTCTAAATAGTGATCACTTGTTTATTCTCATTATATCTCATTGAATTGCCTCTATCGGCGATCTATCCTCTCAATGTTATGTAATTGCATTGCAAAACTCGACGAGTGAAATTAACTTATTTTCTTAATCATCATCATGGTCTCTAAGCCATGTGAAATCTATATCTTATTGAATTGCCTCTATCGGCGATCTATTCTTAATGTTTTGCTATTCCATTTTAAGTCTCGTCGAACGACACAATTATATTCATAATTGTCATCATCAAGTTGTCAATGTTAAATTAAATTTAAGTCTCATTGAATTGCCTCTATCGGCGATCTATTCTTCTCAATATTCTGCAATTGCTTAGAAAACACGTCGATCGACACAATTAAATTATTTTCTTAATTGTCATTTTCAGGGTGTTTAAATTTGCCGCCTTATAATGGTATGGGCCTACAAATTGGTTCCATAATTAAGTACAAAGACCAAGGATTGTGTAGAGACACCAATTCTACTCCTTATATGTAACATCGCGATCTCAGCGCTATAACGGAATTTATCATCGTTAAACGCAATCATTATTTTCTTTGAACCAATTCTCTTCCATCCTCCAAATAATAATACCAAAAGCAAGTACACGCGGACTTTATTAAAATACGTCTATTGGTACTAGTCTTCACATCCATATATCGATAAAATTTCGATGTACAGTTTCAAATTTTTTCCGCAAATTTATTTTACTGTTGATTATATGGTGTATGCAAATGGAGGATCTATGATTTCTTATGAAATCTTCAATGAAGTATCTGACCAACTTTATTTCGTTATGGCGACATATCACGTCAGAACTTCATCAACAAACCATTTTACTTTACTAGGTTTGTACTTTTTCTCACTATGTCTTCATTTTTATAAATTAGGTCAATCATTAAAAACTTTTATTTTGAAATTCTATTTCGGAGGGATGGCCCAATATATCAGCTCCGATTATTTCAAATAATAAGTGGTATCCATCAGCTGCAGCATTTCTTCATTTAACTGACATGACTCAGTTATTTAATAACTTATGATTGACTATACAGTGAGTTCAAAATTTTCCTAAATGTCATAAAATCCTAATTGAGTTCCGGATTACTCATTGTCATGTTAATCTTTTAGGATTTGTCTTTTAAAATCTCTTAATAATCATGATTATCTTCTTTTATTAAATCTCGTCTGATGAAGCTTCTTTTATTTCTCTTTTGAATCCCATTCATTGTATTTTGAATGTTTTTTCTTGTTTTGATCCCCAAAGACCTTTCTTTGTTAATGCTGTAAAATGTTTAGCTTTTTTCTTTAATGTTAGTTTTTCTTCACGTATCTTAGTATCTAATATGTCAGCAGATATTCATTATGGTTTTCATGTGTGCCAAAATCTGTTAAGTCGTCTGAACCATTTCGATATGCCAGTAACCCCAATTCACATCAAGTGTTTTAAAATAACGAGCGCCTTAAGGCGGTCTAACACTTCAGTGATTCGTCATTCAGTCGCAATTTGTCATCTATAGCAATATCGTTATCTTCTATAATTTATGCTTAATTGTTCTCCACCGTCTTTCTCCATAATAACCAGGAAAGCATACTGGCTATTCTTAATTTTACGTCCTTTGCTTTCTCTCGAATCATTTTTACAATCACGTCGTATTCATTTTAATGTCGGCGGTAAGGACTGAGTCAAATTGCGAAACCGTAATAATCTTGTGCTTAACAACTAGAATTCATCAAATGTCTGTGACGTGCTGTGTGAAAACACGTATATGTTTACATAATGCGAGCGGTAACGTTACGACTGCTGAAGTTTACAGTTAAACCAAGTCGTATATCAACATCAAGTCCAAATAAGAGCAGGTCCAAATTAACTAGTACGTGAAATGTAGTTTGCGTTGATGTACCAGTAGATGGCTTCGTAGCATTCGTGTTTACATTTCCTATTCTCATGACAAGTTGTATGGTATCGTTATCGTCAGCCATTATTAAAATAATTACTTATGTTTTAACGTAGTGTGGTTGTTAGGTGTTGGCTTCATCTTGATGCTCATGCGTTTAAATGAGCATTGAGTACATAAAATGGTTTATCAGTTCAGTATAATGTATTGAATATAAGCAGTGATACATGTATACACAGCGCTATCGGCCACTACAATAGAGTTCTATAGTTTATGATTACTTTGCTTTGTATTTTGGGAGTGCAATAGAACTATGCCTCACGTCCCATAGACTAGCGTTTTGTCATAAACTATGTGTCCGATAACATACGTGAATGTATAACCGATATACCAAATGTATAGCTTTACTGATTTAACCAAATTATGTAAACGGTTTAAACATTACCAATGTGCTTTAATCAGTATATTCGATCCACGACGAAAGGTTGAAGTTCAATCTATGTATATACCAGCTACGCCCAAAGCCATATGGCTCGGACTCAGCGCCAGTCTGGTTATGTTAATCTCTTATTCAAATTCTTTAGTACTGTCACCAAATGCGAGTGACTTTTGGTTTATACGTCTCTAGTAATTACGTATTATTCGGATATTTGGCTAGTTCATTTCAGTAGTTTGTATAACATATCGGTGAATCCATCAATTTGTATTTTGTGGAAATTTGCATCCTCCACTGCTTCCATCAAATGTAAGCAACATTAGGTTAAAACGTATTTTGTTTCTTTTAGGATTTCGTATCCTCCAACGATGCAACGAAGTGTAAGGAACATGTGGTTAAGCGTGTTGTGTTTTTTTTGTGGAATATCGTATCCTCCACTGCTGCCACCAAATGTAAGGAACGTTTGGTTAATTTTTTGTGGTAATTCATATCCACCATCGCTGCCACCAAATGTAAGGGACATTTGGTTTATACGTCTTTAGTTTAATGAAATTCGTATCCTTCAACGTTGCCAACAAATGTAAGTCATTTGGTTTATTTTTGTGGTRATTCGTATCCTTCACTGCTGCCACCAAATGTAAGGAACGTTTGGTTAATTTTTTGTGGTAATTCATATCCACCATCGCTGCCACCAAATGTAAGGGACATTTGGTTTATACGTCTTTAGTTTAATGAAATTCGTATCCTTCAACGTTGCCAACAAATGTAAGTCATTTGGTTTATTTTTGTGGTGATTCGTATCCTTCACTGCTGCCACCAAATGTAAGGGAAGTGGGGTTACCACGGGTATATTTTTACTGTGAACATTCTATGAGTGTTCACTAACCCGTGATGTAAACCCTACTATTGCTTAAGACTAAGCCCTTACTGTGCCTTGTACGTACCAGCATTATCATCTCTATCGGTGTGTGGCTTAAGGAGCGAGCGGATCTCCTATCACTGGTTGTGTACAAAGCTATGTGTTGTTTTGTGTAGTATTTAGTCGACCGACTGTTTTAGTTTATGCTGTTCCTTGCATAAGCTATCCGTATAATACTACCGTACGGATATCCAACTGATTGGTACAAAGTCTAGTTTAAGGTCTGTTTTGGTAAACATGTTTTCCTTGATATCTCCATAACCATTTGTCCTACTGATCTCCAACAAGTACCATTGGCATCAGTACATAAAACCCGATTTCCAGTTCTCGATGACCTTGACCTTGTATAGGTGACCTTGACCTTGGAAATGTGACCTTGACCTTGGACGTGTGACCTTGACCTTGGACGTGTGACCTTGACCTTGGACATGTGACCTTGACCTTGGACGTGTGACCTTGACCTTGGACATGTGACCTTGACCTAGAGTCAGTAGGCCAGTAGTAGACCAGTTGTAGGCCAGTTGTAGGCCAGTTGTAGGCCAGTTGTAGGCCAGTTGTAGGCCAGTTGTAGGCCAGTTGTAGGCCAGTTGTAGGCCAGTTGTAGGCCAGTTGTAGGCCAGCTGTAGGCCAGTAGGTCAGTGTGACAGTAGACCAACGTGTCTAGTGCCTTATTACTATATCTGAGTTAACCTATCATAGCGCTTACGTTTGCATATACTATACTTATAAGTACACTACCGCTGTTTTGTCATAATCATATACTAATACTATCCTTATAATAGAATCGTAATTATAGTATACAAAATACATTGTATCTCTATTAACATTGTCTATAACAATAATTTACTAGTACTGTAAATTAAATAATACAGTCACTATACTTATTTTAATATCTTTATAGTATAACTAACTATGACTATGTTAATAATAGGCATATACTAAGGCTATGCGTATAACACTACTGCTTTAATACTAATAGTATTACTAACTATTAAATAGGTTACTCAACAATAAGGTTCACTCAACGTCGTCACGTGTCAACACTAATCTCTGGTCGGACCGGTCAGATCCTACCGTGTAGCGGACACAGTACCGGAGTTCCCTTCTATAGAGTATTCGCTTACGTAATAAGAAGACGACTCCCATCGGCGCGGCGTTCGATTGCTATCCTTTATGTTAACTGTATCCTATAGAACTGTTGGGCCTATAGGACCAATGGGCCTGTAGTGAAGCCATATGTGATCCATAATACCATCCATGACGTAATCCATGGTGTACTTCCATGACTCAATCGATAATGTTATCCATGATGTAATCTTTCTTGTGGTCAGCTTTCATCAGTATAACATCGATAGTGTAATCCATGACGCAATCCAAGACCACCAGCCGCGACGAGTAAGTAATACACACAAAGTAATATGCAAATACTTTTATTTCATCTTATAAACAGTTATACATTGTAGCACTCCAAGAGAACTCCGAAGAGATCTCCGAAGAGAACTGAGAACTGATCTCAGAAGAGAACCCATTTTGATGTCTGAGAGACACCACTATTTATACTAAAGTGTACGTGAGAAATAATTAGGTCGTATTGAGTCAGCTTTAATCCCTGGGCGTAAACTATTCACTTTTCTGTATAACATTTTAATACATTATTTTAACTGTGAAATACAGAGTAAAAATAAAATAAAACTTTACTAAAATGTAGGAGTTTACTATTCACTGTTTTGTATAACATTTCAAATCATTATTTTAACAGTGAAATACTAAGTAAAAATAAAATAAAACTTTACTTAAAAGTAGGTGTTTACTATTCACTTCTCTGTGTAACATTTCAATGCATTTTTAAAAGTGAATTCTAGAATTTAGTATTGAGCAAACCTTGGTTTGCAAATATAATTATTTAAATAAAAATAAAACTAAGCGTTGTGTTAAATTCACTTTAGTAAATTTAAACACAAACAAAAATCACTTTTTTATTGAAATAATTATAGCCTTAAAACAATAATGAGTATATCTTGCAATGGCACTGACTGTCTATAACAATATTGATTATTAAACTTTGACTTAAATTATTATTTTTTTTAAATATATAATATTAGTTATCGTAACAAAATTTTCCAGATATTTTAACATTATATATACAATACTATAGTTATTTTAATAGTAACCTGACTTCAATATAGTAATGGATATCCTGTATATAATGTTTTAAAAAATATATGTAAAAAAATTTATACAAAAATAGCTAAATTTTTTTGTATAAATTAAGTCAAAAGTTTATTATAAACTCATAGATTATAGTGTTTTTTTGTGTCAATTATAATCAATGATTCAAATTACGAAATAAAATAACAAAAAATACCTGTGTTTTCAAAATACCTGACCTTAAGTCTAGTGGCCGTCGACTCCGATAAAAATACTGGCCGCCGAAACTGTATGTTTTCAAATACTACTGGTGTCTGCATCCATGTACGGCCTCTGTGGGCGGCAAAGTGTCGCCACGCAAGCAACAGATAGCCAGTGGCCGGAAATAGCAGATTACCATCAATACAGTGATCGGCATAAAAGCCTTCATCTTTGAAGGCAATATTTATTGTAAAATTAAAGTCGGAAGCCGTGGCTCTGCAAAAATATTCGGGATATTTGCGTACAGCGTATGATTGTTTGTGATCCCAACGTATTAGCGAACCAATTGACTGAGTATTTCGGCTAACTGGCCACCCGATAGACGGATATAGTCGTTCAATAGCCGGATTCAGACCCAACTCATAGAGTGCGGCAATGGTCGACAAAAATCGGTCCAAATTTGTATCGTTTGAATGTTTTTTTATTGTCGACAAATATCTACAGTCATTGAGTGTCCGTTTGACTACTTTTTCAAATACTGAATGCGGACCTAATTCAATGACAATGGCATCCGATGGCAGCTCTTGAAGTTTGTCGTAAAAGTGAACCGGATTTAGCAGATTGTGTACAAAATACTCGGCCGACGCGTACCGAAGGCCGTCGTCTTTTGGCTCCGTTTCCAACACAGCCGTCGACAACCATTTCTTAGATCTTAGCCGTGGTTTTGGTAAATACTTTTTGATGTTTGCCGTCATTGGTTTGGCCGATGATTGCAAATATGATGAATGATATGGGATTTCATTGCTTTCAAGAAGACGAACAAACACTTCTCGGCCATTGAGATCATCAATCATTTGTTTAACTAAAGAGGATTCACCTAAAAAAAAGTGAATAAATAGATATATAAAATCAATTATATTTAATTTTATAGATAATTGATTACCAGATACGACAACATTGTCTTTGGCATTATTGCAGACCACATACACTCCTTGTGGACACAATTTTTTCACTTCATTTCTAGACAAACCCACGACAGCCATCAAACCTTTTGGTATTTTCTTATCATTTTCAGTAACGGCTCCTCTAAAGTATGATACAATCATTGCCTCTTTTGTGGTCAGACATCCGTCAGCGTAAGCACAGGCTATCTCACCAAATGAATGTCCAATAATACCGTCGACATTGATATCCAATGCTTTAATCACATCAAACAACGCCAACTCTATAGCAGTTGTCGTACAGAACTTAGAAGTCATTGTTGAGATGGAAGTGTTGTCTTCAGAGAGTAACCAATGTTTTAAATCGACATTAAATTCAAGTAATATTTGATGACATTCTTCGACTTTATTTCTGAAAATATCGATTGGCATTAAAGCCTTAGCCATTGCAGGCCATTGTCCGCCCAAACCCGAGAACAATAGCCAAACAGGTCTTACAGTTTTTTCATTAAAAACTGAATAATGTTTTTTATATTCATAAGTATTAGTAGTAGTAGTATTGTCATCACTATTTTCGGTCAACTTTTTTATGATAACAGATCCTATCATATAATTAATAAAAAAATATTGGTTTAATAATAAATTATTGTAAATAATAATAATAATAATATATAATACAAACCTCTGTAGGGAAATCCGGCTGAATTAACACTGGGACTGACTTTCATAGTATCAGTCAAAAGGGCCAAAAAGTCGCGCGTGATTTTATGAGGGGTTTTCTCAATAAAGTCAAACACGTGTTGAATGCCGGCTTCAGTGCGGCCGCAGATGTTTACAATACGCGGTATGGGTTCAGCTATTTTCAAGTTGACCTCATCATCGGCCAGTTTATCATTACATTTGATCAGTACGTGTCCGTTAACACCGCCGATACCGAAGTTATTGACTCCAGCTATGCCTATAAGTTTTCAACAAATAAAAAGGTAATGAAATTAAAATATGTAATTATGAGGACATACATGGATTGTACGGCAATTTTTCGGTATTTGGATACAATGGCGGACAGTATTGTTTGCATTCGTCTTTGATTTGTCTTAAGTTGATATTCGGAGGAATGCATTCATTTTCAAACGATATCAACACTTTGATTATGGATGCCATACCCGAACAGCCTTCGGTGTGGCCAATGTTACTCTTCAACAGACCCAATGGTAACGGTTCCCGACGGCCAGGCAGTGCACAGTAAGCATTATAGATAGCGCTAACCTCTTGCGGATCACCTGCCTGTGAGTCAGTTCACAAATTTATGTGATTATATTAATTGTAACAAAAAATAATATTATAACACATACCCGTGTTCCCGTACAGTGAGCCTCAATATAGTTAACAGTCAACGGGTCGACATTGGCCTCCTTGTAGGTCATGACCATCAGATCCTGTTGAGACTCAGCCGACGGGAAAAACATTCCTCTGGTTTTCTTGCCGTCGATGTTGAGTCTCGATGCCAACACCTGGCCGTAGACGCGTTTGGCCCGATGTCGGTGCTGCATCAGTACACTGGCCACACCGTCAGCTTTGACAAAGCCGTCGGCGTTTTGATCCAACACTGCCGACACACCGCGCGGCGAACACAGACTCACTTCCTGACCGATTTGGCTGACAAACGGTTCAAATGTCATGTGCGTACCGCCAACTATGGCATAGTCAATGTTGCCTATACGGGTAATATACGGCCAATTATTATATACCCGTATATATAGTATAGTATATTATATTTAGATTACATACCGAGTTTCAGATCGTTAACAGCCAGATTGACAGCGGCCAGACTGGCCGAACAGGCCGTATCGACTACCATTGACGGACCCTTAAAATCAAACACATAGGATACCCGATTTGCTTGCAAACCTTTTTGGTTGCCCATTGTTTGCAACAATGTTTGCTGTTTATTGGATCGCAAATCGGGCTGCAGTTCCTCCGGTAGACCTTCAATACAGGCGTATAAGGAAACACCGATATAGACGCCGGTTCGCGATCCACGAAGCGATTGCGGATTTATGCCTATAATTATTATTATTATAAAACAAACATACAGTATATTACATATATAATAAGCATTTTTTTGTGAATATATATTTTTTTTGAAAAAAAACTTGAATACCGGCGTCAACTATAGCCTCGTAAGTTGTTTCCAACAATATTCTCGATTGCGGATCAATTTCGTCGACCAATTGTTGCATTAATCCGAAGAAAAATCCGTCAAATTTGTCAATATTTCTGACTTTTCCCATACGCTGACACATACCATACAGATCTGTAATAAATCAAACGAAAAAAATAAAATAAATATAAAAAATACTATATTTTTATTATATATATTGTATTTTCTATATAATATCGAAAAATCAATTACCTAATGGCCAACGGGTGTCGTCCTCTGTAATCATATCTATACCATTGTATAGATTGTCAGCAAATTCATCGATATTATCAGATAATGGGAACCGACCACTCATACCACTGATTACTATATCATTATCATTAGTCGACATAATTGTAAATTATTATTAGTTTTTTTTAACAAATATTCATATTTTTTTTTAAAAAATCAATATAAATGAATAACAAAAAAAAACAAAAATTAAGAAATTATTTTTTGTGTTTCATATACTATATATATCATGAAGAAAATGAATAAAAATAATGTTTAAAAATTATTTTTTTTAAAAATATATGAATATATAAACTGTAATAACTTTATAGTAAAATAAATGACACAAATTACTATTAAACATATCATTTATATGTTATTTTAATTGAGAAAATTAAAAATTATTGAAAGATAAATGTGGAACATATTGACAATAAGATTTATTTTAACACATTTTAAAAGTTTTATTATAACTTTATTTATTTTTTGACAAATTTATATGATTATCATTTTATTTAATCACTAAATTATATATACTGTAATTATATAAATATGTTTTATTGTTGTTGTTTTTTTTAGGTATTTATTTTTTTATAATTGTAGGTAAACTCATAAATTGCATAAACAAATCTTTTAAACAAAATTTTAAAAAACTTTTATTTTTGTTGATGTAAATATAACACATTTTACATATATTATATAAATTTCTATAATAAATAAGAAAAATTTATTACTAATAATTATCTAATAATGTTATTTAATAATTGTTGCATTAGATCCTAAAATTTGTAATTATAAAATTATATGCATTATATATTTATATGATTGGTTGACAAACAAACAAACAAAATTATATATTAATATTAGTTTATAATTTACGGCATAATTATATTATTTATAATTAGATGATATTATATAGAGTATATACTGTATTGTATTATCAAAATTTCAATTGTCGAAAAAAAAGTTATTTAAATAATTAACTAAATTAATAATAGATTTTTTTTTATTGAACTATTTTTAAATTATTATAATAATTTTAAAATTTATAATAAATTAAATTATCTTTATATGATAATTATAAAAATTTTTGTTTAGAGATTAAAATTATTTTATATTTTATTATTAATTTTCAACAACAAAAAATTACTCATCCGTTAATATAATAAATTTAAAAAAAAACATTTAATCTATTGTAGTATACTATTAATAATATATTACTATATTTTTTTATTATATTATGTCTTAATTAATTACTATTGTTTTGTTAATTATTTTATTATTTTATCTATTGTTAATCATTTCTATATTTAAATTAATATTTTATATATATTTGTAGAATAACCTAGATCATTATTTAAATATTGATAAATACTATAATTTTAACCGATATTTCTATAAATATTATCATAAATACTATGATTTTGTCAACAATTTGTTAGTTTTTCAAAAAACATCATTAATTTAATAATAATAATAATACTTTATTATATGTAAATAATAATTATATAAATAATATTATTTTTATTATATGTAAATATAATGATAAATAAGTTTTGTCAACATGTTGTTATTAAAAAATTCAAGATTTTAATAATTATTTTTTAAATATATGTTAAATAATAGGAAATGTCGTATTTCTTAATAATTACAATAATGATGTTAAAGTAAAAATTGCAAGTTTTTATAATATTATGGTATTTCCACTATTATTATTGTAATTTAGATAAAAATAATGTAATATAATATAAATTATATATATATATATAGTGTACTAACAGTAGTATTAAGTTTTATTATTTTTTTGTTAATTTCAATTTTATTTATACATTAAAATTAAATATATTAAATAATAATCATATACATGATATAATATTTTTAATTGGTAAATAATATTATAATTTAATATTTACATTATTACACTCACGTAATAGAGTATTATATAATCATAACCAGATAAATATTTTTGTTTAATTTAATAAAATTTTTCAATTTTAATAATATTGTAAATATCTAATGATTTTTTTCAATATATTTATGTATTAAAAGCTTAGTCTAATACTAAAAATATTTACAAATACTGTTTATACTGAAAATCAATGATAGAGGCAATAATCCTGCACTTGAACTTGTTTTTGCTTAACCTCCCGGAGCTTCTCTATACTAATAATATAACAATAATTATTTTTTTTAAATTAAGTATAGTTTTTTAAAATTTATTATACCATAAATATTATAGTATTTATAATTGTGTATTTATAATTTACTATTGTATATACAGTACAGTTTATATATATATAAATTATTTAATTCAAATTAATTTACAAGGAAATATAATTCAAGTATAAATTATTTTTTTAGTTAGAGGAAAATAGTTTGATTAATTTTAAGACTTAATTTATTTAAAATAAAACAATTTGTCTTAAAAAACAATTTGTTTTTTTAAAAAAAATTAATGCCCATGGCAATTTTTTTTATTAAGCTAGCAATTTATATATATACTGTATGTTATGCTATTGGTTGATTAAGTTGGATTTGAGATGAAAAAATGTTATAATCTATATTTGATAAGTCTATGTAATAAAATAAATACCATTAGTCACAAAACATGTTTATAATACTAATATTTATGCCATTAAACATTTTTTTTTATTAAATTTTTAAAAATCTTTTTAAAACATTTGTTATAATTTTATTCTCTCTCTCTCTCTCTCTCTCTCTCTCTCTCTCTCTCTCTCTCTCTCTCTCTCTACCTCACTGTATATAACCAAAAAAAATCAGTTAATTTATATATAATATAATATTTTTTTTATTAAAATTATTATTATTATTTTATAGACATATAATACTAGGATACTTTTCTTTTTAAAAAAAAATTATAATATTACGTATACTATGTTTTTATATAATAATATTTAATAAAATTATAATTGACAAGTATAAGCAATTAAATTATTGTTATTGACAAGACATTGCGATTTTAATATTATAATTATTATTATCTTATTTTCCAATGTATTGTACAAAAAAAAAAATAAATAAATTAAATGATGACATGAGTCATATGCGCATATAATTATTTTTAAAACAAACTTATCAAAAATATTTTTTTCAAGTTTATAAATACTATTAATAATTTATTTAAACAAATTAGTATATAAGTATAATACAATTAATTTGAGTTATTTATTATTAAAAATAAATTTATTAGATTTATGCCTATTTATGGCAACTATAATATATTAAGTTTAAAAAATATAATTTTTCAATATTGTGTTGTTTTTATGTGACAAATAAAATGACTGTTTTATTATTATAATGATTGTCAACTGATTTTTTTTTCAGCTAATCGTATAGTTTTTGAAATATATTTTGTTTTCAATGAAAGCAAAATAAAAACCTGTTTTTTTATTAATAATTTTCTTTGTATTTTTCCAATAACTTTCCTCTGATTTTTAATGTATATGTGTTTCACTAATTATAGTTTAATTTGTAACTAATTTTTTTGTTTGTTTGTTTGTTTCATCAAAATAAACTTTATATCAAAGTTTTTTTGTGTGCAAAGTTTAAAAAAGTTAATTTGTTTTTTTTTTGAATAAATAAATTTGACATAATTTAAGCACAAATTAAAAAATAATAATATATTAATTTATTATTTATTTAAAACATATTAAGTTGTTTAGTTAGTAAACAGCTTAATTAAAATAAAAATATCAAATATAAAAATGTCAAATGTAAATGAATTTTGTAATATAATAATTGATGAGAAACTAAATAATAATAATAATAACAGTAATAGTAATAATAATAATAATATTAATACTAATAATAATGATTGTAATAATTTATTGGCTGTTGATGTAAATAATATACATTTTGGTTATAGAAGTAATCATCAAGTTTTGAAAAATGTTAATATGAAAGTACCCATTGGTAAGCAATTTTTGAATAATCTTTATATTAATAATTAATATAAGATTTTTATCTTGAATTAATTAGTTTTATTTTTTAATTAAATAACTTAAAATAACTGATTGATTGATTGATTGAATAATTGAATTTAAAGGCAAAATATTTGCATTGTTGGGACCAAACGGTACGGGAAAGACAACCTTAATTCGTACGATATTAGGCCGACTACGGTGTTCGTCGGGTTCGGTCAAAGTTTTCGGTCTGAGAACCGGAACACACGAATCGGATATTCCCGGACCGGGGGTCGGCTATATGCCCCAAGAGTTGGCACTGTTTGAAGAGTTTACAATAGCCGAGTGTCTTACTTATTACGGTACAATCTATCACATTGGCCGGGACGATATCAATATCCGTATCGATGCCCTAATCGAGTTGCTAAACTTACCGGAAAAAACACGGCCAGTCGGCCGGCTAAGCGGTGGCCAACAGCGTCGGGTATCGATTGCCATAACAATGATACACAAACCGAAACTTATAATACTGGACGAGCCGACTGTCGGTGTCGATTCGCTACTTCGGCGCCGTATTTGGGATTATTTAGAAGATATTTGTAAAAATTTTGGTCAGTTATTAACAATTTTAACATTTTTTTAGCTGAATACTGATTTTACTGTATTTTTTAAAATAGAAATTTAATAATAATTTGTGTTTTTTTTGGCTAAAAATATTGTTTTTTTATAGGCCAGACAGTAATCATAACTACCCATTACATTGAAGAGGCACGAAGTGCGTCGACGGTTGCCTTTATGAATAACGGAACTATACTGAAACAATCGGATCCCAATCTATTGATGTCTCAGTACCAGTGCTCGACACTGGAGGATGTTTTCCTCAGATTGTGTCAAACAGATATCCAGCGCCGCAAGAGTCGGCAAATTGATCCGGCAATATTGGCCAACAATTTCAATAACGATAAGTCATCGAAATCAGATGACACCAATGATTTGATTCAAAAACACGACTCAAAAGTATCCAATCAGCACGTGTTCAACAATTCAGTGTTTGATTTGACCCGTATTAGGGCCATGTGCTGGAAATACTATACCCTAACCAAACGTCGGCCGCTATTTCTGTTCGGGTTTTATTTAATACCGATGATTGCATTGATAACAATGAATCTGACAATCAGTAAGAGTCCCTATAATATACCGGTAGCCATTTATAACCAGGATGTTAGCAATGATGGCCGACTGTCCCAATTGTTTATCGACTCGATAGACAAAGATTATATAGCCCTCAACTATTTTACCGATAACCAGTCGGCCTACGATTCAATAGTTGCCGGCAAAAACTCGTTGTCCATTGTTTTTGGTCAAAATTTTTCGGATGCATTTGAAATCCGAGCCAACGATCTGTTTGATTTGTCCGATGACGAAGTGGATGAAAGTGGGATCAAAGTGTATATCGATTTTTCAGGTATAGTAATCAATCAATCAATGGATGGATGGACTAATGGACAGTCATTTAATTTATTTATGTTTATCTTATTGCTCTATAAAACAGATGCAGCTATCGGTGCCTTTGTATTGAAATATCTATTGCAGGCATTCAAATCATTTTTGGATAGCCTGACCGTAATGTTAGGCAAACGTGACCTGTATCGGGCCCTATCGCCCATACATATTGTCGAAACCATTTACGGTGATTCCAGTCTCGATGTTACCACACATTTTGGTCCATCAATAATGATTGTATTGGCACAGGTACTACCCATGGTATTGTCAGCTTTTCAGATAGTAAGCGACCGGAAAAACAGTAGTTTCGAGCGGGTATTTGTGGCCGGAGTTAAACCCATCGAGTATTTCATAGCACATATGTTACAGCAATTGATTATGTCGGTTGTGTTGGTCATCATGTGTATGGCCATTGCGTTTGGCGTCTTTCAATTGACACAAATTGGCAGCTATTTTGAAATTTTTATTATGCTATTCCTCCAGACAGTGGTCGGCATATCTATTGGACTACTCGGCGCTCTGGTTATGGCCGATGAAGTATCAGTTGCGGTAAATATTTATTTTTTTTTGTGTAAATTTTAATTAATATTGTGATATTATATGATTTTTTTTAACAATTTAGTCATTTAAGGAAAGTTTAGTTAACTATGCAATTAAATAATTAAGAAAACCTTATTATTCATTAGGTTTATTGCATTCATTTGTATTTTTTTTAAAAATAATTATTATATTTAAAACAAAAAATTTTATTACTTTTTCATACTAATTGTTATTTTGAAGTGAAAAAAAACATTTACGTAGATACAAAAAAATTAATATTAATATTTTTTTTATACTTTATTTAAGTGTAAATATAAATATATGAATTGCAAATTTTTTTATATTACCTATGAATCATGCAATTGAATAATTTTAATATATATTTCTATATATTAGTACTGTATTAGTATTAGTTTTATTATTGAAAGTTTTTCTTTAAAAAATATATTAACTATTAGACAATAGCATTGAAAAATTTTAAATAGTTGCACTTGGCTAATTCCCCCCTCTCTGACCCCCTCAACAAACAAATTAAACAATATATTGATAATTTAAAATACATTAACATTTGCAATGATGACTAATAGACATGTATTGTATTTAGAAATATTATATATTTATAATATATTATATATAATATTTAGGAAATATATTAGAAAATTATTATTATTATTATTATTAAGTCTATTAGACAGACACTTAATTTTTATAATATTTAATATTATATAAAATTAATGATAAATTTTAACCATTAAATACAATTATTTATTAATAATTAAATATTTATTATTTTATATATATATAATTATAGGTCAGTATATCTGGATTTATGCTTCCCTTATGGATAATGTCAGGTGTTTTATGGCCATTGGAGGCGATTCCCGCATATTTTCTCTATGCATCAAAACTAAGTCCCATAACAATACCATTAGAGGGCATGCGATCAGTTATGTTGAGAGGCTGGTCATATAACCGGCCAGTTGTCTTCTATGGCTATTTTGTTAGCTTATCCTATTCACTAATAGTCAGTCTATTAAATATTATATTATTTTATAAATTTACTGATAAGGCATTTACATGGAATGTATGGAAAAGTTCATAATTATATTTGATATTTTATTATTATTATAATATATTTTTTTACAAATTACTTTATTTACAAATAATTTGAATATTTATTGATATACATGTACTCTAAATAATTATTTTTAATATGTAGTACTAGATATAATATTTAAACTTTAATGATAGTATAATTGCATATAAAATTGCATATATTCATTACATAAAATATTAAGTTTTACATAATTTAAAAATATTGTATTTTTTATAATTATTTCATATTTTTTTAGTATAAACTATTTATATTGATATAATATAAAATAATTAATGCTGTTTTCCTATCTATTACTGGGTATACAATTAATTAAATTTTAAAAATAAAAATATTATTTATTTAAAAAATGATTTTTAAATTTTGATTTAATATTTATTAAATTTGTAGTTAGTATTAATTGTAATTAATTAAAATGTATAAAATAATATTTTTACATATACTGTAGTGTTTATTAAAAAAATGATACAAAAATAAAACTTAATTCAATAAACATTATTATTAATACTTTTTAATTGCGATTAATACAACATTATTATATTAGTAAAATAAAAACCCTGTTTTTAAATAAGACGACCCATTGATTAATTAATATAATTTTTTTTGTTGATAATTAATAGATACAAAAAATTATTTAAAAAATATACGTAATATTTAAAAAAAACTGAGCATAGATTTGATAGTTTTGCTAATATATACAGTAGTATTGATATAAGATTATACTGATATAAGCAAAAGTGGTGTTTATATAATTAGTATAATAACATAAAAAAGTGAGTATTTTTTATATATTACTAATAATATCAAATCATATATCAAATAGAGGTATATTTGTATTGATTGATATCAGTTAAAATATAAGATAATAGAAATCGTTAAACATTTTGATACAACTGTTTAATCTAACCATAAATGCTATACCAAATGGTATTGACGTTAGCATCAAAAATGCTATAATTGCCATAACTTTGATTGAATTTTGCTGTAATACCGATGAGGTTTCACTTTCGACATCTTTACCGCCGCCGCCGCCAGACTTATCGACAATTGTATATTGAGTGGTGTCTTCAGCGACTGATTTATTATGAGCTGAACACTGTCTACAACTATAGACACACCAGACTACTATGGATATGATATGCAACAAACGTATGGACCACATGAGCACCTGTACCATTGTATACTGTGCCGGACCAACTTTCCAATTGACTGATTCAATAAGGAAATAGTCGAATAAAAAGTAGGCTAAACATCGGGTAATTTCTAGCGGGGCTGTCCATGATCTATGAGATTGTAATTTGTGTTGATTATAAAAAATTATTTATTAACAAATAATAATAATAATAATAAATTAAAAAAATAGGACCCTGATAAAATTTTCAGACACTAACCGATTGTCGAAAATAGCTCCAAATGATGTCAAGATATAAATTATATACAAAATAGCCAAAAGTCCTTTTTCTGGTGAAAATCGCTAAAAATATTTGATTTAAAATTATTGTTATTTGTTTTTTTTAATGAATTTGAAACTATATTTTTATATTAATTTAATAATAATAATATGGCTTACAATGTATGGATGTTCAGCTAATATGTAAAATCCGAGTACAATAACTATGCCATGTATAGCAACATAGCATTTCTTCCACATAGGTATGTATGGATCCCAACTGTATTTGGGAAGTGTCCGATCGGGTTCGGGTACATCCTTAATGTCGCCCAATCTGGGCTTACCGGGCATCCATCCAGGTCCTTTGAACAGTGCCGACAATTTATTACCCAAACCATCAACCGTTTGAAACTTATGCCAAACATCCCGATAGTAACCAAATTGTAAGATCATTGAATCATATGTTTCGGGTGTGGGCGACACTACACCAAATACTATCGACTCTTTTTCCGTTTGATGTGTGCCAAACATACGGTCCCATATCATAATCAATGCGCCATAGTTTTTATCAATACAGTACGGATTTTTGCCATGATGTACCCGATGTTGACGCGGAGTATTGATAACGTATTCAAGAAATCCCAGATTACCAATAACCGAGTTGTGTAGCCATACCTGATAGATTAGACTGAACTGGACATGAACCAGTAGGATAGGTGGCGGTACAAAAATAGCCAGTGGTAGGGGAAACACCTAATTATTTTTTTTGATTAAAAAAAATTAATACTTATTAAGTAATTAATAATTTATTAATTATCAAACAAACTGACCGCATATATAAACAAATCGACAACAGAGTCCCGGATGGTTGTCGTAATGTTAACATCTTCGGCCATATGATGAAACTGATGGGCAGCCCATAGGATGTTGAACTCATGAAGTGCCCGATGTGTCCAATAGTAGGTAAACTCGACCAACAATAAGGATATAATCCATGTCCAGACCGAATGCAACGGCAGATCCAATAAGCGATAGTTTTCGTAAATCAATGTGAATATCGTTACCGAAGTGGTCAACAAAAATACTCTTTGTTTTTGTTTGTTTTGTATTAAAAAAATAATATATAAATCAATTAGTTATTTATCAAAAAAAATATATTTCTATAATAAATATCATAATTGTTTTTTTCTGTAAACAAAAATATGAATTTATATTTCATATGTTATTATTTGGTAATAAATATTGTTTTTATCTAATTGTTTTTTGATAGTCATTATATAATTTGTTTTTTATTATCTTAATTTTGTTAACTTTTTTTAAAAAAGGAATATTTCTAATATTTAATTATAATTTTTTTTTAAATATTTAAATTATTTGTCGTAAAAAATTCCTAATATATTCTGAATATTATATATATAAATTATATCATTAAAAAACACATTTTTCTAATTTGTTATAATTATTATGTATGAAAGTTATCAAAATATTTGATTATGTAAATATAATTAAAATAATGTAATGTATTTATTAATTGCTACTGTATAAATAATTATATTAGATACAGGTATACCTCATTAATGTAAATATAATAGCAGATCCGGCATTAATGATATAATCCTGAAAACGGGATAAATCTTTGCGCTGAAAGTATCGGATCAACTGTTCCAACAATACTAAGATACCGACCACTGGTGTTAACTATAGTATTATAATATAAGAAATTAATTGCAATTTTTTTTTATAAATCCTAGTTTTTTATTTAGTATTTTTGTTAAAAATAAATTTAATTACTAGTAATAAGATTTTATCAATTATATTAAAAAAAAAATATTATATATTTGATAATTAAACTAACATTAAAAAAAATTAATCAATCTTTTTTTTTGTTTCAAATATATAATTATTTCGAAAATTTTTAAACGCTTTTTGCTATTGAGAAATATATATATAATTTATAATTAAAAAAAAAACAAAACAAGATTTGAGTGATTGAATGTATATATTTTAATATTATCAAGGTTTTATTATTATTAAATGCTAAGTTTACATTGATAATTATATTAAATCAGAGATTATGCTATTTTTATTTTTATTAATTTATTTATAACTAAATAATAATAATAATCACTAGTTAATAATTTCAGTATATATTATAAATTCCAGTACAATCCAAATAAATTTTTATTGTAGTTTTAATTTAATTAATTTTTTTTGTAATAAACTATTATTTATTATATTACTAACTATTATACAAAAAAAAATAATAATTTTAAAACTTATAATATTTTATATAAATAATAATAAAACTTACGGTCACTTCATAGTCTGGCACATCATATGGATTATCTTTTGTTGTCTCCATCGGTGACATTATATAAAATAGTGATAAAAAATCTTTGATAACCTGAACGCTAGCATCTTTGGCGCACAGGCCTATACTGGTGGTCAGTGTGCCGTTTGTTGTCACCATTATCTGATCCATGTCTATGTTTATGTTAATAGCTTAAGTCCGAACCCACATAAGCTAACACACACACACACTTTACACTGAAATTTGATTATTTTTTAATTGAAAAATCTTGTGTCTGCCTCTCTATCCTTCAAAATCATTAAAATTAAAAAAAATTAAATATAAAGTATATGTTTATTAACGACATTCATAGTGACGATAGTGAAAGTGTTTTGTTTGTTTAGTATCTTTAATTAGTTACACGAAAAAAGGTAACACCAGTTATATAGTTAATAGTTATTATTATTATTATAATTATTATTATTATTATTATTACAACTAATGAAATACGTTTTTCAAGTATTATTAATAATAATATGATATTTTGTTTGCAAAATAATTTTATTTTATTGAAATTATTGATTCAAAGCGTGATTTTCAAATCAATAATTTATTTTTATTATAAAATAATGTTAATGTCTTTTATTTTTTTATTATATTTACCGGTTCATTGAATATTCAATTGATTTTCAATTAATCATTGATTATTAATGAGCGCAATAAAAAAAGCTAAAAATAATGTGTATATATATATGTATGTATTTATTGAATATGTATTTACAATAGATCCAAGCTCAGATGACTAATATATGGTAATTTAGTTTTTTTATAAAATGTTTAGTAATTAATATTTTTATCTTAAAAATATTTAGATTTACTTTATAATACTAATATTATTTTATACGGTATACAATATAGGTATTTTGAATATATAGATTATAAATACTGATTAGACTATATAAACAATATATTGCATTTTATAAAAAAAAGTATTAAATTAATATCATTTTTAAAAGTTTTTATAAAGTAAATAATAATATTAAATATTTAAATATAAAAGCAAAATATATACATAGTATAAGTTATATTGTAATTAATAATTTTGTTAGTTTGTTGTTAAAAAAAAATATTTTACTATTATTATACTAGTATTATACATACCCGGTATGTCCTTTTGTATCATATTATTATTATTATTATTAAAAGTTATTATTTAGCAAAAAAAACAAAAACAAAATTATTACTTATATATTTATGATATTTTGCAAAATGGTCTTTTATTATATATTATTATTTTAAATAAATAATATATCAATTTCTATTAGCGTCATAATAATCTTTTAAAAACTTTTTCAAAAAAAAAACAGTACCTATTATACTGTTTATATTGAAATGCTTAACACAAAATTACAAAACTATAAAACAAATAAAAAAATATTATTTACAAAAGCAGTTGTCCTTCAAATTTATTGACAATTTCTATATATAAGTTGTTATTTTTAATAAATATAATTTATATCTATATATATAAAAAAAGATGTACTGTTTTATTCAAAACATGTATTTTATTTGTGAAAAATAATAAGCCAATCTATAATTAAATATAAATTATAATTTTATTATTATTATTGCTAAAAAAAATTATTGGACACATAGACGCATAATATTGTAATTCACACATAATTACTAAACATATATAATATATTAAATTTATTATTATTGCTAACTAAAATATTTTTTTAACAAAAATTATATTAACATAAAGTTTATATTGAACTATCTTATTATTATTACATTATTATTATTTGTCATTATCTTAATAATAATGATAAAAAGTTATAATATAATGTAATATCAATAATACAAACAATACTGTACATAAATACGGGAAAAAGTTAAATTAAGTTAATTTTTAATCAAAAATAATAATTTTTATTATTATTATTATTATTATATCGATCAATTGGCATGGGATGATCAGAGTAAGCCATACTGTCCCATTTGCTATGCTTTCCCGACGCACTTCCATATAATTGTTGACCTCCCTTTCCTCGACTACCACTACCACCGCTACTACCAAAACTATAACCATATTTTGCAAAACTTTCGTCACTAGACACCACTTGTTTACCACCCCTTCCACGTCCACCTCCTCCTCCACCACCATATAAACCATTGTTATTGTTTCGACTTATTTGATGGCTATCATCACCTTTTGCTACAATAGTCTGTACGTCTTCATTGACCGGCCGGATCTCTTGAATGATTTTTCTGTACGGTGTTATTATCTCATGGATCTCCTGGATGACTGGTTTGTTGACCCGATGGACAAGCTTATGGGGTTTATCGTCTGATGACGTATGCTGGACATCTCCCTGTCCTGACTGGTGACTGGACAACACTTTCAGATCGCTTGAAGCCGATCGAAAATGCAGTGTTACCGGCACTTTACTGGCACCCACTTCAATCAACTCTCCCTGTATGGGAGTTTGCGGTATATCTAGCTTATGTATCTGAACCGAATGTATTGTTTTGATTGCAGCAGGAATTGCATGCCCACCACCACCACCACCACTACTACCAGTTCCTCCTCCACCGCCACCATAGCTACCAATTCCCTTAACATAACCATCAAAACTTCCTCCACTTCCACCGCCATAACTGTTACTCATGCCATATGTCATACCATTGTCGCCGCCGTGACCTCTTCTGCTGCCACTATGTCGACCTAAGCCGCCTCCACCTGTACGACCCCCACCTCCACCGGAATAACTATTACTTCCAATATAGCCGGGTATACTGTAGGCACCAGTTTGTCCACAATGTATGACATCAGATATGCCGATAATAGCCAAAGTTGATATTAAAATCTATAATAATAATAATAATAATAATAAATTATTTTTATTTATTTATATAATTATCGATTTATTAATTAATAATGATATATAATCTTTTTTTTTTAATATAATACTTATTACATTCATCTCTAATAATATAATATTCATATATTATAATTAAAGTTTAATACTTACTTTAATAATCATCATTAAATATATATTAATTATTAATTAATATTATAATATGAATAATATTTATATTAAATATAGTACTCAAACAGAATTTAATTAATAATAAATTATTTCAAACATATAAACAGTATTTTATTTAAAGGTTATAAATATGGATTATTTTATACTTTATTATATATTGTATAAATGACTAATGAAAGTATTAGTGAATATATAAATAAATTATTTAATACTTTATTAGAAGAATAATCTAAAAGATTTAAATCTAAAAATCAAAATATAAAGAGACAATAGATTTAATATACCTATGATTTATATACACTAAAAATTAATAGCAATTTTGATATTATAATAACCAAATAGGAAGAGCAATAATTAATTGAATTCATTATAAATAAATTAAAATAATTAAATGTTTTACTGTATATATGAACAAATTAAATTAATTAATTTAGATTATTCAACTAGAAAATAACATTAAAAAGTTTTTTTATTTAATTTTTATTATCAATATATATACTGTATATACTAAAAGTACAAAAGTATTAAAAACATTTAAATATAATTTTACTAAAATATTTATGTAGTTTAAGAGTTAGAAAAAAAACAATTTAATGTATCAAATATTTTATATTTAACTATTATATTATATGGTATTTATCTAAATTAATACACACAATGATTGAGTTAAATAAATCAATTTATAAAATTGGGTTTTCTCTTAAACTTATTTATTATTTAAATATTTGTTAGTTTTAATAATTACATCTATTGTAGATTAATAGTCTTATTGTTATTATCATATTAAAAATTAAACCATCATATTATCTAAAAATAATATTTTATGTGTAATACTATCTAATAAAAAATTAATGATTATTATATTTATTATTATTATTATATTATTTGTTACAATAAAATTATTTATTTTGGTGTTGTCTAATATAAAAACTATTTTTTTAAATGTTTAATTTTATGTATGTTTTTGTTGTCAATTATAATCGAAATGAGATCATTAAAAAATTAAAAAAATACTAATAATGTTTGTGTAAATAATAAAATTATTACAAATGTGCTAATAATCGTATAGAATATAACAATCAATTGTTTTTGTATTAAAATAAATCATTTAAAAACTTTTTTAAAATTATTATTATTATTATTAACCTGATTATTCAAAAGATAGTATGTTTTTTAATTTATATCAATATATTATTAATATATATAATACTTTTTTTACTATTAATATAATTATACGTATAACTCATGATTTATTTGATTAAAGTTAGTTACAATAATAATATTATGATTAATAATAATAATGCTGAATAACAGAATAAATTGTATTAATTATTTATTACAAAACAAAAATAAGATAAATAATTTATATTATTAAATGTTAGTGTACTCTACTATACATTTTATGAAAAATATATCAAACTATAAAATATTAAATAATAATAATAATATTATTATTTCTAATTTAATTGAAAAATATTACTCTATAAGTTATTAATATATTAATCTATAGGATATATAACAGATTATAATGTATTTTATCTTAAAATTAATTTAGTTTAATTATATGAACAATTAATTTAAAAAAAAACACATTTACAAAATTATTTATTTTAGATAATAATTGGAGTGCAAAAATTATAAAGTTCAGTTTTCTAATATTGATAAATTTATTATAGTATCATTTATTTTTATAAATGACATATAATGTTATCAAGTACATAATGTACATACATTTTTTAATTAAATAAATTACATAATCAAAATTGGAAATTTCTATTTAATTGATAAGGATAATACTGTATATTATTAGATATGAAATACTATTTTATAAAAATAAATAATCATTATATTTATTATTATTATTATTATTTGCTATAATATTTATTTTGGTGTTTTCTAATATAAAAACTATTTTAAAAAATATTATATAATAATAGTTTTATTTTATTTATGTTGTTTTTTTTGTCAATTTAAATCGAAATAAAATTATTAAAAAAAATATAGATTAGAAATAATAATAATAATAATGTTTTAGTAAATATCAATAAGTAAAATCGTAAATATATAAATATAACAATCAATTGTTTTTATTAAAATAAATCATTTAACTTTATAAAATTTTTTATATTATTACTATTAACCTGATTATCTAAAAATAAAATTAAAATCTAGCAAACAAAAAATTAATATAAATATTTTTCAATAAAATTATGTTATAATTATAGATATAAAAATTAAATAAATACTGCTAATTATTAGTTATTAATTTACTAAATTAATTAAACAAAAGTTGATCTTTGTGATTATCTATTTTATCAAAAAATATAATTGTTTATAAAAATAGCATTAAAATAAATAGTTATTAAAAGTATTACAATTTGAAAAATTATTTATATTTTCTGATTATAATTATAAACATTTTTTTCTGTAACACATTAAAAATGTATTTTATCTTGAAATTAATTTAGTATAATTAATTATTAAAAATTATATGAACAATTAATTAATTAATTTAAAAAAACACATTTACAAAAATATTTTTATATAGATAATATAATAATTAAAGTAAGTATTAAAAAAAATTATAAAGTTCAGTTTTCAAATTAATATCATTAATTAATTAATACATGTAGTATTGCGTATATTTAATATATATATAAATCAATTATATTGATAAATTTATTATAGTATCATTTATTTTTATATAAATGACTAATAATATTATCAAGTACAAAAACACACATTTTTAAAAATTAAATAAATTACATAATCAAAATTGAAAATTTCTATTTAATTGATAATTAATTATTATTATTTATATAATGATGTTTTATATCTAAAAAAATATATATTACAGTTTAATGCAGCTTTCAATTTGATGATAATAATAAAAAAATAATTAGGAAATTAGGTAAGTGTTTAATTTTAATTATCATCTAGTATACATTTATTAATAATTGTATATGCACATGCACATATGTTATTTTTTTTAAAGCAATAAAATTGTGATTATTAAAATTGCAATATAATCAAATAAATAAATTGCCTATCTCATATTATTTTTATAAAAAAAATATAATAACCCCTATAGTTTTCAATTAATTAATCTAGACGTCCTTTAAGTATGTCATTAGTCTATACTAAATATACAGGTAATATATGCCAATTAACTAATTGAAAGTTAATTATGTGTTAACAATATATAGTTTAAGTCAATTATATAATATATATTGACTGTCAAAATACTGTACACATAAATAGTTTTGAAAACAAATTTCAAACAAAAATTTATGGCATATTTACTAATGTATTGTCATTTTTAAAAAATAATTGCATTAAAAGTCTACTGTATGTGTAAAAGTCATGTGACGTTTACGGCAGCAATAGTGTAGCCAATAGTAAATTGGGACACATTTTAGTCAACACATTGTTGTTTGCGATCATATGATGCCATTGAACACAACTAACTACTAGAGTGTTGTATGGGGTTTACTATCATTAGTATTAGTATTAATATAAAACATATATTATTACTATTTGAATGAATTTATTATTATTATTTTTAAAAATATACATAAATTAATGTTTAATTGAAATAATTTTCTAATAATCAGTTATGTTTATTAATATATATACTATAATTAATTTAATGTAAATCAATATACAATACATGTACAATCATATAATATAAAAAGGTCCTAATTTATTTCTAGCCATTTACTAAACAATATTTTTAACTGTAGAAATTTTTCATTGAAGTTATTTGGGAAAATAAATTGAAAAAATTTATCAATCAAATAAAAATTTTTAACAAAAATAATAATTTTTTTTTGTAACAAAAGAATAAAATAATGTTTAACTAACATTTAATTTAGTTTTTTTAGATAATATTAAAATTACTTTAAACTTTTATTTAAAAAAAAATGTCCCATGTTTAGTGTATAATTTTATTTTTGTAGATTTGGTCCCTTTATGTATGGAGCTATCGGTGTATAATATACATGGGTTATACATAAAATACAAATGTAGACATCTATAGATAATTTATATTATTTTTGGCGCACGCGTACAGTGTGTCACTATGTGTTTGATCAGTAACTGTAAGGTCAGTCACTGGTAGGGCTTCTCATACAACACCTATACTACAACTACTACTACTGCTGTACTGTACTATAGCCTTAACAATGCTATACAGCTATATAACAGCTGTACAATACATACAACACAACAACAACAACAACAGCAACACATATTGTATATACGCTATGAATGTTTGACAAACAGCTGACATTAAATCCTAAAAAAGTAGTAGTATTTAGACAATAGACTCATTGATATACTATATATATGTTTGGACACAACCTATTCATACTAAATGACCGACTGATACACTGTATGTATAAATATAAATGTAAGTTATGGACAGTTTGTTTTTTTTTGTTATTTAACTAACTATATGTATATATATATATATWTTTATGAAAATTGATCATATGTATACATACCTAACCATATACAGTATATTGTATGTATATATTTTGTGTGTGTGTGGATACGTGCTTATGTTCACAACAAAAAAAAAACTGCCAGTGCTCATTGCTATATATGCTATATGTATGTATATGAGCATACTACTAATAAATTGTATGGTACCTAGATGAAATAATTGTGTGTGTGTGTGTGTTATCCCCATTATAGACCACCATGATACTATTAGGTATATGTATAGTGTCTGTGTGTGTGATTTATTTTTTAACAAAATGATCATGGTTAAAATTTGATGGTTGTTAAAAAATTATTTATGTACCGTATTTGTTGACGACTATATAATATTTATAGATTTTTATTTTTTCCCAAAATAATTACTATATTTAACATTAATATAATTATTACTTATATATTAATAGTTTTATTTTATTTTTTCCAATTATAAAGAGATTATGCGATTATAATAATTAAAGTAAAAATAAAATAGTGTGATGTCTTGCGGCAAACGATTGGCTAAGCGGTCAATAGTGGGCACTCGGGTTAGCGCACCGTTTGATGGCCACTACTTTTCCGCAGTGATTACCCGCGTAAAGAGCGGTTCGCCACTGGACTCAGTGGACACCCTTTATAGTGTACTATTCGACAGAGCTATTAATGGTCGGCGAGTTTTATTAGATTTTCGGGCCAATCAGCTGATTGGTTCAGGTTTTCAGCCGATAACTGCCGTCACACTCAAAGCCGGCCAAAAAGTCTACATTACGTACAATGGACGAGAAGTATCGGCTGCGGTCGACTCGCACGACCCGTCGTCGGCGGCCAATGAAGTTTCGCTAATAGTCGATCAACCGATGGTCAACAATGATATTTGCGTCCGACTACCTCTAGCCGAGTGCCGATTGAATGAAAGTCGCAAATCTGCTCGACTTCTTGAATGTGATACCGACTACTCAAAGCTGGCCAATGATGGCCATCACACCCGACAGCGGACCGCATCCATAGACACACCAAACGCTTATAAGTATGACATTTGATTAATATATGTATTATTATTATTATATGATATACTAATCTATATCTACTAATATATATATAATTTATATGTAAATTTATATTTAGGTAAAAACCATTTGTGTAATTATTAAACTTATGTTTTTTTGTTTTATGATTTATTACATATATATCAAACTAAAAATATGTTTATCTATTTTTTAAAAAATATTAAATTACTAGTGATATATCAAAATGCATAGCGATATATACACGCACACCGTATATATATATATATATCGTATAACTTATTATTATTATAGACATTAATCTAAATAACAGAAAGTTTAATAATAATAATAATAATAACAAACAAGAAAATAATTTATTTATTTTTTTTAAAAAAAAGATTTTATTATTAAAACTCCATTTTTCTTTCAAAATTTTTTTTATTAGTTATTATTTTTTTTATTAAATAACTGGTTTTAAAATGTTTTTAACGCACATTAATTAGTTTTTAAGGCTAAATCGTGCCCTAATTTTCAAGTTGTTTGGCAACTATTTTATATTTATATATATTTTTGTTGTTTTGTTAAACCACTGCTATTTTACTACTATTCAACTCTAATGTGTCAAACATTTAAATCACTGTAATTTATTTTATTTTAAACTAATAGGCACTTAAACAGTATACACTAACATGCTTAGTTTATGTTTATTTACTTATTTTTATAAAAAAAACTTAAAAATAAAAATTTATTTATAAAACATAATGATAATATTAATATATAATAATTTTACCGGTATAATTATTATTAATATTATATAGCATTATAGAAATGTTAAAAAAATATAATACTTTTATATATAAATTTATTTTTTGTAAAATTTTATAATTACATTAGATTATTAAAAAAAAGCAAAATTGAAATTATCTAGGTTAGGGAAAAGTTAGCATTTTAATTAACTTTTTTGAATTAATGTTGATACTTTTTTTTATTATAATGATAATAATAATTATTATTATCATTACACTATTGGCACATTGTTTCAATAGCACTAGATGAAATTTTATTTAATTAGCATGACTAGTTGCAATTTAAACAATTAATTTTGATAATAAAATAATAATAAAAAAGTAATTCGTCATGCTATTTTTTTTAAAAATTATTGACATTAGTAGCTTATGTATAGTTTTTTTCTAATTGATTATAATTTTTTTTACATATGGTATTTATAAAAAAAAGATTTTTACAATAATTAATACTTAATTTATAATTAATTAATTAATTTAATTAAATAGTAATAGAAAGCGAAGACCCAGTAATGTTGACGACGACGACGACTACAATGTTATGGACGACTGTATGGCTGCGATGGTACTCATGAGTCTGTCTTGTAGTCCAAAATCACCATCAATTGGTAATAATATTATAATAATAGATTTTTTACAATTATGTTACTAATTAACTCCTTAATTAATTTAATGGTTTGTTTGTTTTGTTTAGACACTCGATTGAAAAAGACATTACCGGCTAATACAAAACAAAAGCTTTTTAATAATAATAATAATAATAATATTACCGGTAATTATAATAATAATGAGAGTTTGACTGATAGTGTCGATGAAGGCATTGAAATGGACGATATGATTGCATTTGCTTTCGATGATATCAAGGTATTATATACTTATCATAATTAATAGTTTTAATTAAAAAATAATAATAATATTAAAGTTTTATTGCTTTTTTAAATTATCTTTTAACATATATATATATAATTTTGTTTTTATTTTTGTTTTTAAATTACTTAATTATCTTTATTATAATGTTATCTAAATAGAGTCAAACAACAAGTATGATAATATATAAGTGTACATGGCCTGGATGTCGATTGCAATATGAAACGTGTGACCAAATTGAGCAACACGTGCGCACAATGCACCTGGGGTAAATTAATTGCAGTGCAATTATACTATATTATTATCATTATTTTATTTATTTAAATTTTAAATTTTAAAATTTTAAAAAAATAAAATAATATCCGGTACAATTTGTTGATTTACACACAACTACATGATATAGTAGATGAATGTATTTTTTGGGTTAAACCTTGAAATTACAGTAGAAATAACTATTTAGTTGTTTAAACTATTATAATGTGAAAAAAAATTAATTAGATATATATAAATTTACACCACAAAAAAAATAAAATAATTATTATCTGTTAAATATATATAATACAAGGATATTAACCAAAAAAAATTATATTAACAATTGACAACAACAACAAAAATTACCGGTAGTTTTATAAAGCGCTCTATAGTTTATAATATTTTTTAAACAAATATTTTTTTTAGTAAATTGATTAATAGGTTATTTATTTTTTAAAAAAAAATAAAACAATAATCACTAATGTTATTGACATTAATAGGAAAATTGGTGATAATAGCGATCGCGAGGAAGAGTTTTATTATACGGAAGTCGAGTTACGCACACAATCATCAAAGAGATCATCAATAAGTAATAGTTCGTCATTTAGTACGACAGAGTCATCATCGGCGGAGTCATCGCCACATCCATCACCCGGTCCTCAATCGCCAGCTGCTGCTGTCGGCTCTGGTGGTGATCATAACTGTTGTAAATCTGATGAAATCCAGTCACCGATACCGTCACCGCATGTATTCACTGCTGGTTGTTGTTCATCGTCTGCACCGCCAATAGTATGGCATCATCTCAACGATCACGAGTATCTGAAACCATACTGTCGTCATCAGCAGTCGTCAGCACATCAATCATCACTGCAAACACCGGCAAACACTGCTTTCCAATGGTTTGCCGGTAATATTAACTCAAATACCTGTTTAAACAATAATAATAATACTATTGATAATAATAACAATAACAATGGGATGACCACTTTGCCCATTAACATACCGTCGTCATCATCATCATCACCACCAACAGCAACAACAACAATAAGCACACCATTTAACGCACAATTGTATTCAATGTCAGCACCGGTATCTCTAAACACTGATGATAATCATCATCAGCTATCGAAATCATTTAACAAATATATCAAAATGAATAGCACAACAAAAGTTGGTGCCATTATATCAAAGGGCTTATCATCTAATAATAATAATAATGTCATCAAACCATTAGCTGCCAAAAGAGTGAGAGGCGAGAGTCGTAAATGTCGTAAAGTCTATGGTTTGGACAATAGGGACAACTGGTGTACACAATGTAAATGGAAAAAGGCGTGCACCCGATTTACCGATTGATTGACCAATTGGTCAGTTATTATTAACCATTTGGCACACAGTTATCTAATCCAATATATATATATATTTATATATATATATATATTAATCAATCAATGGCTCTCAATCTTAATCTAATCTTAATGAAGCTTTCAAACGAGTTTTTAATATATATATATATATTATAAATTATATATAAAATAATATAATATAATATATGCATATCAAACATGCTTAAGAATCATACATTATTTGTTATTATTATTATTATTGTAAATAATAATTTTTTATGAATTATAATTTTAATATTTTTTAATTTATTTTTTAAAAAACAAATGTTATATTAATAATATATTTACCATATATACATTTTTAAATATACATTATTATTATTATCAATATTATCAACAAATGTCATAATTTTTGTTTTGCCACACATTTATTGAGATTACAAGTTATCGTTATTATTATTATATTAAAAAATACACGAATATTGAATTCATTTTATTGTTGCTAATTAAACATTTTAGTATTATATGATATCATTTTTTTCTTTTTAATTGATTAAACACATGTATTTTATAAAAAAAAAACAATTTTTAAAAATTTTTTGATTTTAAGTTTATTGAACTGTCTATTAGACTTAAAAAACAAACAAAAAAACATTAATACAGTTTATATGCACTTTAATACATTGAAAGTAATTTAGTAGTAGACAGACAAACATACATAGAGTTATGTTTTTATTTTATCTCTAAAAAATAAAATATAATAATAATATAAACTATAAATATTGATGATAAAAAATATATCAAAATATTTATATATATTTTTTATATAGATGATAGTATTTCATTGATAATACAGTATACACTCTATATACTGTTATTTAATTAATTATACTTTGAACAAACTTAAAATTATTTGAAAAAATTACATTTATTAAAATATTGAATTAATTATTTATATATATATATTAATATATTATTATATTTAAATATAAATCTATGCCATATTACAAATATTATTATTATTATTAAAACTATTACAGAAATGTTTGTTAATTTTGTAATTATATATATTTATCATTTTTTTTTAATTGCATATACAATATATTAATTACAAAAATTATTATTATTATTATTGTTAAAATACATACAATACATATATTTAAAAATATTGTTTTTATATATATATATGTTATATAATATAAACAATATATCTTTTGATGTTTAATACAATACAAAACTATTATTATTAATGTTTTAATCATACAATATATCTGTAATGTTATTACTTTAGTTATTTTATACAACATTTTTTTGTTGATTTTATTTTCAAGTAGATGATGATTATTACGTAATAATTTCAAAATTATACTTGATCAAAGTAAATTACCTCGACCTGGCCAATTTGTTTAAAATTTAGTTGAAAATTATTATTTGTATTGTAACATTTTATTCAATAAAAAAATTATTAATTATTTACAAATATTAGTAAAATTAATCTATTAAACTATTATAATATATTTTTTCATATTTGAGTTTTTAATGATTTTTTTTATTCTCATTTACTCTAATAAAATGATTTTTATATAACAAAAGTTTTTTTACGTAAAAAAATAATAATCAAAATATCATTATATTTTAATGATTGTGACATTTAATAAAATTTTGGAAAACCTCACAAAACATAGTTTTAATCAATAAAATATATTTTAATGTATATATACAGTATATAACGGTATTTTATTGTAGAAAAATAGTTAGAAAAAAATATAATTATTAAAATACTTGCTCTCAAAAAAAACAAACAAAAAACTTATTAACAATTTTTTTATTAGAATTACAATAAAATTCTGTATATAAGACTAAACAAAAAACAAAAAATTTCATTAATAAAAAATACTGGAAATAAATGTGTTTGTAAATGAAAAATAAAACATATATACAGTATATACTGTATATATATATATATATATATACAAATCAATAAATAAATTTCATATAAATTTATGATATTTAATAGTATGTTTTAACTTACTATTAATAAAAAATAAAAATAAAATGAAAAAATATTGTCAAACTATATTGACTGTCCGTCAGCAGCAGTACTACAATGGCATTGATAGTGACATATAATGGACTATATGACTGTAAAGCACCCGTAGATTTATTGCCATCTCCTTTGTCACTACCACTGCCATCCTCACCGCTACCACTTCTATGGCTGGCTGAACCATCAATACTTTTATCACCATCACCTCCCAGTGCCTCATATTTTCCTGGACAGCCAAATAGTTCCCTATTATCTCTCCACTCGGGACAGCCATTGGAGCCAGTGATGGGCCGAAAGCAGTATTTGTTGCGTTGGAACAGATATACCCAAAACGGTGTCCCCTTATTGTTTTTTTGACCACTCATTTTGAATGCCGTACAGGCAGTGATGTCGTGCGGCAATCGTTCATCATATTTGCCACCTTTACCTTCGCGGAGGCCACCAATTAGGCGAAACGGTAGGTAATTAGTGTCCCAATAGGTAACAAATATACCCTGAAATGCAATCATTCGCGGTCCGGGCCATCGCTTATCCAGTGAGCCATCATTGAAGACACAATTGAATCCTTCGGGTGGAAAGTTTCCTTTACTCATATCGACGCCGTCCTTTTGGCCAATAACTTGTTTGCCATCGGCTTTCCATTCCCAGTATCGGGTCTTATCAAACTTGAAGACGTGTTCATTGTTACGGCCGCCCACTATAGTCATTATCGAAGTCGTTTCGCTGACCGGAGCCATATAGTCGAACCATATCTTAAATGGACCAATAGGTCGGGCGATTTTGTCGGGCAGTCCAACCAAATCCCAGTAATATTCGCCGCGATAGATACGTATCGTTTCATTAGTCAAACGATTGGCCGAATGGATGTACGGATCAGAGCACAGGTCGGCCAATGTGTCGGCCTTGCATTCAATCTTTACTGTCATCGACAGCAACAACACATTGACCACAATTAGTGATAAAACTGTCACTGAATTGATTGTCATATTTGTTTCAATTTGTATCAACAAATTTGAAATAAAAAAGTTTTATTTGTTTATAATATATCATATATTCTATAAATTGTTAATCGATTAACAATTTATTTGAATTACTACTAATTCACGAGACATTTTGGGTTTTAAGTTAAAACTTTTAACTATAATTTATTATTCAATCAAATCAAATGTTAGTTTACTATATATTATTATATCATTTATTTTACTGTTTGATGTTTTACAGTTCATCATAAATTATTAGTAGTTGTATAGAAAAATAAATAAATATAAAATTAAAACAATTATAAATAAAAGTAAATTATGAAAATGTTTGTTATGGAAATTATAATATTTTTGTTGTTGTCAAAATGTAAATATTTTAAATTAAAAATAATTATTTATTAAACAAAATACTGTAGTAATACAACAATAACTGTACTAATAATTTATCTCAAAAAACTCAATGATAATGCCTTATCGGAATACAATTGAAATAATATCATATTTAAAATACTTAAGACAATTGTATAGACAAAACTAATGAGATAACCATTAAAAACAATATCATAATTATATGTCCAACCCTTTAACATAACACATCGCAAGGCCTCTAATGGTTGGGTGATTGGGCTCAAGTCGGCTATCCATCGGAAATAATATGGTATCGACTGTATGGGCCAAATAACACCCGATATTATCCATATGGGAAACATAAAACCAGTTAATCCAATCTAGTGTTTTTAGAAAATAATAAAAAATAACAAATATTAATAAAAACCAATAAATTATTTTTATTTTATTTTGATATCATTACCCCAACAGAAACCTCATCAAACAGCAACAGTGATGCCAGTAATCCGAAAGCCATTCCCTGAGTACTTTGCAATAGAAATAGTAGATAAACTTCAATATAACTGCCCAGTTGTGTATTACCATAGATGACAAACGCGACTATCATAGACATGAAAACCTGACTAATAATTAATAAAATATTTTGAACCATATGTGCTATGAAAAACTCCATGGGTTTGACTCCCGCTACCAAAACACGTTCAAGACTTGTATTTTTTCGGTCATATATGATCTGAAATGCCGATATAATCATTGGCAACAAATGTGCCAATGCCATCATCAAACCGGGTAATATAAATGTATTCAAATTTAAATCGGTCGACCCGTAAATAGCCGGTTCCAGTGTTACCGGATAGAAATAACGATACAAATTGTGTCCATAGGTCGGACCCAATTGTCTTAAAAATATCTCAAACGCTCTCAACAGACTATTATAGACATTGTTGCCGACAATACTATCGGAAAAATCGGCCACAATTTTGATCTGACTTGAATCCAGTTCCTCATCGGTCATATCAAACAAATCGGTCAGTCGAAGGGCAAAATTGTCGGAAAAATTTTTCTTAAACATCATCGCTATTGTATTGACGCCATCCCTGACACTGTTGGCCGCCGACTCATTAGTAGGATATTCATATAGACTCATATAATAGGGTTCAATAGAGTTGAGAAACATTTTGGACAATTGGCTACTGTTGTCGGCATTATAGACGGCGACGGGTATGTGATGTGGTTTGCGACCGATCGACCATTTCATTGATGTCAAGGCTATTAGAGGTAATACATAGAAAAGCAGAAGAAATTGTGGTCTTCTCAATGTTAATATCCAATACTTCCAGAGCATTGTATTGACTCGTTTGCCGTCAATATTAAACATTTGTTTCAATGAATTAATTTCATTATTTTTATAATTATTTTCATTGTTGTTGTCATCACTTAATTTATTGGGTCTCAAGTCGTGTACAATACTTGTTGTTGTTGTTGTATCTAACTGTTCATTAACCGGTTGAGTAGTGTTTCGTTTAATGATATTATTTCTATAATTAACACAAAGATATAGGAAAACATCTTCCAGTGTCTGACAGTTATATGTATTGATTAAATGTTGTGGATTTGACTGTTTTAATATAATACCGGAGCTCATAAAGGCTACATTGCTGGCACTTCTGGCCTCTTCAATATAATGGGTTGTAATGATCACTGTTTGACCTAAAATCATGATAATAATAATAATAATAATAATTATAATAATAATTTAATTGCTAAATTATATTATTAATTAATTATTATGTTATTGTGCAATAAATTGATTATTATTTTTAATTAATACAAATTAGTTTTTATTAGTTTTTAATGATATTCTATAAAATACCTCTAAAGTACATGACACAAATAATAAACAAACAAAAATAATAAAATAAAACATGACCATGCTTAAAAATATATTTGAGGAAAATATGTTTTAAAAATGTATTAATGAAAATCAAATTAATTTATTTTTTTATTTATTTAAGTTTTTATGATATTTTTATTTTATTATTATATATTAAATGCCTATATATAGTATTCTATTATATAAGTTATTACAATATATATGCGATTATTACACTATATTTAAATAATTAATTCACATTTTTTCCTATAGTATTATTTATAGGTATTCATTAAGTATCTATAGGTATAATTATATTTAACTATTGAAATTAAATTTAGTTTTGTTAGATTAGTATTAAAAGAATTTTATTTAAATATTATAAGTAATTATATTAAAGGAATTAGAAACATATCAAAATTATATCTCTATATATTATTACATTGAATAAAATTATGTCTTAAAAAATAATTACAACTAAAAATATTTGAAATAAAATATTTATAAAAAAAATAATTAAATAATTAAACAAACCGTATGTTTGGCAACATTTTTCTAAGTATTGCCAGATTCGTAGCCTAAGTATAGAGTCGACACCGACGGTCGGTTCATCTAATATAATAAGTTTGGGCTTATGTATCATTGTTATAGCTATCGACACCCGTCTCCTTTGTCCACCACTTAATTTACTAATAGTTCTGGACTTTTCGGGTAAATTCAAAATTTCAATTAAGTTGTCCACTCTATTGGATAGTTCACAACTGTCCATATGATAGAGATTTCCATAATATTTAAGTATCTCAGAGATCGTTAGTTCTTCAAAAAGTGCCAACTCTTGTGGCATATAACCGACACCTTTGCCGGGAATGTCCGACTTGGGTGACCCAGGAATACCATCGAATACCCGTATTATTCCCGATTCTAATTGAATTCGACCCAAAATAGCCCGAATTAGGGTTGTCTTTCCCGTACCATTTGGTCCCAATAATGCAAATATTTTGCCTTTTAATTTCATTTATAATAATAATTAAATAATTAATATTTATTATAATATTTACATAATTATAACTTTATAGTGTATATATGAATAATAAAATTAATATAATTGATATAACACCATATATAGAAAAATAATTGCAATATTTATATGTATGATATATTCAATAGTTTATGTATAATAAATATTATAATTTATATAATATTTTTTTAAAAATGTTAATTTGAAACTACAATACCTTTCGGAACAAAAAGACTAAGTTTATTGAGTACGACAACACCTTTACGATATCCAAACACCACATCTTTGACATTAACAGCTAAATCATCGCAAATATAATCTAAATTATTATCACATTTATTATTATTATTATTATTATTGACCACTTGATCACAATCTTCAATATAACTATTATTAATCATTTTTTTAATTACTCGTTGATATAAATAAAAGTTTACATTTTTGTTTAATAAATTAAATTAGCATTTGCTGTCCAACAATTTTACTTAACTTATCAATAATAAAACTATATTCATATAATAGATATTTCTTATTAAACAAATATTTTATTAATGATAATATAAGATGAGCCGCGAGTTTCATTGATATTATTTATAAAAAAAAACAGTGTTTCATACATGTAATGAAATGTTTTGGCACTTTTCAAATCATGATAAATGTAACAATAAAACTATAATAATAATAATAATAACAGGTTTTATAATAGCAGCACAAACTGATATTCAATGTCATTTATAATCAAATTAAATTATTATTATTATATACAGTATATATATATATATATATATATAAATTTATATATAAATCATATTATCAATAGCTTATTAATAACAAAAATGTACAGTAGTTTTATTAATATTTAAATTTTCCAACAAACAAACAAAAAACAATTATATGATACACTGCGTAAATACCTGAATAAATAATAATATATATATAAAAAAACTTTTTAAAAAAAATTATTTTTCTAACTTTTAACATGTGAGTATCATAAAACTTAAATATTTAATAAACAAAACATTTAAAATATGACAAAAAAACAATTAAATTTCAGAATTTGAATTTAATATTCAACTTTATATTTATTGATAAAAATTATTTTATATATAGTATTTTAAAGTATTATATATATATAAAGTAAATTATTAATAAAAAGTAAATCATAATAAAAATATTGTTATTAATAAAATATGTAAAACATTATGACTGATAACTATTATATTATTTAAAAAAGTGAAACTAATATTTTGAATATAAGGATAAACTTTTGGCTAATACTATAATATGAAAATAATGTCAGCAAATGAAAAACATTGAAGAAAAAAATAATTGTTAGTTTTTTTAAATAATTTTTGCATAACACGAACATAATTATCTAACAATTTTTTTTCGTGAAACATAATTTATAATAAAATCATAATTTTTGTTTTGTTCACTTTTTTTTGTTGTTGAAATCAATATAAATTATTTAGTTACCTTAAAAACATACCAGTAAAGTGGTATAAAAGCTGTTAATATTTTTATTATATGAATTTATTATATATTATATTATATACTACTTTTTTAAAAATTTCAATCACTGGTTTCAGTGATACAATGACTCATATTTATATGAAAATATAGCCAGGGGCATTTTTTGAAATAAGCAGACCTCAATATCATTAAATATAGTGAATGCCATGTAATTATAAATTCAATATCTATAGTAACTATAACTATAATATATTATTGCCCAAACATACCTTGATCAATTGTCTATTTTAATGTTTTTTTTATAAAATGTAAAAAAGTGTGATTAGACTGTATAAAAAATATATTAAATTTTTATTTTTACTTTAATCATTTTATTTTATCATCATTACTTTATATAAAGTTAAAATGTTAAAATTCAAAAGTTATATTTATCCATTAAAAAATCTTCAAATATTATGGAGGGGGGACTTAGTTAGTAATTATTATTACATTTATATGTTTTGAATGAAAAGCAATTATAAATTTAAGTTCTCAACGATTATTATGTTATTATATAAAGTATACAATTTTTTTTAAAAAATAAAGTTAGTTATATACAAGTAATTAAAGTTTTACACATAAATTATTTTCTAACTAATAGTCAATAGAGTTTTCAAAATTTGTAAGTTACAAATTGTTAGTCAAGTTAATAAATAAATGTCATAAAATTATATATTTTTTTAATAAGATTTATTACTTTTGATATATTTTGAATTTTGAGTATTTTCTAATGTTATTTAGACATAATAATGATTATACGCTTAAATGGTTATACATGTCATTCAACAACAAAATAAACATTCATAAAGAGGTTAAAACAAACTTTCTATTATACTATACTATAAGTTATTTATTTAATACCTTTATATTGTATAATATTTCACTAAAGTTAAAATACTTATATGTATATATATAGTATATATAAAAAATGTTATGCAAATATTGATATAACAAAACAAATAAATATTATGTAATATTAATTAATTTAAAAAATATTAATTTAAAGTAATTTTAAATTTAATTGGTTAATTATTTATATATATAATTTATACATTTAATTTATTTTTTTCTGTAATTATCTCGAAAAGATATTGTAGACAACAATTAGATTAACTAAACATTTTTTTATCTACTAAATAAATAATGTTAATAATAATAATTTTTTATTAAATAAAAATATATCAATAGTAAAATTAAGTTATAAAAATTATATTTCAAACAAATTGTATAAATATATAATATAAATATTAATAGTACTGTATAATAGTATAAAAGATACAATAGATATACAGTACTTTGTGTATTATATTATAAAAAGGCAACTAATAAAAGATTTTTGATTATAATTAACTATTAAAGTTATTTTATGATTTTAAGTAAATTAAATCTAAAAAAATAAAATTGTGTTAATATTAAAAATGATGATAAACTAAAAAGTAATAATAATAATAATAAAAAAGATATAATAAATACAGTAAAAGTTATTGTATACATGTATTCTGCAGAATAAATGTTAAAACTTTAATATATTAATATAAACATTTTTTTTAAGTCAATCATATAATAGAAATTAACAAATAATAAAAAGGAAGTTTCAATAATATTAAATATTAAATGATATTTCAAACATAAATTAAATTTTTCTACAATAAATGTGATTTACAAAAAAAATTACTTACAAAACATGCAATATATTGACGATTTCTAATTAGATTTGTATTTCTGTATAATAACTTATATTTTCTTATTTTTTATTAATAATAGTATATCTAATAATATATTAATTCTAATAAGTATTTATTAAAATTACAATTACATTATTTTTTTAAAAAGAGCTCAAAATAATCATTTAAAAAAATATTATGTTTTGACAAAAATTTATTTAAAGAAATGTTTAAATTGTGTTTAATATATACAGTATATATTATAAAAAATGATTAAAAATTTAATATTTTTTTTGACTATAATTATAAAATACAGTATTTTTTAATAAAATTTTAGAAAAAGATAAATATATTAATACAAGACAAATTAAAGTTAAAGCAAAAGTTATTTTTTAATTAAAATTTGTTGTTAAAAACAAATTTATTAATATAATAAAATAAATAATTAAAAAAATAACAAATCATTATAATTATATCTAAGATAATTACATTCATAATGTTTACAAAAAAAAATGTTTTATTGTTCCAGTTTTTAAGATTATCATTTTTATTTGTTTGTACAAATAAAGTCTTAATATTATAAATTATTAATAATTAATAATTTAATCAAAAATAATAATAAAAGTGATTACTCTCTCTCTCTCTCTCTCTCTCTCTCTCTCTCTCTCTCTCTCTCTCTCTCTCTCTCTCTCTCTCTCTCTCTTTCTCTATCTCTCTTTATATATATATAATTTATATATTTGTTTTTATAACCAAATATATGACAATTACGGTATAGTTTATTGAAAGTTTTGTCCCAATTTTTTTGGTTCATTCCTTATAAGTTTGTTTTTTTTATTAAGCAAAAGAAAACATGATTTTTGATGTAATGAAAACACTTTCACTATTTTATCTCTCAGTAGAAAATAATGTAAAAAGATTTTTTCATTCAATATATATATATATATATATATATATATATATATATATATATATTGAATTGAAATTATAAAAATTAAAGAGAAAAATAGTTGATTGAAGTTAAGGAATCTCTTCAACTGAAAAAAAATATTTAAACCAATTATTGTTTGACTCCTCAATAAATCCTAACATAAAGTATCTATCAATCAGTCACTCAATTCATTCATTCATTCATTCATTCAATTCATTCATTTTTAGCCTCATTTGACTCTCAAGTTTTTTGAAAAAATTCATATACAATAAACACCATATATAATATACAATATAAATAATAATATCAAATAATATAAATTTATATAATAATAAACAAACACATATTTAAATATGAAAAAAATGTATATACATTTCTATTGTTATTTCTATGTTTATTGCATGTCTATTATTAATAATATTATACAAAAATTGTTGCAAATTATATTAAATGTTTGGACTAAGGAAATGATTTTTCTATATTGAAATAAAATAACATAAAATAATAAGTTTTAAAATTATAAACATATATAATGAGTGATTACTGTATATGACAATAGCGATTGCCATCAATAGTGATTTGTTGGTAGTCTTGCAATCATTTTTTTTATAAATATGTTTTCAATTGTTTTGTAATATTTTTGTTTTGACTAAAAAACTCTTAAAAAAATCAGACCTCTTTTTTGGATCCAATTGATTGTTGGCATACAATTAGATGTGGGAAAGGGATTGGGAAAGTCGTTATATAAAAGCAAGCGATGTCTGGTCACTAAAAATCATTACATCGAAAGCTTTTCAATCAAAAGATTTTGGTTAAAAAATATGTTTTATTGATTTATTGGATATTTTTTGAATTTATTAGTTTTCAAATCAAATAAGTTTGAATATATAAAAATTTTGCTCAACATTTCTACTCTCATCCAAAAAAAACATTTAAAACTATGTTTAAAGTGAGTTTTACATTACAAAAGTTTGGATGGTTTTGCAATTTTTTAAAAAATATATATATAAAAATATTGTTATATATATTGTATAATAATTTTCTTAAATATATATTTAAATTATTAGTTAATTGTTGTCACATCTCTGGTCGCCTTATGTAAGGCAAGTGGTGGCGGAGGAGGCTATGGTGGTGGAGGTGCTGGTAATGGATTAAGTGGCGGCGGCGGTGGTGGTGGTTATGGTGGCGGCGGTTCACAGGGATTTGGACTCAGTAGCGGTGGAGGAGGTGGTGGTGGATATGGAGGTGGATCAGCTAGTTTTGGTGGTAAATCGGGTGGCAGTTCGGGATATGGTGGCGGACAGCAATCAATTTCTGGCTTCAGTGGTGGCCAGAGTTCTGGTGGTGGGGGATATGGTGGTGGATCATCATTCGGTGGACAGGGATTCGGTGGACAACAACAACAACAATTGGGTGGCGGATATGGTGGCGGACAACGACAAGAAGGAGGCAGCGCTCATGAAGGAGGCGTTATTCAGGCAGCCGTTCAAACCAAACACACTGTTGAGATCAGACCCGTAAATATACCTCAAGAGGACATTCAGCCACAAATCATTGAAGTAGATGCCGGAGATTTACCCCTTCAGATCCATTTCAAGAGCGCTTCCAGCAGAATAAAGGTTGTTCAGAGCCATCAGGGAGGCGGTGGAGGCGAAGTCGAACAGACTTCATCTGAAGATGAACCCCATCGTCTGGTCCACGAAGTGACCAAACCTATCATCCAAGAGGTTCGCGAGATTATCACTCCGTACAGACGTGTCATCCAAGAGATCAGACCAGTTGTCGAAGAGATTCATACAGTCGTAGCAAAGGGTGAGGCAAGAAAACAGTCTGCAGGTCATCAACAAACCCAACAACAACAACAAACTGGCGGTTACGGTGGCGGCGCAGCTCAGGGAGGCTTTAGCAGCGGTGGAAGCTCTGGAGGATTTAGTCAAAAATCTAGCGGCGGATCCAGTGGTGGTTACGGAGGCGGTTCCTCAGGAGGCGGTGCCCGTTCTCAGGGAGGATACGGTGGCGGATCATCATCGGGATCTGGATTCAGCCAGGGATCAGTTGGCAAGTCATCAGCTGGTGGTAGTTCAGGTGGTTTCGGTGGTGGCAGCAAAGGCTATGCCAGCTCTTAATTATGTATCAAAAAAAACAAAAAACATTTGAATTTTAGGCATTTGTGTAATTCTCTCAATCATTTAATCATAAATTATTATTTGTTGGATAACAACCATTGAAAAAGTATTTAAACAAATATTTGTCAAATACTTTTATATATATATATATAAATATTTGTAAATTTCTATTACTTATATTACTATTATTGATGCATTATAAATAATATAAAAAAATTAAATAAATAAAAATACATATTTGTACATATACAATCTGTATATATATATTAGTATATTTACTAAAATTAATATAAATTAAATAAATGTGTTTTGAAAATTAATCATATTTTTTATTGATTTAACATATTGACTTTTATATAAAAAAAAAAATTAAAATTACTTCAAGACAACCGTAATGATTATTAAATCAAAATATTTAAGTTAGTAATGTTTAACACATTATAAACATAAAATAAATTGTCATTAATTCAATTTATAACTTTAAAAGTTTAATAATTATAATCAAATGTTATAAATTTAGTACTTATTATGTTTTTTTGTTGTTGTATACGATAACTATTATTATTAATATAATAATTTATAATAAACAAAATAAACATTATAATATATTTAATTTTATTGCCGTTAATTAATTTTTGTTAACATATTTGTATAGTACACTAAATTATTAATATATAAAACTATTTATATTTTATATAATTATATTCAATATGTTAATATATTTTTTTTGAATTTAAAAATTAATAAATAATTTTAAGATTTTTTTGTAGTGACATACGTTAAAAAACTTAAAACATATATAAAATAAAGAAAATAAATTTTTTGATTAATAACTTTATAAGAGTTTTACAATTTTATACTATAGTAAAATTTATATAACATTTTAAATAAATGTTTAAAACTAATATTAATTTATTTTATAATAATTAATCGTAATTTGTTAATCAATTAAAAGTCACAAAACTATTTTATTTATAAATTATTTTTTTACATTGCACTGCATTTAACACATTAAATGTATTTAACTAATGTATAATTTAATTAATGTCAAAATATTATGATAAAAATTATTAAATGTTTAAATTTGTATAATATATATAATATATAATATGAACCTTAAATGATAGTTTAAATAAATATTAAATATATAATAATTGTGTAAATTGTGTCAAATTATAATGCAATCTGTGGTGTAATAAACTGTATAAATGTTTGTTATTGCCAGACATGTAACGCATGTGTGTATGTTTAACAACAAACAAACAAAAACAAGTTCAGTATAAGTGAATAGAAATAAACATTTTGTTTTGTTTTGTTGATAGAAATAGTGAGTTAACGCAAGTGCACGATATGTATGGCAATATATATAGCATTGATGAGTGCATTGATTGACAGATTGACAGTACGTTTAGCAGTATTTTGTAAATAATTTTTTTCCAAACAAAACATTTTTGTTTTTATTGACAGCAAGTGATCCACAAAAAAGTGATGTGCGATACCATCGATGCCATGTGTGAGACAACAAATACAGACTCATGGGTACCACCAATACTGCCTCCGCTGCCATCATCGTCATCATCGACAACACCACCAGTGTCTGCACCGACGCCAACACCCATGACCAGTAGCAGTAATGATCAACACGTGTCGACACACGCGCTGCCACACCATAATAACCATCACAATAACCAACAACAGCATCGACAACAACAACAACAACAACATCTGATGAGTCTTGAACTGCCATCGTCTCCATCACTGTCGCACAGGACTCACGAAGAAGAGATCTACGAAGATCTGTGTTATGTAACTCTACGTCTTGGCCGTCATCATCATCGGGATGGCGGCTCTTCTGCAGACCGAGCAGTCAGTCTAGTGTTGGACTGTACGACCGCACGGGACTACTGTGTGAAAGAGTTGGTGGAAACTGAGCGCAACTATTGTGATGCACTTCATATGATTCAAACACATTTCATACAACCGCTGAGCAAACAGTTGCGAACCATCGATAAGTTGACTATTTTTCAAAATATCAAACACTTGTTAGACATCCACAACCGCTTCTATAGTGACCTCTGTAACAACACCGTCATCGGTGGTTCAGATCATCATCACCATTCACTCAGTAGTCATCATCATTCAATTCAAGCACCCATTACCAGCTACGACAGTCTGAGGATAAGCGCCAGTTTTCTACATTATAAGGACAAACTTATTGTCTACGGCCAGTACTGCGCTAATCTGCCGAAAGCCCAGCAACTGATTGACCAGATTTGTTTGACCGACGAAACCATTGCCCAATTGGTTAATAAATGTCAAATGAAGGCCAACGAAGGAAAGTTTAAACTACGCGATCTGCTGTCGCTTCCAATGCAACGAATACTAAAGTATCACCTGTTGTTGTCACAGCTAATCAAGAATACGCCCGAAACACATGAAGACTTCTCCGGTCTACAGAAGTCCTATCAGGCGATGCTTGACTTAGGTCTCTATATTAACGAAGTCAAGAGAGATACCGAAACATTGGACATAATCAATGACATACAGAACTCGATTGTTGATCTCGAAATGCCAGACAATACACAACTCAAAGATTATGGCCGTCTTATTAAAGACGGTGAGCTGAAGATTAGATCGCACGAAGAAAGTCGATTGAAAAACAGATATGTCTTCATATTTGATAAAGTGATGCTTATGTGTAAATCAATTAGAGGTGAACAGTATAGCTATAAAGAGGCGTTAATATTGGCTGACTATCAGGTAATTACGGTAATTAATTAGGTTTTAGTTAAACAATTTTTAGTTGAAATTTGTTACGATATTAATGACACATATTGTTACCCGATTAGGTGGAGGAGCACTCAATGGGCAGTACAATATCCAAACTGACCAAACAGTGGTCATTTGGCTGGAGTTTAGTTCATCGGCAAAACAAGAGCACATATACTTTTTACTCGAAAAGCGATGACATTAGAAGGAAATGGATCGAAGCCATCGACAAAGCACTTGACAATGTATGTCCACAGGCCTGTCGGGAGGGTTCCACTGACCATACGTTCGAAATGTTTACATTCCTGACAATCACGACTTGTGCCGACTGTCAACAACTACTTAGGGGAACCTTTTTCCAGGGCTATCAGTGCACGGTTTGCAATATAGCTGTCCATAAGCAATGTATAGCCAGTGTTAGGTCGTGTGGCGCGCCATCATTGCCGCCGCGTCCACCACTGCCGCCGTCCAGTCCGGGCATATCGTTGAACTCGTTTTCGGGAGAAGAGGACAACATTCGTAATTCAGTGTCCGATTCGTTGTCGCGAAACTGTAGTCAAATTACCGGAGCTATAAACACAAACTCATCAGCTAATAATGTTAACCGAAGCTATTGTCGCGCTATTAGCTCATTCAATGGCGATCCAAATTTAGGAGAATTAGCTTTTATCGTACAAGATATTATTGTGATAACATCTACAGGTGCCAAATGTAGTGACGAAGACCAGTCATCGGACGACATATGGTGGGAAGGAAGGAATACCCGAACCTTTGAAAGCGGTATATTTCCCTCAACAACGGTTACCGAAGTTGATTTAGCCCTCGATTTGAGTGTCTTCAGTGCATCAGCAACTGGGCGTCAATCCTATGAAGATCCTAATGGCTTCTCCGAAGTTGACAACTGTGCCAGTGGTGGTGGTGCACAATATGTTGAGCACAGCAACCTTAATCTGGATGATTATTTATGGTTTGCCGGTCCAATGGACAGGGATAGCGCCCAATCAGTATTGGAGCACATGCTTAACGGTTCATTTCTGGTGCGTATATCTCCAAAACAAAACGGCAGTTACGCTATTAGTCTGAACTATTCGGGTCAAGTCAAACACATTCGCGTCCAGAGGACAGTCGAGCATCAGTTATACTATTTAAGTGAATCCCGTTATTTCAAGTCAATCATCGATCTAATTGTCTATTACAGTGAAAACAGTTTATGCGAATCATTTAATTTAGTAAACACTTGTCTACAGATTCCCTTCAAAAAGTCATACAAATGTGACGCCTATTGCTATGCCATTGCTCTCTATAATTTTGCCGGCGGTTCAGCCAATCTATTAGATTTGCGAAAAGGCGATCGCGTGACCATATTATCGAAGGCCGGCCAAAGTAAGGGCTGGTGGAAGGGACAGATCAATGATAGGATCGGATACTTTCCAATGGCTTATGTCCAATAACTTAACGACTATACCCAAAGAAAAAGTCTGCTTAAAAATTGTGTGTATGTCTCCTCCCACTTATCACGCAAACAGTGTAGTAATAGCTACAGTACAGCAGTAACTGTTACTACACTGTTTGCGTGATAAGTGGGAGGAGACATACACACAACTGCAAAATTGACAGGACCTCTGACTATACCTAATAATGTTATATACAGTACACGTAATTTAGTAATTTTATTAGTTTTAAAAAATATATATTTATTTATTATTACTGTACTAACACAGTGTATCACATAACACATAAAGTCATTTTTAATATATATTAAAAAAGCATTTACTATATGTTATATCAAATATAACATTTGTAATGAGTTTATTTGCCATCAAATCTACTGTAGACTCATATGAATTGCTTTGTCTTTTAGTTTTATAAATTATTCCTACATTGACACTGACCTATACAGTACATACCATTACCTCTCTGGCCTCCAAAACTATTTTTAACTAAATTATTTAAAATTACTAATTTAACAAACAGTATGACAATTATTAATTATGATGTTATCGATCATTCAAATTAAATTGTAGTTGACTTGAAATGTTTCCATAATTTTAATATTAATTAACTATACAGTAATTAATTAATTTGTATATATTTTTTACAAAAATTAATTTATTAATAATTTTTTTTAATTAATTTATTTCTAAAATACTATTGGATAGAAATAAATTTTTAGAAAATCTATACTCATTTTTTGTTTTGTTACTTGTTCCAATTTTTACATATAAAATAAAATTCACAATTATTTGTATATTAAATAAATCCTATATAAATATTACAAAAAAAATATTTAAGTATAAAATAAGTATAACAATTTTATAAATGATTTATAAATAATAATAATACTTAATTTTATTTATATATAATAATTTTGTTAAAATAGTCAAACTGACAATCTTATCACAAAATATATTATTAAATAAACTAGCTAAATTTTAGTTTGTATTTATAACTAATTTATTTATATATTGGTTAAACATTTATGTCATCTAAAAAAAATTAACTTTTATTAGAATTATATTAGATTATATATAAATTTTTACAATATATTTTTTAAATATTAATGTAATGTTTGTAATGTAATATTTGTTTTTGACAAATTGTTTTTTAAATTTGTTTAAATTTATAATATTGTAATATAAAACTTTATAAATGTCGTTATAAATCTATTGTATAATATATTCTATAATGTTTATTCAGATAATTAATTTTGTTTCTATCAATATTATCCTAATCTCAATTAATACAATAATGTTAATATTAAAAATGTCCAATTATATTAATAATAATAATAATAATAAATTACTCCTTAAATATACATCGATTTATGAACAAAAAGAAATATTGTATCTGTATTTTATTGTTAACGTCTGTTAACTATTATAAAATATTTAATATTTGTTAAATAAAAATTTTAATTTAAAATTGGATGAAACAAAATTTTTTTAGTAAAAAATAAATATATAGCAAATATGATAACAATAAATATGATAAGCAATACATTAGTGGTAACAACACCCAAACGACCGCTATATTCATAATGATGTCTAAAATCCATACAAACAATTGATCCATAGGTATAGTTAAGACAGGCCTCGGCCTCCATGAGCTGTCGGATCAATAAAAGTGATTCATGTAAATCTTGATAGCCTTCATATGTGCACCGGTCGGTAGCTGAGAACAGCTGACAGTCCATTTGATGCCACATTTGACAACAAACACTACCGGCCATCCAAGTGTTGTTGTTGTCCGCACTGTCATACATATGGTTATCATTATTGATAATACAATCAATGATATTGTCGTTAATCTTATGTAAACATTGTATAAGAGGTGCACCAAAACCCAAATCTCTGGCAATTTCTTTTAATTTATAAATTTTCTTAACATTTAAATCCGATTCAATAATAAGCGGTAATGAACTTATAAAACAAGTTATAATTAATATGAAAATTGATGTATAATTATTCATTTTGTCTTTCAATTTCTATATAACAACTACTCTAAACAAAATTTTCAATTTAAACAAAATTGAATCAACTTTTTTTTTACTGTTTATTGATATTAAAAGTGTGAAAAACATCATATTATTAGATCTAATAGTCATCACAATTGATGATCTCATCAATTACTCATTAAAATCTTACATATAATATGGAATTATATATTATTATTTGGTTATTATTTTTTTAGTTTTATGGCATTAGGAATATAATATAGTATTATATATACTGTATATACTGTATATGGGCATAAATAAAAAATTTAAATTTTATTTTTTTTCATTATAAATTAGCCAACTCAATTTATTATCATTATTATTAAATATTATTATTTTAACTATTAACTAAAATAAAATTTTTAATAACTAATTTTTAAACATTTCTATTTATAATAAACAAGTGATAATTTATTTTATTATATTAATGTTTTGAAAATAATGTTATTATATAATTTCTAAACTGATAATAAATAAATAAATAAATAAATAAATAATATTATATAATATTAAAAGAAATAACTTAATTGATTTATAGTTTAAACAATTATTTTATATAACTATTATTTATAAAGTGAATCATTAGATATTTGATGAATAGTTTCATTTGATGACAATAATTGTAGATTTTTGTCGCCAATTGTCTTATCAATAGATCTATTGAGTCTAATAATTGCATCGATTAGGGCATCGCCGGGAAAGTCCATCATAAGTATGCCGACATAGTTTGGTCTTTCATTTTGTATGAAATTCAATGTTAAATCGTTGGTTCCCTCGAAGGCGACCAAACAAAAACTGCCCAAACAATAGACTCGAGGAAAGTCAGGGAAGACATCCCTATTGATCAAAGTTGTCCGTCCGGTTAACATAAGCGGTGAATTGGTTCGGTGATCGGACCGACCGCCGGCTACAAAGTAGGGCATCACAAGCAACGGCATTCGGGCCATTTGCGGTGTCCGACCCGACAAATAGTTTATGTAAAACGAATCGACATTACGTTTGTTGGCATTCATGAGTTGTCGCTTAACTTTTAACCATTTTTCATATAAATTGAAAATAGTTTTCACTTCATAGTCATCCTGAGTGTCAAACGATCGGTAGTCTAAACCAAACTGTTGTCCACCGCCACCAGCAAAGTCTTGGAGAAATACAATTTTTTGCCGGACATCGCCAACAGTAGCATTCATGGCACTGGATGTCCATATGAATGGTGTTACCATATCGTGTGATAGATATTTAAGTAATATTTGCTCAAACGATTCATTTGAGACATTATTATTATTATTATTATTATTATTATTATTATTTATAGGATATATATTATTTTGTTGTTGAGTTTGCGATATCTTAACAAATAGTACTTCTGAGGGATTGTTAGCCAAAAATTGTGTAAAAGTTGTGATAACATAACTAAAATCTGACTTTTGATCGTCATATGATTGTTGTTGATGTTGTCTCTGTATTTTCAATGAGTTTGATCTTTGTTGACAACGTATATCAAACACTCGTATCCCAGCCTTTAACTGTAACTCAAGCGGTAACGATTGGCACTGAGCTATGTCTCCGCCGGACAGTGCCATAGAGTCGTGAGTTCCCGGCAATGATAGCTCAGTTAGTCGGGTAGTGTCCAACAAATCGCTCATCCATTTGCTGTTTTCCAGTTTTGTAAACATTTCGTGTGAATAACCGGTGTTTAATAAATTATTTTTTGCCGGACGTTTGTCTTCATTTAAATGAATACTTAGATCGGGTTTGAGTGTCACAGGATTTGATGGTTTAATTAAATTTAAGCCTATATTTTGTTTTTTTTATTAAAATATTTAAATTAAAAGAAATAATATATAAATAAAGAAATCATTTTTTTATATTAATTATTTTTTTAAATCAAGTAATTTTTTAGTATTACTTACCAATTGGTTTACGTGAAAGTATTTCATTGTAAACCATTGCAATTACAATCGTAATAATAATAATTAAATGTCTAATTAATTTCATTTTAGAAAATAATTTAGACCTTTTAATTAAAAAAATATATGAAATATACAAATAATAATAATAATAATTTATTATAATCACATACGAAATATTGTATTTTAATCTAATTTCATTTAATATATTCATATAATATAAAACATTATTATTTTTGAAAATAGGTTAATATACTAAAAATTAAATTAATCTATATATTTATTTTCAAAAATTTAAAAATTATTAAAAATTTTGCAAGTGTGATTAAATATGCTAGAAAAATGTGGTACATGTATCATATATAGTAATTTTAAGTATTAACATTTAAAACTATTTGCAATAAAAATAAAGTTTAGTTATAACAATTTTTAGTTCAATTTTATGTCTAAAATAAGTACAATAAATATTAAGTACTGTATATAATTTTTAAGTTATTTTTATTGATAAACATGTTATTTATTAAATCTTTATTTAATTCTATCAATTCAATAGTCGTTATTAATAAAAAAAGCACAAATAAATGTGAATCCAATTTTTTATGCACAAAAAAATTTCAATTTTTCTTTGCAATTGATATCAAGCCATTTGTATTGAGATTTTTCACTGATTGCACCGCAATCTTCTTTATGTCGACCAAAAGGCCCGCCATTGTCGGGCTGTCCCAAAGCCCAGGCGGAGAAGCTATCGGACACTGGAGTGTCATCGATATACATCCAGACGCTCTCTAATTCCCGATCGCTTAATCCAAACCAATATTTCATATTAGGATCGCTTCTAATGTTTGGTTGCATTGAAAGTAATTGTTTGATAAATTTTCCGTAAAATGCATTTTCGTCTATAGTTCGCGGCTGAGGTAGCGATCGGCCTAACTGTTGACAAAATTGTCGGGCATCAGTCCATGTCATCGGTGTGTCCACATAATGAGCTAATTTAGTAAATAGAAAAATTTTTTAAACAATAATCACTTAAATATAATAATAATACTAATACTAATAATATAAATATTTAATTAATTAATACGTTTTCTAGGATAGCAATGACCCGAACATTTGCCCATTTGCTGACAATATCCGTCTTTTAGATGTTTTCGCTATTCAATTATATCATATAAGTATTTAACATATTGTAGTTATAATATATCACTAAAAATTACAATATAATAATAAATAAATAAATAAATATATGTTTTAAACCTCAAATTCTGGTGTATCCATGATATCAAAGTAATCAAATCCCGGTTTTGGTGTCAATAGTAATGTCTCGTTAGCGCAGACCGAGTCAGTCATTAAGATACACGTATTGTTACCGAAATTAAATGATTTGCATTGTGTCTTATATTGATTACAATAAATCAAACAATGGGACACTTTTGTTATATTAGTAATGATTAGGTATTCAGTTACTCCTCCATCGAGTATATGGTTTTTCCGGAATAGTGACGACCCGTATAGTGTGTCAACTTTTAGACTATCCCTACGCTGACAATCAATCATCGATTGTATTAATAAAACTATAATAATTATAAAAATCATATTTATTTTATTTAAAAAATAAAACTTTTTTTTGTTATCTATATAAAGTTTATGGAAAATGTTAAACATATACTGTACAACCAATATTAATACAGTACTATTAAATTTATTTTGTTTGGTTTTACAACAAAAAATATATAATAGATATTTAATATAAATTATCATATAATGTTTGTTATAACCATTTAATAAACAATGCATTGTGAAACATAGAAATATCATTATAATAATTAACTAATAAATCAAAAATATATATATTGAAGAACTTAACTGTAATAAAATGTAATTATTGTAAATCATATATAAATTATAATAATTAATTTACATAATACCATAGAAAATATTATTATAATAACGATATAGATATTAACTAACGTTAGGTATTATAAATTACTTTAATAACTCTAACAATAATAAAGTATTAGATATGCTATAATTTGTCGTAATAAAATATTCATAATATAAAATTATTATCATTTAATGTGTTAGCTTTTGATATATACAAATAAAAAATAAAATTATTATTATATATAAATATTTTATAAATTACAGTATTAACTAAATAGTATAAATTTCATAAATAATATCAATAAAATTAGAAATATATCATTTTTTAAAAATACAGAATATCTTAAACTATAAAACAAATTAATTTTTTATTGTATTTATATATTTTATTTATAGAATATAAAGTTTATTAAAAGTTTTAAATTATTGATAGTAATAGATTTATATATTATCTATTTATGCTTAATTTTAATTTTAAAAATTTAATCTCATTAAATATATTATAATACTGTATTAAAGTAATGTTATACAATGTGTACATAAAAATATTAAATCGATAATATATGTTGCAAACAATATATTTAGATAGCACCTCTCCCCCATACAATAGTATTGTTAGTAATGTTATTTACAAGCATTTTATTACAACTTATACGGTATACTATAATATATTTAAGAAAGAAAAAAACATTTATTATATTTTTTTAATAAATAAAATATTGTTATAATAAATAATTTGTTACAGATTTTTTTGAAAGTGAAATATTACTTAATGTTTTAAATAGTATATTAATGTATATATTATAACTGCTATATTTGATTATAAATTTCATATTTCAATATAACGCATGCGAGTATCAATTGTCTGTATATTTTTTGTCAATATCAATATAATTACGGAAAACAGTAGTATATACTACTGTAAAATATTGAAAAAATTATTTTAATGGCCATATTGAGTATTTGATTTGATATAATTGTCTAGGTAAAATATACTAATATAACTATATATACTGTATATAAATAATAATTATTGTTTCAAAAATGTAAACTATATGCTTGAAAATGTCATATGAATGCTAATAATAAAGATTAATATTTAATATACTATTGTACAATATATAAAAAAAATAATAATGTAATAGAAAAATTAGTTATTTAAAAAAATAGATATTTAATAAGTTATTAAAATTTAAAAATAATTTTATAATTATATATATATAATTATCATTGATATGAGCAATGAATAAATGGTTGGCTCCGTCATCAATACATTTCCTTCAAATGGATAGTCAAATATTAAATGATACCAACAGTATTACAGACAGTGTTGTCAATGAATTGAGTCAACAATTAGCGGCACAAGAGTTGTTGTCAACTGCCGGCAACAGAGTATCAAAAGTGCCTAAAATGCAAGTCTCCGAAAAAGATGGACAACTGTTTGCCCTAAATAACAGTTCACTAAAACTGATGCTTCAATTGGAAAAACAGGGAAAACTTGGTGACGGACTGATACCAGTAGAAGTGGTGCCACTAAGCAAAGTGCCCGTCAATATACAGATGGCAATGATCGGCACCAGCGATGAACATCATATTGACCATCATTCTGATGGTGTACATCATGAAACCAATGTCGATACCGGAGCCAATTGTGGCAATTGTAGCAAATATAGTGATGATTACCACAATATTACTAATCAAACTAAAAGTAAGAGCACATCATTACCACTAATGATATATCATTATATGATTTTAAAATAACTGTATTTTACCCAATAATACATTTGAATAATTTTTTAGGACTAATAAAATTAACTAAACCATTGAAAGCTAATCAATTGGTGAACCAATTAAATAGTGATAAACTAGTAGTGGATGGCAGTGTCGCTCAAGACGTCAGCGATGTTGACAACAGTGGCAGCGAATCCAGTGATGATGAAGAAGACGACGACGAGTTAAGCGATTGGTCGTCGCAGTCATCCACCGATGAGACCCTACAGTGCAATGTCTGCGACCATACGTATGCCACGAGCCGACAGTTGGCCAGACATCAGATGCATCGCAAACACTTTGGCTGCTCTTTATGCGACACTCTGTTCCCATCGATAGCAGCCCTACAACAGCACAAACAGTCACTCGAGCACTGGTCGGACAATGATTGCGAGGATGACTGTAATCATCAAACAATTACTGATGAAAACAACGGTACTGACGGTACGGCAAGTGGTGGTCGACCACCACTGCTAACAGTCAAACATGATTTGGAAAGACTATTGTAATGTCAGATATTGAGTACATTTTTTAAACATTATTAACATTTTACTAAAATTATTCAATACTGATATTTTGCTTTTAAATAATAATAATAATAATTATTATTATTATTATTATTATTAATATCGTATTTATGTTTTTTTCTATATAAAAATTGAAAATTATATTAAATTAATTATTACGATAGATATACATTATGTATAATATTATAATAGTATTATAATAATTAATAATTAATTATATGATATTTGACATTGTATATTTTATATATATATTTAGTGTATATTATTATAATAATAATACTGTATAATATTTGGGTATATAATTAATAAGCATATAAATATATAAATTATGAGCTTAATTTTGAAAGCTTACATAATTTTAACTTTGATGACTATTATAATGATAAACTAAAATAATATTGTTTGTATAAATAAAATTATAATTGAATATTTCAATAAAAAAATGCAATAAACAACATATAAATCAATAATTTGATAATTATTTATTAACCATGTTATTATAACAATAAAAAAAACTACTGTATTAAATATTTAGTAATAAAAGTTTAGTTAGGTACATATAACTATATTATACATTTTTTGTTAGTAAATTGCCGCTAATGTATTCAATGATTGATTATTATTAATAATTTATTAGATAATATTTAATATTCAAACTAAATTATTGTATAATTTTAAAACAGATCATTTATAAAATAGATTAAAAATTGTTATATAATAATACTGTATATAATATTTGAAATTATATTCAAATAGAGTTTTATATTAATATTTATATGAATTTTGAGTGTTTATTGATTATTAAATTCAAGCGCTATCTATATATTTGTTTAGAATATTACAGTAGACTATACTATACTATACTATACTATACTGTACTCTACTATAGAGTTGATTGTAATCGCTATCTATTGAGTCAATAATATTGAATGACATATAAGTTATGACAACAAACACAATGTTTGGCCAAATGTTAAGCACATGACTGACCACATGAACATCAGTGGCGACCAATTGTTGCCGACGACTGTCAGTAGTGGCGACAGTGGACAACAACATGGATCGATGGTGGAGTCATCATCGGTGGTCAAGTCGCCGATGTGTCGCATCAACGAGTTGTCCCGATTTAATAACATGAAACACGAGTACCACTTGATCTCGGAGTCGGGTCCGCCACACGACAAGATATTTACCGGTAATATAGTTGTAGTCAATTGAATGGATTGACCTATTGATTGACCACTTTTTTCCCGTTGAATAGTTGCACTCAAGTTGGGCGACAGTATTGGCGAACAATATGTGGGAACCGGTAGTTCAATAAAGAAAGCCCAAAGAAGTGCGGCTATCGAAGCACTGGACAGAACATCGCTGAGAGAGCCAACCAAACGGCAAATGTGTAGTTCATCGTCCAGTACGACGACTTGGCCACTGACACCAACTGTTGAACTGAATGTGTTGGGCATGAAGTTGGGTCTGAACGCCACGTATCAGGTGTTTGAGCCGACAAGAGTTCAGCCGACGCCCGCCAACGCTTACGCTTTGGGCGTAAATGTTTACGACTATCGAGGAATGCATTATCAACGCTATCACAGTCCACGCGGTCCCTATTCGGCCACATTGACCATTGGCGAGCATCAGTTTATTGGTAAGGGCCGTACCGCTCAAGCGGCCCGACACGCGGCTGCTCAAGAGGCGCTAAATGTTATTCGTGAACTGGCAGCCAATCAGGAATCGGCCAATAAGTTGCCAACAAATTCGGCCGAAAACAATCAAACCATCGACGATGACGCTAGTGTTAAGTCACCGATTAGTGTGGTTCACGAAATGGCACTCCGGCGCAACCTTTCCGTACGATTTGAAGTGATCTCACAGACTGGACCCTCACATTTGCCAGTATTTATTACCCAATGCACTGTCGGCCAGACTGTGGTCAACGGCCAGGGAAACGGCAAAAAGACATCCAAGAATAATTCGGCACTTCTTATGATTGAAGAATTACGCAAATTACCCGATATATTACCGCCAAATGATAGCAACAGTGATCGCAACAACACTGATCGTAACAATCATTACAATAGGAACAACTCGGGTGGTGGACGTTATTCACGGCGACATTGTTTGACCGATAAGCGCCGTAAAAAGTCTAAGAAAAATGTTAATAAAATTAATGGTAATAAATGCGATCAAAAGCATGCCATCAACAACAATAACATCTGTGAGTCTAATGATCAAAACAATTGTAGTGATAGCAGTGGTAATGATAATTCAAATAATAATAATAATAATAATAATAGTGTTAAGAATGGTAGTGTTAAAGATGAAAAAGAAAGTGAATCAATGATAAACAATGGCCAGACAGTGACCGAGGAATCAGTTCATCCGATAAATGGTTTGATTCAATGGCTTCATTTGCGCAAAGAAAAAGATCCACAATTTAGACTATTGTCTGAACGATGTCTCGATCGTCGGCGCCAAGAGTTTACCATTGAGTGTATCGTCGAGTTATCTAAAAGCGTTAATACGGCTACTACTCAGCCGCCGCAAACGGTTTCGGCCATTGGTTTGGGACCAAACAAAAAAATAGCCAAAAGAAATTCGGCAGAAGCTATGCTACAACTGTTGAACTATTCGTGTCCAACAACACCACCGATACCCTGTCAGACATTTGCCACACAACACCACCAACAACAACAACAATTGACACAATTAGGCCAATCGCCGCCTTCTATACTGAAACAAGAGCTGTCAAACAATACACCCGTGAGTTTGTCCAACCAGAAGAAGATTCGTCAGGTGAAGTTTGTGGATGACCCGATCGGTGCGGCCGTAACTCTACCGCAATCGAAAATGGGACGACAATTGGTTCCCGGACTCATATTAATGCCAATCAATAGTGATATGTCTTTCAATACAAACAATAATAAAGGTTTGCATAAAATAATTAAAAAATAATTATTGTAATTAAGAAATAGTTTAAATTTTTGTTTATTATATGTTCTATATTTTATAGATTTGACGGCCAACTCAAAGCAATTACCCGACATCGGTGTCGACACTAAATGTAATTATGATTATAAACTTAATAATAATAATAATAAGTCAAATGATGGTAAAAATTTAGTGACTATTAATGCCGATATGTCGTCAAAAGTGCAATCGATTAGGAAATTGGCAAAGACTATGATGGACTCATTTGATGATAAACAATGTGATAATCAATTGGATGACCGAAACAATCATTATTATTATACTAAACAATTGCGAAGTTTGTGTCAAACAATTGGTGAACATTATCTACAATTGCATTTCAGTGATTTCCCTAAAAAGCATTGCAACCCTACCACTCAACTACAGGAATGCCTATCAATTGTTACAATTACCACTGCATGCACACCGTCGCCGATAGTTAGCCACGGAAGTGGTCGCACGCAGGACGAGGCTCGCAATCAGGCAAGTCATCAGGCAATCCAAGCGTTGTCCTGTTTGCAGTTATTGCCGACATCTACTACTCAATACTCGTGATTTGGTCTATAAATTAATTTAATATTTATTTAGTTTTTGTTTGTTGTTAAATGTGTGTCATTTTTTGATGATAACATTACCGATAAGCGTAGTTAATCACACTATTAATTGAAAATATTTAAAAGTATTAAATATTATGGTACCAATAGTTTATTTTTTTGATAATATTATTTGACTAATAATATAACAATTGATTCAATAAACATTCAAATTATGACTGCAGATAGGATTAGCAACATTTAAGATATTTATTATTATTATAAATGTTACCGTAATTAACAATTGAAACAAAAATTCAATTAAAAATTCAATGTAGAAAAAAATTTAAAAATAATTTAAAAAAATTAAATTTAAGTAGTTTAAAAAAGACAATATCTAATATAGAATCTAGCTCATTTAATATAATTTATCAAAAAAATAATATTATAAAGTAGAATAATAATAAATGTAGGAAATATTTAATCATAAATAATTATTTTTATTACTTGTTAGTATTTATTTTAGCTAATTTAGCTAATAATTAATATTTAGTTAATTATAGTTGGAATTATTGCACCTAATATTTAAAAAAGACTAAATAATCAAATGATTAAAATTTTAACAATTTATATATATTTTTAACATATACCGTACTGTATGTGTGTTTTCAAACATATTGATTATATTAATATACATTATTAGTTTAGCAATTTTACATTTAAAATATATACATACCTTTTTATGTATTCAACAATTTTATTTTTATTTTCTATATCCATATAAATTTAATAATATAGTTATTATTACATAATTCTTAATAATAATTAACTAACATTTTATAATATATAATGACATATACTTAATACTTTATCAAATATTTAACTTGATTTTAAATGATTTTAATATATGATTTAATCTATTATTTCTAAATATAAATATTTATAATTGTCAACTTTTAATTATAATTAGGTTATAATAAATATATTCATAAATTGATATTAATATAAAAAATAATAATGATAATCTATGATTACACAAAATGGTATGTATACAATTTAATGTATATTTTTTAGATATTACTGTAGTTTTGAAAACATACAGTATTTAATATTACCGTACTTATTTTACATTATTAATTGTTTATAGGATTATATTTATTATTAAATAAAATAAAAATGTTATCATATAAATTGAGACACGTTAATATAGAAAATTTGTGAAAATATTAAATAATATAATTATTTAGGTTTAAATATTTTAAAACTATTATGTTATTACTAATAGTACTGTATTTGTATTAAGTTTGAGAGTTTATAAATTATAAGCAATATATAGATAAATAGATAAGTTTTTTGAGTAGATTTTTTATTTTGAAAAAGTGTGAAATATTATTAAATTGACATTTATTAATATATTAATAATAAAAAGGTAACAGTAATTGGTGTTTAATAATAAATTAATAACTAATTTATTTATATAAATAATAATTATTTAATATTTAATTGATTTGTTAAGATTTTTTTTAAATATAAATTATGTAATTTAAATATTTATTTAATTTAATATTTAAAATAATTGAATTTTTTGTTTATATTATATTTTATTCAAAGTAATATTTATGTTGTTTTAAATAATATATAAAAATTTAAAATAAAATGTATCTTGAATACTTTAATTTTGTTTAAATTATATTTAAATTATGCCAAAATATTATAACTGATGCATCAATTTTTTAAATTATTGAAGCAATTTTTAATTGATATATATATATATATTTTAATAAACAATATCAATATAATTAATTCTTTACAAATTGATTATTATTATTATTATTATTTAAAAAACCTTAATTATATTAATGTACTTGATAAACTAGACAGTCATATTTTTTAAAGGTGTGTTACCATTTAATTTTTAATTGATATTAATGTTTTATTAATAAATTACTTTACATTGAAAAAATCATATTGTTATCATTAGCTATTTGTTTAAATTTATTAATAGCTGTTTTATTTATATATTTATTTCAAACAATGTTTTCATTTTAGTTGGATGTTATTATTATTATTATTAAATGATAATTAATATAAATATATGTATTTTTGAGGGAACTTGACTTCAACAGTCAATGATAAATGCGAAATGTGTTTATTTGTATAGAAAATTATATTAATAGTTAATTAGCGCACAATTTCATGACATTATGAAACAACATTACCATAGAATAGGAGGCATTTGTTTTGTTAATTGAGTCGATTTACTATTGTATGGTAAATACATTATAATAGATAATTATAATATAGTGTGTGTTTGTGTTTGTGCATGCTCATTTTATTAATTGCTTAAACACATTGGGTCACATCAGCATTCATTAATGCATTCAATTTTTTATGTATAGTTTGCACTACTATTTTAATAACAGTTTGTAAATTATGTATAAAACAAGTGAAACCATGTTTTTTAAAAAAAAGGAGTGCCGATATATAATAGGTTTATAATTATGACTACGATTATCATTAAAAAATAAAGTACTAATACTAATAATAATAATAATAAGTAGTAGTAGTAATAATAATAGTAATAGTAGTAGTCATCTCAATTGTGGGGATTATTATTATTTTAATTAAATATTTAGAAACAATTTTTCAAATGAATGAATTAAAGGCTGAAACTATTATATATAATAAAAAAAATGTATTCAACAATTGAAAAGTCAATAAAAAATTGTTATCACTTTTCTGTTGAATGAAATTTTTTTGAAAACTACTTACAAAATAAAATATAAGACTTAACACTAAATTCATGTAATTAATAATATAAGAGAAGTGTAAGTGTTGTGTACTGTTAAAACTCATAAATATTTTACATATATTTTTATTTATTATTTATTTCTCATTTTGATATTTTATTTTTATACAGTTATCCTTGAATTACTTACGACTAAATTGTTTTGACGTTTTTCAAAGCTTTAATAATGTTAATGCAAACATATATTTCAACACAAAAAAACTACAAAATTACTTTAAAAACTTTTCCATTTAATTTTATTTTGTAATGCATTGCAATTGAATTGATAATAAAAAAAAGTGTGTAGTTTTCACTAATAAATTTTGATAAACTAAATGTTTATTAATATTATTAACTTAGTTTAGTTGAGTCAAACTGTATATATATATAAGCAATACTAACGGTTAGGTTTTAACTCACGATTTAATAAATAATGTATTTTAATATTATTGTTAATTTGATAGTATATTGTTATTAAGTCTATGAATTATATTTTATATGCAATATATATATATATATATATATAGATATTGTATGATAAATAATGTTACTATAAATTTAAATGAGTCAAGTCGTGCCTCTGTAGTACCAGTCCCTCAAATTGTTGTAAGCTTTTTACGGGTAATTGTGTGTTATTTTGATGTAATAATAATAATATAATATTTGTTATAATATAAAATATTGAGTCGAGTTGTCAGTTAAGTGGTGACTATACCACACCAGAGATGGGTTGGTTAGTATGATATGACTCTCTCTCTCACCAAATCTATAACTATCACTACAACTAAAGATATGGTCCGCCTTTCAGGAAATCCTTGTTATGGTTCGCTAAAGCATTTATGTGTACATCACTTGAAAATCACTTGAAACTACTGATCATAACATCAGTCAACTCAACAAAACTAAAAGAAAATATTATTATTGTGTTGTTATCGTAATTATTATTAATATTATTATCAATTTGATCTGTGTATTGGTATTAAAAAATATATACAATTTTACATGTGCTTAATGTAATCAATTATTATAATTTTCACAATTACTTTTACTCATTACTTGAATTTTGTTTCTTTTAAGATATATATATAATTAAAATTGTTAAAATATATTTTATCAAAATATTAATTATTGTCATATTTTTGCAATAAGTTTAAATTGTGCTGGATACAAGTTTCATTCAAGTTGGATATTAGCTTTTAATATACATTTATAATAAAAATGTATAATAGCATAATGTTTGACTTGATTAATCAAATAGTTTCATTTAGTAAACATTACATTATAATTATGATAATATCATCTATATACATCCAATCATCATTAACACAAACAGGTAACATTTTATAAATAATTTATTTTCAATTTTAACAAATTTAAATAATTAGTTATATATATATATTTATTGTTATATTAATATATTTTATTTTTTTTATTAATAAAACATATTATTTAAAAAATTAAAACCAGATAACATGTGAAGATTTCTTTATATATATTTTTATTTTTTCTATTATTTTAAGTTTTTATATTAATTATAGTATTAAGTTTATTTGTTTATTATTAAATTGTAATAATATATAAATAATAATAATATCATATTTTATGAATACAATTTCATATACAATATAATTATATATACTGTATATATATATAAAAAATAAGAAATAGAGCATTTCATAAAAAGTTTATTATTATATTTCATATATTATTAATCTTAAGATTATTACATAAATAAAACAACTTTTTTCCAAATATTTGAACTTTTATATAATAATCTTAATAATAATAATAATAATAATAATATCATTATTATTTTAAATAAATGATTATATGAATAATATTGAGAAAAATTTAATGTTAATTTATCGAAATTGAATACTTAAGATTATTTTCACATTAGAAATTAAATAAAATATATGGCCAATAAAAAATAAAATAGTAAATATGTCAATAACCTTAATTTTTTATATTTTAAATTATTATATAATATATGTAAATATATATATATATATTAAAGATCTTTAAAATTTTATAATTAATTCATTTAATTTTTGAATAATTATATAATATTTTAACTAATAATAATATATTTCAACACTTATTGCCATTAAATTATAATTAATATATATTTGCTAAATTATTGTTTTATATTACTTATTACTTTAAACTATTATTATTCTGTATACTTGAATCGATTTTTAATATTATATTATTTATATAATTATGCAAATTGTGACTATTTGTAAAAATGCTTATTATTAATAAAATTGATTTTATAATATAGATCAGAGAGATGTAATTAATAATTTTTAATTTAAATTAATATTTCTTAATATATATATATATATTTGTAATATAGATATATGAATAAATTAATTTTATTATTAAATACATTTATAATATTAAAAAAAGATTTTATGAAAAATAATATATTTTTGATTGTTATATTATAAAAAATATAAACTATTTGAAAATCAAATATTATAAAGAAAGATACTTATATAAAAAAATTCAAGGATAACCTGTTTATTAAATAAATGTATTTATATTGATGGCAATAAATAAGCGCCAAAATAAATAAATATATAATAAATAATAAAACATGAATACCACTGTTTATTGCAATTTATTATTGTAATAACAATTTTATATATAAAAATCAATTTAATAAAATAAATATATCTTAGATATGTTTATAAGAAAGTAAAATATTAGCTAATATTTAACATAATTGATAATATGATTAACTATTGAAAGCAAAACAAACTGAATATTAGCTAAAAATTTACATAAATTAAAAAGATTACTTATTTATTGAAAGCGATAAAAAATATAATCTATTATTTTTAAGACTAAAAAATGTTATTAATAAAAAATTTAATTACTGTTTGTGTTTGTATCTAATTAATTATTTTGAAATTTTTATAATAATATTTTAGATTTGATATAAAATTAATAAAATATAATTAAAATGTCTAAAAATAACTAAATAGATGAAACTGTTACTATAAAAACATTTCTTAGAATAATTATAAATATTTAAAAAAAAAATTATTTTTTTCACTGATAAAAAATATTCGAAACAATTTTCTAGTATCCATTAGATACTAAAATCAATTAAACGTATATAAAATATAAATATATATATATATATAAATAGAATTATAAAATATAACTAAAATTAATATAAAGATGTAATGTTACGATTGAATAGACAACAAAAAATAAGTTTATTATAGTTGTGTTGAAATGATTTGACGTTTTACTAAAAATATTATGAAGTTATTTAGTTTAATATATAATTTATTATTTTTAAGATTTATAATTTATGATTATTAAAGTATTAATAATTTTGTGTTTTTTTACAGTTAAAATTCGTTATTGTGTTCCCGATTCACTGTATGACTATTGTGTCCGTATGTCTGATAATGTAAGTCTTATTTATTTATAATTATATTTCTAGAAACTAAATACAATATAGCTTTTATTTATTAATTATATATATATATATATATATATATATATATATATATGTGTGTGTGTGTGTGTTAGTTATTTCCATAATTTATATTTATTTATATATACAATATTATATAATTCAAAAAAATTAATTATTTAAATTTTTATACTAAAAACTCCTACAATCATAAATTTGATTATTTCATATTAATTTGCATTTATTGATAAATTAGTTTATTTTATTTTATTTTATTTGATCAATTATTAATAATAATCACTAATACTTAATTATTTGTAAGTAATTTTCAAATTATATAATTAAAATGTTTATTAATTTAGGTACCAGGAACATTTTCTTGCATAAATGCTAGAGATAAGTAAGTAATGTGATAATAAATTAATTAAAAATTAAAATTATAAAAATAATATTAATTATTGATTATTGTTTAATACATTAGATATGAGTGCATTAGATTAATAGATAGAGATGAAGCAGATATTGTCAATTTAGACGCCGAAGATCTGTATTTAGCCGGACGTCTGTATGGTTTGGAACCGTTTATTGTCGAAGAATTCAATGGAAGTAAAAATACACACTTTTTTCTTTACTTTTGTTTTATAAAAACATTTTTATTATAATTTAGTAAAATTTAAATATAATATAATATTGTATTGTATTTCAGTAAATATAATTAATTATTTCAATTGAATTTTAAAAAATTATTATGTTTGATATGTTTGACTATTAATAATTTAATTGTATAGTAATTTTATAATGACAATTGTCTGTGTGTTTTGATTATTATTGTTATTATATTCAATAATCTATAAAAAATTATAAATATTTATTTAGATATAGATTTTTTTCTTTAAAATATACAATTATTTATTGATTAGTATTATTAATCATATTTATAAACAGTATATTTTCACAATTGATGAATAAAAGTGTTTGTTTATAGTAATACATAAATTACCTGAAAAAGTAAACAATAAAACCCACACACTTTTGTTCATTTTAGGTTATAATGTATAGTATATCTATTGATAACTATCTTAAGATAGATATACTGTATAATAAGTTAGATATTTTTTGTGTAAATAGTTTTTTATACAAATAATTGTATATTTTTACGTATTTAACAAAAGTTAATAGAAAATATTTTGGATGCTTTCCATAATAATAATAATAATAAATATCATTACAAATGATAAAATAAAATAAAAAAGATTAGTTAAGTATATTTAGAGGCAATCAAGCAATCGATTATCTGATACCTGAGTTGATGGCAATCGAGGCCACACTTGTTATACTATTTTATATCACTTGAAAAATGCGATAAAAGTATTATAGATGTGATTAAAAAATCATGCGATAATATTATTCAGTATTATATTTATACATAAGTTTTAGATAAGTTGTGATATTTAATGATTTTATGACATTTTTTTGTATTTTTTAAAAAATAGTTATTGATTACACTTATGATTTTTTTTACTTAATTATAATTTCTATTAAAATAGTTTTAAATTCTAAGAATTAAATATAAGATAGTCAATTAACTTTTTTGTTAAATGATTAGTGTATTTAATTTATATAAACTTATTATAAATTACTATTATATTTATAAATTTATACAGTAGTTACCAGTTGTCAATTTAAAATAAATATAGGAGTAAAATATATGATATATACGACATAAAAAACTTTAATATAAATTATTACCTGTATATTTACTGTGATAATTAATTTTTAAAATATAAAAATTTTAACAAACAATTTAAAAATAGATTACTATAAAACAATAACAAAAAAATAACTTAAAATATTTATATTACATTTCTATTGCTAAATAACTATATTATAGTATTAATTAATATAAGAAATTCTGTAGATAAACTTATATTAACTCTATATAACTGGATATAACTATATTTATTAAAATTAACAATACAGTATAATATAATTTTATGAAATCATTTATTTTTTTAATAATTAAGATATTTATAAACATCGATCGGGTGTTTTGGTTCACCGAAATATAAACATAAATTCAATAAGTGATTTAAAAAACAAGAGGGCGTGTCTCGGACCTTACGGTTCGGACTCAGGTTGGAATATACCGGTTGGACTGTTATTAGCCACCGACACACTGGTACCCGATTGTAAGGGAGAGATTGATTCGGTTAACAATTTTTTTGGGGTCAGTTGTGCGGCCGGTATGTGGTCTAATGACTCCTATCTTGACCAACAATTAAGTATTAATTTTATTTTTAATTTGTATTATTATTATTTATATTAATAATAAAATATAATATTTTTATATAATATATATAACATATTAATTATCATAATTAGTTATTTTGTATAATGTTTATAAATATATAAATATTATAATATTAATAGAAATAAATGTTTTATTAAACTAAATGATATTAGAGAGAAAACACAGCAATTTGTGCGGATTATGTAAAGACCCGGTCATGTGCTCGGAAAAGGATCCGTTTGCTGGCGATGAGGGTGTCATCAAATGTTTACTTGAAGGACAGGGAGAGGTGGCCTTTACAAGCATTGAGACCGCCGACAGTTACTTCAAGAGTAGGCCAGAACTGAAAGACAGCTATCAGTTTCTATGTCTCGATGGCTCCCGTATGCCAATCACTAGGAGGGCCTGTGAGTGGGCGCGTCGACCCACTAATGCATTTGTTATTAGGAAAGGCAGAGGTAAGCATTACATTAAGCCATTGTTTTTTAATTATATTTATTTATTTCTAATAATAGCTTTTAAATTATTTATTAATATTTATTACTAACATTTATATACAGTATTAACTGGTTATATGATTTTATTTGATTTTGATTGATAAGTCACACGAGTTTTAACTGTGATATAAAATAAAATTATAATTTATCAATAATTAGTTATAATTTATAATACATGTAGTATTTTGAAGTCTAAATAATAAGATAGAAATTTTTAAATAATTATTGTAAGTTTAGTTTTATTATTTTGCAAATTTATAAATATTAATAAATTAATTTAATTTACTATTCAAACAAAGCATAATAAAAAAAAATATATTAAATCTTTATTTATTCTTAACAAATGTAAAATATATTAATTTTAATAAATATTAAGAATAAATACAATATAATTATCAATATATTAGTAAATAATATTTAAAAATTTATTGTTAAATTAAAAAAAACAATAAATTATTATCATTTTATTGATAGCTCGACAAAAGGATTATTATTTGCGATATTTGCAACAAATATTTTTCCGATATTCACAACTCAAACCTCAATGGTTTACAAAAACTTTTGTCTCATCAGAAAATGTCACGCAATTGGTTTCAATGCCATTCAATACACAACAGTGGGATAAATACCTGGGTCTGCATTTTATTACTAATTATTATTTTTTTTTATAAATCTTTATATTATTTAAAAAACTTTCAACAGATTATATGTTTATAACCTTTTTATTATTAAAAGCTAAAAAAATATCCTCAATTTATAAATATCAGTAAAATTTATTTCAATATTAAATATCTCTCTCTCTCTCTCTCTCTCTCTATTTCTTCTCAATCTTTGTTTCTTTGTGTGCGACTGTAGTGACAAAATACTTATGAAAAAATCTGTATTATATTTTATAACACTTTACGGTTGAGATTTTGTTTGTAAAATTGATTGAATCACGCAATCATATTAAATGATAGATTATTAGTGAAAAGAGAAGACAAGTCATTCATTATAATTATGTTAAAAATTGTGTATCAGTTTCATGTAATTTTTCAAAACAATACTATTGTATTATATTTTTAATGACACTATCATTCAATAAGTAATGATTGAATATATTGCTTAAAACAAACTTTTTCAAAGAAAACATTAGTTAGTAGTATATTACAAAACAATGAAAAATTATTATTTTTTTAAAAAATATATACTTAATTATCTTTTTTGGGCGTTAAACAAATGCAATCAATATAAATAATTTTGTCATCTCATTGACAAATTATTTTACACGTTTATTATTAAAATATTTTTTTAGAAAGTAAATTGTTTTATTATTTTTTTGCTAATTAAAAAAAATTGAGTAATAATTAAAAATATTTTTGTTTGTTTAGGTAATTATATTCCTTCAATAGAGAAACCATTGCCGGGTTGTGAGCGACAAAATGTGACCTTTTGTTTGACCTCATCTCAAGAGTTGGCCAAATGTCTGGACTTACAGAAAGCGGCTTTTGCTCGAAGAATTCGGCCACAAATCAGATGCCATTCGTCCGACTCTCACAAGTCATGTGTGGACGCAATTAATATGAGAAAGGCTGACATCATATCATTGGACGCATCATTGTTTTACAAAGCATCCAGGTCATATTCATATATATATTAATATATTTTCTAAGTTTTATTAAGATATTTGTTATATAATAATAATAGATACGACTATTTGCTACCAATTGCTACTGAAATAACAAATTCACCGCAATATTCAGTGGCCGTCGTAAGAGCCGATTCATTGATGACATCGTTGGCCGATCTAAAGGGCAAGAGGTCGTGTCACACAGGATTTGGTCAGACATCCGGTTGGGTCGTACCGGTTGGCGCTCTTATAGACAGTCAAGTCATAGACAACCACAACTGCAATCGGGCCGAATCCATGGCCCGATTGTTTTCCGGCTCATGTGTTCCCGGAGCCGCCGACGCCCGCATCAACACCAATGGCACCGGAGTAGACAGTCTGTGCTCTCAATGTATTGGTGACGACAATTCAAGTCATATCTGTGAGATGTCAAGCGCTGAAAGATTTAGTGGTGAAGACGGAGCCTTCAGGTCATATGATTTATATGATAATTATTTGAGTTAATCGTTAATATACTAAAAGTTTTACATTTTTTATTAATACAGATGTTTGGTTGAAGGTAGAGGTGATGTGGCCTTCTTGAGTCATACGACAGCTATAGACCTAACGGACCACAAAAGCAATCAATTATGGGCTAAGGATTTGCGATCCGTCGACTTTAGGCTGTTGTGCGCAAACCGTAACAACAGTTCGGCCTCTAATAGCGTTAACGTTATGAATGGCTATGATTTGACAACAATCCCGAACCCAAACAGTATCCATAACAGCCAACGATATCGTTTGAACAGTTTTTTAGCGCCCATTCAGGACTACCAGACATGCCATTTAGCGCACATACCGGCGCCAATTGTGGCCACCAGTTCGGCCATCGATACAGATGTTAGGCTTCAAATCTTGCAACTGTTGACATCACTGAGCGATACGTTTACGAATAAAGTACCGCAAAGTTTCCGTTTGTTTGGCGTTTACCGCAATCATTCAGATCTGATGTTCAACGATAAGACCATAAGATTGGCATCACTTCCGCCCGAAACTACTTATGCCGAAGCATTGCATACATTCTTACCATTCATTGAATACAACGATCACATCGTCTGCACAAATAGTGGCCATAAATTTAAATCAAATTTCATAACATTTCATGTGTTTTCTATTTTTATTATTAATTTGTATTTTATTAATTAAATATATAAAATATAAAAAAAATAAATATATTATGTA